CCGACGCATCCCGATTTTCTTCACCAGTTTTTCAAATTTTGCCGTCGGCAATGCCTTGGTTAATATATCCGCCAAATTATTATCTAATCGAATTTGTTGCACATTAATTTCACCATTTTGTTGCAGATCATGAGTAAAAAAGAATTTTGGTGAAATATGTTTTGTTATATCTCCTTTAATGTAATCCCATTTTAATTGCACTATACAAGCTGTATTGTCTTCATATAATGTAGTTGGGAAAATTTTATCGTCAAGTATTAACCCGCAATTTTTCAGAATATCTTGAGTCATTGACATCAACCAAACACATTCTCGACTAGCTTCATGTATTGCCAATATATCAGCATGATTTGAAAAAGTGGCAGTTAAAGTTTGTTTCATCGATCTCCAAGAGATCACTGTTTCGCCACAAGTGAATATATAGCCATTTTGAGACTTGGCTTTATGGGGATCCGATAAATATCCTGCATCGGCAAGTCCAATTAATTCATGCCGAGAATCTTTCGAGTAAAATAAGCCGAGATCAATTGTTCCTTGAAGATAACGAAAAATGTTCTTAATCTCATTCCAATGTCGTCGAGTAGGCGATGAACTGAACCTTACCAATAAATTTACAGCAAATGATATGTCAGGTCGGGTGTTGTTAGCAAGATACATCAATGCGCCTATAGCACTCATATATGGCACTTCTGGTCCAAGTGTTTCTTTATTTTCCTCTTTTGGTCTAAATGAATCCTTTTTTGGATCGAGTGCTCTGACAATCATTGGGGTACTTAGCGGATGTGATTTATCCATCATGAATTGTTTTAGTACCCTTTTGCTATAATTTGATTGGTGGATAAAGATTCCATTTTTCAAGTGCTCAATTTGGAAACCAAGGAAAATTTTGATTTTTTCAAAATCTTTGATTTCAAACTCCTTTTCAGATATTCAACAGCTTTTTGGATTTCATTAGAAGTTCCAATTAAATTGAGATCATCGACATATACAGCGATGATTACAAATCCTGACCCATTTTTCTTTATGAAAACACATGGACAGATAGGGTCATTTATGTAACCTTCTTTGGTTAAGCTTTCGCTGAGATGATTGTACCACATTCGGCCCGATTGCTTGAGCCCATACAAAGATTTTTGCAATTTAATGGAATATGATTCTTTTGGCTTTGACTTGAATGATTTAGGTATGTTGATCCTTTTGGGATTTTCATGTAGACGTCATTGTCTAAAGAGCCGTAAAGATAGGCAGTAACTACATCCATTAATTGCATATCAAGATTATTGTGTACTGTCAGGCTCACCAGATACTTGAATGTTATTCCATCCATGATCGGCGAATATGTTTCTTCAAAATTAATACCCGGTGTCTGGGAAAAACCATGGGCTACAAGCCTTGCTTTATATCTTGTGATATCATTATTTTTATTTCTTTTTCTCACAAAAACCCATCTGTAGCCAACAGGTTTTACATTTTTAGGTGTTTGGACTATGGGTCCGAATACTTGCCATTTATTCAATGAGTTCAATTCAGACATAATTGCGTCTCTCCATTTTGCTCAATCATCTTTTTGCCGACATTCATCAACTGACTTTGGTTCATAATCCTCGTCATCTTTCATTATATCGAGTGCTACAGAATATGCAAATGCATTATCAATATTTGTTTTCTTTATGTTCCAATATTTTCCACTGGTGGTATAGTTAACGGAGGTTTCAATAACTTCATCATCACTTTCATCAGAATTTTTAGTATCAACCTCTTCAGGGGTTGTACTGACCTTTTCAAGTATCTGATCATTGTTGATCTCTTCACCAGTATTTACAATTTTCTTCTTTCGTGGATTTTTATCTTTGGAACCCAACGGTCTGCCACGTTTTATACGGGCAGTATGCTCATTAGCACTCGACATTTTCTCTTCTGGGATATTTATTTTAGCTGGTGCATTTGCTGCTGCAATATATGATTTTGTAACTCTGGAAGCATCATTGAAAACGTCAGGCAATTGGTTTGCAATTTTCTGCAAATGCACAATTCTTTGAACTTCAAGTTCACTATGTTTCGTACGATGATCAAATTCAAGTGGTATTTTCCACAAAATTTCTTTTTTCAGTTGATTACTGTCTCCCCCTAATGTCGGAAAATGTGATTCGTCAACATGACAGTCTGCAAACCTCGCAGTAAATAAATCACCCGTTGTTGGTTCAAGATATTTTGCGATCGAGGGTGATTCATACCCGATATATATACCCAACCTTCTTTGAGGTCCCATTTTTGTGCGTTGAGGTGGCGCAATTGGAACATAAACAACACACCCAAATATTCGCAGATGAGATATATTTGGTATTTTTCCAGAGACCAATTGAGTAGGGGAATAACAGTGATAACTTGTCGGCCTTATTTTCATGAGGGCTGTTGTATGCAATATAGCATGTCCCCAACATGATACGGGAAGTTTAGACCTCATTAACAATAGTCTAGCAATTAATTGCAATATTCTGATAAGGGATTCAGCGAGGCCATTTTGCATATGTACATGGGGAACAGAATGTTCCACAGTAATCCCAATTGACATGCAGTAATTATCAAATGTATGTGATGAATACTCTCCAATATTATCTAGACATATTTTCTTTATCGGGTGATTTGGAAATTGTGCTCGCAATTTAATTTTTTGTGCAAGTAGTCTAGCGAAAGCTAGATTGCGAGTAGATAACAGACATACGTGTGACCATCTCGTTGACGCGTCAATTAGTACCATAAAGTACTTGAAGGGTCCACGCGGTGGATCTATTGGTCCAAAAATATCACCCTGAATTCTTTCCAGAAAATCTGGGGATTCATATCCAACCTTTGTTGGAGATGGCCTGATTATTAACTTCCCTAGGGAACAGGCAGCACAAGCAAATTCATTCGGACTCAAAATATTCTTCTTTTGCAATGAGTGGCCATTTGAATTTTCAACAATTCGCCTCAGCATTACATTGCCAGGATGCCCAAGTCAATCGTGCCAAGTTTTAAATTCGCTAGTAGTCATTTGGTCTACTAGGTGATATAATTCAATGGCACTGATATTTTAGTAATATAAGCCGAAAGAAAATGATGAAAATTTTTCTTTCACAATTCTTTTGTCATTCACAATCTGAGTTATCAGAAGATACTCATTTTCTGCCTCATTCAATGTTTTAATATGATACCCATTTTTTCGAATATCACTGAAGCTCAGCAAATTCCTTTGAACTTTGCTCAAGAATAAAGCATTTTCAATTGCCATTTTTGTCCCTTTTGGGAGATATACAATAGCTTTTCCTGAGCCTTCAATCATTTTTTATGCACCACTGATAGTAACAATAGTGGTCTTTCCCATATTCAGGTGGGAGAAATAACATTTGGTTTTCAGAATGCTGCGAGTCTTCAATCATTTTCGATACACCACTGTCGATAAGACAGATGTTGTCATCGGCTCCAAAATATTTGGCATCCATATCTTTGCAAGAAGGTAAAAATAATAAAAGACATGTATTAGTAACATAATTAAAATAGACTTATATTATAAGGGTAATACAAAAAGGGGGTCAAAATAACAAAAAAATACAATAATATTTTATCATTTAACATCATTAGCTATGTCAAGCAGATCATCGGCATCCAGGTGCGTGATATTCTCATTCATCACATCGTCAAATGTGTCATCGTGGGCAGCGTGGTTTGTTTCGGCAGCAACTCTTCCCTGCCTTTCTTTGAAGGCCGGATACAGTTCAGTCAAGTGATTGGTTGTGCGAAAAACATGGGCCCAATGACCTTTGATTCCACACCGGGTGCATTCCTCGTCATTTTTTCTGTTTCTCCCGGTGTTGAACCTCTGTTGAGGTTTGTACGGCCTTCTGTCATTGTAACGCCGATTTTGCACATATCGGGGCCTATTTTGATAATTATTGTGACTGTATGGGTTTGCCCGGCCCCGTCCGCGATTCTGATTTCGATCGCAATCAATTCTTTGATTTCTGACCTGCCCACGGCCACGCACCTGATTTGCCAGTTGTATTGCATTTGCCTCTGGAAATGGATTTGCACCTATCGGCTGAGATTCGTGATTTTCAATAGCAATTTGTTATTTTGTTCGGCCAGCAAAAGCCAGGTGATCAACTCAGAATATTTATGGAAGCCTCTTTCGCGATACTGCTGCTGCAAAACCATGTTAGAGACATGAAAAGTGGAGAAAGTTTCTCCATCATATCAGATTTATATATATTTTCGCCACAATGGCGTAGCTGTGATGTTACTTTAAACATGGCATAATTATATTCTTACATTGTTTTAAAGTTCCGAAGCCGTAGGCTTTGCCATTCGCTTCGTGCCCTAGGCAACCATGTCAGTCTCAAATGATCATATCTTTCTTTCAATCTCTCCCACAATTCAAGTGAGGATTCCAGTGTGATATATAGTATTTTCAGTGCCTCATATCATGACGTTTGCACGATCTTGGCTCGGGGAGTTTTTATCCCGGCAATGGTATTTTCCAAGCCCATTGATGCCAGATGCATTTTAACATCGCGAGCTCATGCCATGTAATTTTGGCAAGAAATGAGAAGAATGGGAAATTCCTGTTTAGCAAGATTTGACATAATAAACAGATAAAATATAAAGTATTACATTGCGAAAATAAAATATATAATCGTATTGTAATATTATTACAGAGACAACCAATAGAAATATTAATTAATTATCCAGCTAACTATTATTTTATATTTTGTATTATATTATATATTGTATATAATATATATATAAGTAAATATATATATGTGTGCGTGAGTGCGTAAATAGAATGTGTACCTATATATATTATATTATATGTATTAAGTAAGATGATATTCGTGTACACTTGATAATATAAATTTAAATTATGTTAATACTTTTTATTTTTTACATTAAGTCTACCTGTCATAAATTTATTTGATGGAACAGGGGAAGAGAGAAATATTGGAACAAGAGAATTTGATGCCTGCCACGTGAGGGGGGAGAGAGAGATGGATAAGCAAAAGCAACCACTGGTCACACTCCTGCAACTCCAACGGCAAGGAGGGCGATTGGCTCTGAAGAAGAAGAGCTGTGCTCCAGAAACAAAATGGCGACCCTTTCCGTCCCTCTCCAACACTGGACTTCCTCTCCCGCCGCTTTTACACCCAGGCTCAACCATTCTGCTGCATCCACTCTTAGTCACTATCACTTTGGCTTAATCAGATGCTCTTGTGAGTTTCTAGCTAGCTCTTTGTTTTACTCCATGCCAGGCAGGCAGGATCTCCATCAATTTCTTTTCTTTCTTTTTTTTCTTTTTTTCTTTTTATGAGCAACCACCATCTCGAAAATGTAAATCTGTATCTCCACACACACACACACATATATATATAGGTGGTGTGAACCATGGTCCCAAATCTGCTCAAAGTTTGCCCAATGTCTTCTTCAAGGAACTCGGGAGTGTAGCCTGTGGAATTCTTGCTGTTTGGGCCGTCACTGCTGTTTCCCCTGTGATTGCTGCAAACCAGGTCGAGATTTGATTACTCTATCAACTTAATTCATTATTTTTGTAAAATTCGTATTCTACTGAGCTCAGTTCAATTTCTTGAGTTTGACATTGTTTTTTCTGCCACGTTTATCCCTCTCCCCTCCCTCCTGGCCTAGAATGCAAGCTGACTCTCTTTCATGCTTTAATTTCTTTTTAACTTGTATTGTCACTAGTCAGCTGTAGGTTTTATTCAAGTGCCCTTGGCTGGTTAATCCTTTTCGTCACAAATAATTGCACAGCTAACATGTTTGACCAAATCCTTACTTGCAATTGTGATTGAGTGAGTGATTTGAACCATGTTTGTTGCAGTCTAGTTTCATGTTTCAGTCGTACATAGCGGAGCGATTGTTCGTCAGTGTGTTTTTTTTTTTTTTGAATACTTGTGTATTGTAGAGGCTGCCACCATTGTCAAAAGATCCTAATAGATGCGAGCGTGCCTTTGTTGGCAACACCATTGGGCAAGCAAACGGGGTGTATGACGTACCGCTTGATCTCCGACTTTGCGATTACACCAATGACAAATCTAATCTTAAGGGGAAGTCTTTGGCCGCAGCCCTCATGTCGGATGCTAAGTTTGATGGCGCAGACATGTCTGAAGTGGTGATGTCCAAGGCATATGCAGTTGGAGCCAGTTTTAAGGGTAATGATAATCATAATGATGATGATAACAATCTATTTATATGTGAGAGAGAGAGAGAGGGAGGGAGAGAGGGATTTGATAAAAGAAGGAAGCTTTCTTGCTGTGCAGGTACGGACTTCAGTAATGCAGTTTTGGACCGTGTGAATTTTGGGAATGCCAATATGCAGGGAGCCGTGTTTAAGAATACGGTGCTGTCGGGATCCACCTTCAGTGGCGCTCAACTTCAAGATGTTAACTTCGAAGACACCATCATAGGCTATATTGATCTGCAGAAGCTGTGTGTGAACGACACTATTAACGAAGAAGGAAGAGCTAACTTGGGGTGCCGGTAGTAGTGGGGAGGGAGCTCTCCCATGCCATGCCATGCCAGCAAGTGGCAATCAACTTGTGTGTTTCAGTTTCAAGCTTGGGGTCATGGGGATCCCAGTTCCTTGGCTGTGTGAAGTCAGTCAGTCAGTCAGTGCTACTTCAGTTTGTTGTTAATTTAAACCTTGTACTCTGTTCTATTGTGGGGGAAGAGCTCTGCGATGATTTCACTGAGCTCAGTCAAGTCAATGCCACACAAGTATGCGTTCTGATCCAATTATTGCGATTACTTTCATATACACGTGAATCTGGGCTGAACTTTTGTCATATTCATATGAATAAAGCACGAGAGCTGTATATGCATGGTGGAGGGGAGTGGTGCCCCATTCAATATGTTTCAATCTGAGCTACTAAGAGCTCTTTCTTTCTGTGTTTTGCAAAAAGAAATCTGCTTGGAAAGTCCTCAGATTGATTCCTTTGCTAGACGCGCACTCCATTCTCCATTCCCCCTCCTATCCTTTGCACAAAGAAAAGTATCTTTCACACGCGCCTCTACCCTTCTGCCATGCTCGCTCAATCAAATTCATCATTAAGCAACGAATACCCACTCAGCACCACCTCACCGCAGGCTGCAGCCATGGTGAAATGTTTCCAAACGTCTCCATTTTTCAGTGTCCTCGGGGGATTGTGTCTGCTAGTGCTCATCTTCACCCAAGGTACAACAAATATGCTGTTAATTTTTCCTCTCGTAAAACTGCATGCATATCATATCATATCCATCCATGGCTCGCTCGCTCTATGTTGGTCTTGCTTGCCAATCCAATCCAAACCAAACCATTCAGGTTATTTATTATATTCCGTGGCAGGTGTGGGTGTGGGTGTGGGTGCGGCAGGATGGATCGGAGTGAACTATGGCACTGTGGCGGACAACCTCCCTCCCCCGACACGAGTTGCCAATTTCCTCACACAGTCCACCCTCATCAACCGCGTAAGATTCTTTGACGCCAACCCCGACATGCTGAGAGCGTTTGCTCACACCGGCATTGCCATCACGGTCACCATCCCCAACGACCAGATCCCGCTCCTGACCAACGTGGATTTTGCTCGGAGATGGGTGGGGGCCAACGTTCTACCCTACCTGCATTCAACCAACATCATCCGCATCCTCGTCGGGAATGAGGTCATCTCCACCGCCAGCAAGCTCCTGATCGTGAGCCTCGTCCCTGCAATGCAATCCCTCCACGCCGCCCTGACCCGCGACTCGCTGGACCGCAGGATCAAGATCTCCACCCCACACTCCTTGGGGATACTGTCAAACTCAAGCCCCCCCTCGGCGGGGAAGTTTAGGCAGGGCTACGACGTCTATGTCCTTGAGCCGCTGCTTGGCTTCTTGAGAGCCACGGCTTCTCCGTTCATGATCAACCCGTATCCTTTCTTTGGCTGCTCCAGCGGCACGCTCGATTATGCGCTCTTCAGGCCTAATGAAGGCGTGCTTGATGCGAGCACCGGTCTGAGGTATGCCAACATGCTGGATGCCCAGCTGGATGCCGTCTTCTCCGCCATGAAGCGCCTCGGATTCGATGATGTGGACATCATGATCGCCGAAACGGGATGGCCCTGGAAAGGAGACGCGGGGCAGGTCGGGGTCGACGTGGAGAGTGCGGCAGAATACAATAGGAAATTGATTCAGCATGTGACATCAGGCACCGGGACGCCCCTCATGCCTAACAGGACATTTGAGACTTACATTTTTGCTCTATTCAATGAAGATCTCAAGCCTGGCCCTACGTGCGAGCGAAATTTTGGAGTGTTCCACCCAAACTTGACCCCTGTCTACCCCATGGGCATCCTCAAGCCTATGGTATCTAGCAGCGGCAGCAGAACTGGGCACCGGCAGAGCGTATATTTGTTGTTCGTTGTGTTTCTGTTGCGCACTAATTTCTTCATGTGTTTTTCTTGAGATGTTTTGGCCTTGCCAACTCAAGACACGCCAGAGAAGAGAATGGTTTCGATCCGCGGGGAAAATGAGAAACAACACAAAAGCCATAGCCGAATCCAAACTGAAATTTGAAGTGCTGCAACAGCTGCTGATCCTGAGGCTCAAAGGGTGTCAAATAAGTTGCGGTTGCAGTTGAAGCCCCGTGCATCATAACCGAAGGGTCTTGTCGACTCCCCGGTCATCACCTCTCAAAAATGGTTAAGGTATGATTCGTTAGCTGAATACCTGTGCTGTGTAGTATTATAACTTATTTTGCTCAGCATCCACATATTTAATTGTTTTCAAGACCAACAAATGGACTACATGTTACTTCATCTACTTTTATGTCCCTTAACTAGACAGTTTCACTTTATTTTGTTTTAATCTGAATGTGCATGTTTGCAAGTATAACGAGTAGCTGATAATCATAAGCATTTGGAAATATATATATATGTGGATAGAATAGGTTGAGAAGAGTGGAAGTTTGAAGTGGAACATGACTTTGATGCTTGCATCTTTGATGGCACCTTTTCTTTGTCCGTTGGCACAGTAATGCATCCAACAAGCTTACAACTTTAGGTTCTTATACTCTTCCTTCCAGGCAAGCATGGAAGAAGTCTCCTCCTCCTGGAAGCATGGAAGCAATACAATCATGCAAACACACAGTGACATTATTATCAGGGAGCTGTTCCCCGATTAGGCTATGGTTCTGCAATCGAGTTCAGGACTAGTTTTGTTTTACCTGAGAATGTTCTGTATGCATTTTATATTAACCCAACCTGCTTTTTGCAGAAGAAGAAAACAGATGATAATAATAATAATAATAGCAGCAATGCAATGGAATGCAGTGCCAATCAGGCCTAGGTTTTTTAGCTCTTTGGAGGATTAACCTGGACATGAATTGTAAGGAAGGACCTTGAACTACTGTACTGTACCTACATGCTTTGTTTAGCTTGCAAATTTTGACACCAGCTTTTGAATTTTGATGTGAAGTCACTTTTTTCACACCCAGGAACAACTGCTTTGTGCATGTAATTAGTGAAGAACGAATCGATGATTAAAAAAAGAGCTTGTGACAGAAGGTGGTTGTAATCTATGTTCCAGCGTGGAATCCGGAACCTCTAAGCAAGGGAAGTTCAAGGCAACGGTTGAACTGCACAGCCTTATCTTTGTAAATTAAATGGGTGTGATGTTTAGAAGGCTTAAGAGTGGGCAAGAATGAGAGTGGCAGTGGCAAATGCGATCTTGTACGCACCACAGGCGAATGAATATGAAGCGGTGATTGCTGCTGCATCTCTCAAAGTAGACCCAGGCCCAGCCTGCAGACAAAAACGAATACTTGATGTTGTTCAGTGGCAGAGAATCAGAACCAATGATTATTAGCATGCTGCGCTGCTCTTTGTTTGTTGTTTTAGTTCGTTAAAACTGTGTCTGTGTGGAGATCTAAAGCTAGCTAAGGAAGTAGTAGCAGTATTAATTTAGGGGAGAGCGGTGGAGTGGAGTGGAGTGGTGTGGTGTGTGCCAGCCAGCCAGGTTTGAGCATAAACGACGACACGGCACAGACAGGACCTGGAATGATTGTGTGCAGAAGTAGAGCGGAGGCCGTACAGAACTTTACAATTAGTTAATGAGACTGTGCTGTGCGTTCCCAAGCCAAACAAGCATTATACAGATATTCCTTCCTTCCTTCATCACTGCGCTTATGTCGTTGCCCTCTTACATACATACGCAGTTAAAATACTAGTATGTTTGTATATACATGCGCATACGTACATACATACATACATATATGGATGCAGAGCAGAGCAGTGTTCAAGTGAAGTAAGTAGTAGCCGAGTACTCTTCCAAATATGATGTACAGTAAGTTAATATTCCTTTCCTGTTCCTGTGGTGTGGTCAGTGTGGTGACTCTCAAGTCTCAATCCGAATCCCTCCTTTCCCCCTCCCCCTCCCACTTCCACTTATGTGATCCATGAATGCATTGATATGTCTGTCTGTGCCCCAGAAATGAAAATGATAAAATGCATAAATTGACTAGAAGCAAAAGCCCAAGTATGAGGAAAAGTGTCACAAATTAATATGCATGCAATCAATCAATCATTCATTCATTCGCTGAACTGGCAATGCTGCTTGGCATTGGCATTGGCATTGGCATTGGCGTTTTCCTTCCATCAATCATTCCCTCTTTGTTTTGTTTTGTTTTCTGGTCGATGAGCTGATGGGTGCGTAGCTAACAGTAACTAGCATGGTCTTCATACTAAAAGCCTGCTACCTCTATCTACGCTATGCTGGTGACACGGCACGAATATACATACATACATACATACATACATACATCTATGCTAGTGCAGTGCGTGCTGCTACTGTTTTCTTGTCATATACTACTATTCATAGATGCATTTGATGTACCAAAGTGTGTGTGGTAGTAGTTGACTTCCATTTTGGTGATGCATTCGTGTCGTTGCCATGCCATTTGCCCAGCTCCACTGCAAGCACTAATTAGCTATATAGATATATAACCAACCACCCAACCAGCCTTCTCTTCCAGGTTCCAGCCTCCCTCTCCTGCTTGCTTATGAATCCAATTTGCAGCAGCCATGACTCCACGGCCAAACACAAAACCATCTTCTCTTCTTCTATGCATCATCATACTGGCATTCCAATCTGCAGCAGCAGGTGCTTACAATACTACTATAAGCTTTGTTATGAGACACGTTTCAACAAGCTTACATACTTAATTAATTGCCTTGCAGGCTCCTTCCAGTTTCTCCACCTCATCTTAATCACTAGTACTATTACTTCTCCTCTTCATTAATTTCCAGGTACCATTCATGGCTCTCACGTACCTTTGCTTCTTCACAATCACAAGGTATTATTTGTTTTACTATATTAATGCGCGCGCGCACACACACACACCCCCCCCCCTGCTGCTGCATGTATATATAGTCACTCCTGCATTAATTAGTAGCAACACCATTAGTAGTAGTACTAGTAATATTACATAACCCAATGAATATAATTTTTTTTTTCTTTTTTCTGCAGCACCACAAGTCAAGAAAGTTGCCGGGATTCAGTGCAGTAGCGTTGGATTACGACGATGCAGGCGCTAACCCCAAGCATGATCCAAGAGGAAAGAAGGGAGGTGGCAGCAGCAGCAGCAGCAAAGCCCCCTGACTACTACTACTACTACTACTACTACTACTACTATATATTCAACACGTACGCATCCTTATAAGTTACTTAGTGCGTGTATAATTCAGTTTGGTTCTGTGCGCCCACTCACTGCAATGACTTTTCTGCAGCCCCTAATTGTATCTGTACTGTGCATCCATCGCCACGAAAAGGGAAACAAACAGATCAAGGTGTGGTGCTAGCTGTAGCTGCATCTGCATCTTCATCAATTGTTTAAACGGAAGCCAAATCTAATTTGGCGATCACTTGTGCATCCGTCTTTTCTTATTTCCAACTCTTACCCAATTATTAATCTGAGCTTTAAAATGTGGATCAGTCCAAACATAAACTTAAATTGTGACAACTTAGCTGAAATATGAGGAGGGAGGGGGGCGTATGCATTCCTTGATTGTTCCGAGATGTAATAATAACTATGTGCATATATGCTCAACTCATTTAAGTAAGTATATAAAGCACAAGGGGGGATCGGGATCAGGATCAGGTGGGTTCTTGGTGCCTATGTACAGCGTCTCTGTGTGGCGTTTTCATGATGAGAAGAGAGTGAATGCCCAAATTCCAAGTGACACTAAGCTGAGGGTTGCGACGGCCTGGCCCAATTCAAGCACAACATTTTGCTGCTGCTGTTGCACCGGGAGACTTTGCCAATCCGTTTGCCTGTCCAAGAAAATGGTGGAACACTAAGTCAAGTGAAGTGAAGTGAAGCAAGGGCTGCTTCGTAATGGAAATACTATGATCAAATGACGGGGAGAGAGGGAAGGAATTGATCGCTGCATTGGCATTTCTATATTATATTACATACCCAAGATCGGCTATCACAATGCTGATGTTGTCTTGTGAATATCGGTTCTGCACCACAAATTTGTCGTGAAACAGGCCAGTCAGTAATTATTATTTCCACGTAGAAATGAAATGGGGATTGGATTCAGTGAGCTGGTATGATTCGTTACCAGAGCCAACTGAGCTAGAGCTTCAGAAGCCATCTGAGAGTTGAAACACAAAAGCACACACACTCTGTCATTTCTGCACCTTCTGTAGTTATTATATTGTAGGTGCTAACTAACTAACTAACTAACTAAGCTGTGGTTCATTGCTTACCTGAACATCTCCATGCTGTCGGAGATGATTTCGAACAAAAATGACAGCATCCGAACTGAAGTTATCCAAAAAGAGTAAGAGTGTTTATTGAGATGAAATGCCTTGATAAGGTCACGAGTAAAATAACAGGAAAGGCACTGGTGTTGAACATGAGTTTATATCTTACCTGTTAATGTAATCCCACAAACCATCTGATGCTAATACTACAAATTCAGCATCCGGTCCAAGAGCTACTTGAAAAACATCGGGAGATGCCGTAACCCAGTCTCCTTTCGGTTGAATGCTGTTGAGTATGTAGAATTACATGGGTTGAGATGTAAAGAGCAGTCCAGGAGAAATGAGGAAGAGAAACAATCAATCTCACTCACCGAGAAGCAAATTTTTCGGTCCATCGGCCTTCCTCCACACCTTTCTTCAGCATCCTGATATAAAAGCAAACCAATTCTAACTCATGCTAAAGGGTGTGTTGCGATTGTGAAAAACCAAAATAGCTCACTCATTCTTCTTGGTCTTGAATCTCATGTCACCAAAAGAACGGGATACTGAGATGTCTCCACAAATCCTTCCGTTATTAATCTGCACACACGAATTGATAGCTATAAGACAGACACCCGGCAGATGGGCTGAATAGATCAGAGAAACAAAAGAAGCACTGCAGTTGAAATGTTGCCATGAACGAATGATGAGCAAAGGAGACCGCTTAGACCAACACACCCATCCTCCGGCCTCTAAAATTCGCCTGATCTCTTGTAGAGCCACTTTGTTGTTTCCATAAGGCCTGTGAGAACCAGTCAAGACTTGAGCTTTCCCAGCACATGACAGAGCCTGCATTCGTGTTTCAGAAAAATCAAATCCCAAGTACCGGGGAGAAATGTTTATGGTTCCCTATCTATCACACACGATAATGACGAAACCGGGCTAAAGGCGCACCACGCATGAGTCGCCAACATGCGAGACAATCATCATATCACTCCGGACAAAAATGACTGTGGCAGTGGAACCAGACTCTGCTTCTTCTCCGCTCTCCTCCAGCCTTTACAAAAAAAGCCTTCATACAATCACAAAGCATGCATAATCACATTGAGACTATGTATGTAACTGCTTGATTGCTCATTTTAGGTTGCTTCTTTCCGATGCATTATGGGGCTCAATTTGGTTACCACTTCAATAGTTTTGCATCAGCGCTTTCAAAAGCCTCTCGGAGTGCCTTCTTGATTGCTTGGAATTCCTTCCCATCCAACACTTGCCCGCCTTTCAACGCAGCAGCACACTCTCTGTACAGTTCTTCTCTGCAGCAGAAAAGGAGGTTGTCTCACCACATTACATAAAGTAACACAAAGCTAATGCGATTCAGTTTCAAGCCCACATAGTCGGTCGTTGCTTCAGTAAGAAGAAATCGTGAATTAGGGGGGAGGGGGGGGGGGGGGGGGGGCAAACTTACTTGAGGAATTTAACAGAAGAGAATCCAGCATGGCCATCAAAAACAGCGGCATAAGAGAACCCATCAAGCTCATCGGACTGAATGATCACAGAGTCATCCTCCATCTCTTCGCGGGCTCCCTTAAGCTGAGCCGAGCCCCATCTGATCCCAGAAACACTCGTCAAGGAAGACGGCGCATCTATCGCAATGGCAGAGCAAGATATTTGCCCCTCTCCGCCCTTCACTCTACTGCTCATGCGCTTCCTAGTCGAGGTTCTATTACAGCCGCGATTGCAGCAAATCCTGCCCTGCAAAAACTTGTGTAGTTGAGGGCTACACAGAGCCATTGTCGGTTGGGGATTAAATCAAAAGGGAAGGGAGATTTGTATGTAAGAATCTGACGAGCAAATTCTTGCTCTCAGTCTCTAAGAAGATATTTTGATTGGTTGAGCTTGAGATATAGTTCGAGGATGATAGGAGTGCGATGCTATGCTATGCGCTGCGATGCAATGCAACGCAAGCCAGCCTGACCTCTAACTGAATTAACGGCTCAGATCCATCCTCCCTCTTGTCCACGCAGCTCACCTCCACCACAAAATATATTAATGGATTTGGGCCTAATATAGTTTGGGCTTTTGTTGACGGCCCGGCTCATTGTATTACGAAACGACGTCATGAACAGAAGGCCACAGCGGAGTGGACTAGTAATGACTGACTGACTGACGGACACCGGGAGGTGGGACTGGGAGGGAGCTGAGATTAGATTTAACTATTCAAAGCAGCATCAGCATCTAACCGAACGAATACTACTTACCTCCCTCCCTCCCTCCCTCTCGTTGATTTTTCCGGTGGGCTCGCTCATCACCGACTAGACTACACATACAATAATAAGGAAGTAATAATAATAATAATAATAAATTCTGTGGACCTGATAGATAGTAGATCGACATTCGCTACGAAGCCGATGGATGCTACTCTGGAGGAGCCGTGAATGTGTGCTATCAACTCGCTGGCTTCAGAATAGTTCCGGATTTGGAAGGATCCAAGGATTTTGTCCTCCGATAAACCCTAGGACGCAATCCAATGCTAATGCGTGAATAGTGAATACTTACTCCTTGACACTGGATTTGGACTGAAATCTCGGACATAATTTGCAAATGGAGAGGTCGGGAACTAAGAGATACTACTATTACGACCAGGACTATGAATCCGAACCCCGGCATCAGCCGAGGAGCAAACCCCGCCACAGCTACTACTCCGACGAGGGCGGAAGCGGAGGGCACCATTATGCCTCCAGTTACCATCGCCGACCATCCTCGGTAGGATGCGGTGGAGGGGGGACGAAAGTGGGGGAACACCCCTTGACTGTGACAACGGTTTACCGGATTCTGTGCCATGATCTTAAGGTAGGAGGTGTGATTGGCAAGTGCGGGAGCATTATTAAGTCGATTAGGCACCACACCGGGGCTTGGGTCGGCGTGCACGACCTGGTTCCCGGGGACGATGAAAGAATTATCGAGATTACCGATAAACGGAGGCGGGATCCTGAGGGAAGGATCCCAACTTTCTCCCCTGCTCAGGAGGCATTGCGTTTGGTGCACGACAAGATTTCGGAGAATTCGGTGGGAGAGTTTGGGGAGGTTGAAACGGGGAGGGGAGGAGGAGGTGGTGGTGGTGGTAACAGAGTGGTAACGAGGCTGGTGGTTTCAAAGATGCACGTAGGTTGCTTGATGGGGAAGGGAGGAAAGATCATTGAGCAAATGCGTGGTGAAACTCGGACTCATATTAGGATTTTACCCAGAGATCACAATTTGCCATGTTGTGTTGCTGCATCGGACGAAGTTGTTCAGGTCTCTGTTGCATTTTCCCTCTATAAATCGCAGTGGTCATCCCATCTCTTTGCCATTGATTCTAATAGCGGAATTTTAAGTTTTATGGTTCCAAGATATGCTAAAAGCATGAGCTCGTGATTTGCTGACATGTTGAGATCATCATGAACGGAAACCCATTTGCAAGCTGAATAGTGCTTTTTAGATGGTTGGGAATAATCATGCAGCACTACTACAAGCCACCCTTGGCTTGTGAAACAGCCAGTGATGCAGTTCATTGAGATTCATGTGTAGGGTAAGGGTATAGTTAGTCTGTCTGCTGTCTAAGCACTAAGATATATATTAAAGTCAAGAATGATCATTAAGACTATTGTTATATGTACTTATACAACAAAGTGCCAGCTTGAGTGCCTATGTCTGAGAATTATATTAATATGTAACATTACTGAAATGCCTGTAATATTCAGACATTTCTGCCTTGGTGCTGAGTGCTTATAGGGCCTGAGGCTTTATATCCTTGTTACGGTCAGATGATTCGGACTTGGTAACTTTGCCTAGTGCAAGGTTCATGCCATACTATCTGATTTTGGTTCCTTTATCACTCCTTTGGCCCTTCTAAGATGGATTCCTAACCGGTCACCCAGATAAAACACACAACATGGATATTAACAAAGGGACTCCTGAATGTTATGTAGCTTTGTTGGCCTGAAGTTATTACATGGCTAGGTCAAACTTCAAACAATAACAGATACGGACTTAATTGTTTCACTACGTTGTTAGTTTTGTTCTATGTGTAGTTATTCTGCCCTTGCTTGGCAGTGTGATTTTATAAGTTGTTCTTCATTGCAGGTGGTTGGCAAGTTGAATGACGTGAAAAATGCCATACAAATTATATCTTCACGGTTGAGAGAGAGCCAGCATCGGGATAGAAGCTTTTACGGTAATAAGTTAAATTCACCCGACCATTTTGAAGCCATTGACAATGAATTCCACATGAAGAGTAGAGCAAGGAGATCATTAGCGGAAGAACCTGGTTTTAGGTCAAGGTCTTCTTTTGATAGTCAGAGAAGTAACTATTTATCTCGCTCGTCTAGATATGTCATTGAATCCAAAACTCCTGTTGATGACCTTGCTCAATCTTTTTGTGGTGAGGATATTGTGTTTCGAATACTTTGCCCAATTGAAAAAATGGATAGTGTTGTTGGCAACTCCAAGGCGCACGGGCTTGTTGACTTGCTTCAAAGGAAAATAGGTGTCAATGTTGACATAGTTGAGCCAGTTGAAGGATCTGATGAACTAGTAATCATTATATCATCTGACGAGGTACATGTATCACTTTATTGTTCAATGAAATTTTGATAGGGTCTAGACTCTACAGTCTAAAGTATTGCAAGCTGATATATTTATTTGTCTAGGGTATGGATGATGAGTTGTTTCCTGCTCAAGAAGCTTTATTGCATATACAGTCCCACATTGTTGATCTTGTTCCAGAAAAGGAAAATATTATTACGACTCGGTTGCTTCTGCAATCTGATGAAATTGGATGCATAGGATTGAATGGTGCTGCGCCTGATAATGATTACATAGGTGGAGCAAAAGTAGAGATCCTGCCAAGAGAAAAACTTCCTTTGGGTGTATATGGGGATGAGAAAATTGTTCAGGTTTGTTATATTTTTGTAAATGATTAATGGCTATAAACCTTCTTAAAATTCATTCCACTACCAATCATGTTAAGTTGTTAGATGTCCTTGTAGCTGGTTCAAATGGTATGAGAGAAGCCATATTTCTGGAATCTTGATCTTGCAAGTTAATCCATGAATCTCTGTTTACTTGTGATAAATTATGAAGGCCATTTGACATAATTATTTGTCACTAGCACAGTACATAGTGGTAACCTTTATATTTCACCTTTACCTTGTGAAGCTACTACTGGTGTATCTCATTTTAAAGAATTTGGGTGAGCTTCTTGATCTTCTATTCGTGTGCCTTTTGCTTGTTATTTTCAGATAAAGTGTTCTTCCCATGGGGGTGGGGTGACAACTTGCTGTCGAACACCTTCCCTGTGTGCTATGGTTATGATTTGTTACCTCAATTTTCTGTGTGCAGATTACTGGGGAAATTAGTGCTGCCCGGAAGGCTCTGTTGGAAGTTACCTCAAGGATTGGAAGTCACTTGTATGGAGAATTTCTCAAAAATGATGCATTGGCATGCTGTCCTTGGCCCGCAGATGGTGCCATGGAGTCAGAGGCCGGGCTAGACGGTTCAGCCTCATATTTTGAATCCCAAGCTGGAAATGAACCTGTTGATTCAGCTCACCAAAATGCATTAACTGATAAACCCACAGGGAAAACAAAGGTCCGTATAAAGGAATCTCTTCTCGCACAGATTTTTTGTTAGTTATCCCAACATTTCACTTCCACTTCAGGATGTGGTGCAGCCAAGCATTGAACAAGCGAATCGAAAAGAGGAGCCGCGCTCAGATCATCAGCCATGCACATCGAATAGGTAGGCAGTTCATTATCTGTCTTATATTGTGCAGCAGCGAATCTCAGTATAAGCGGCATTGATCATGCTCTGATTTCATCACCTTTTCTGCCCTCCCCCATTCTCATCCTGAAAGAATCTCCATGCCGATAATCGCAAGAAGTACTTTGGAAGTTGTTATACCGGCTTATGCAGCTCCGCTGGCAACAAAATCGAGAAATCTGACGTTGATCAGTGAGGTAAGTGGGAATGGTGTGAATATTTATATGGGGGATATGACTTAAAGCTGATTCATTCCGGAAGGAGCCCATTACTGTGTGGAAATGCGATGCAGATATCAGGGGCGGCAGTGAAACTATTGGTGGAGGAGGAGGGCACAGAGGGGGAGGTGGGGGCAGCAGATAAGAGAATTCAGATATCAGGTACTCCAGAGCAAGCTGAGAGAGCTCAAAGTTTGCTTCAAGGGATTATATTGAGTGGTAAGACCGGTCCCTGATGATTCATTATTAGTATATCCTTGTCTCTGTCTGTCTATACTTGTTTCTCCCCTTTCTCTCCCACCATATAGTATAGTATAGGATAACAAGGCGGTGATGATTTGCTTTGACTGACGGCCATGATTTTCTCAGCCGAGGAGGAGGAGGAGGAGGACTGAGGAGGATGTGTATTAGGGTAGCTCGACCACGACGGAGGAAAGTTGAAAGGCTTCATTCTGTGGCTGGCTGAGTGAGCACTTTTTTACTCCATTTGCAATGTACTTTCATTACATTACATATATCATGTGTGAATATGTTTCAGTTTCCCTACGAAATGGAAATAGTTACCTTTACTATACAATATGTATTTGACAGTGGATTATTATTTATTGCCTACTTTTTAACATATTTGAACCTGAACCAACTGATTTTGGTTAACTGCTAAAATGTCATAGAGTCTTTCTTTCAGGGCATCTCCAACTCAGCGCTATTTTTTGGCAATTTTGGTGTTATAATGTAGCAAAAAGTTGCTTTCTTATTTTTATTTTTAGTTTGTTTTTTATTTTTCTAAATTTTTTAAAAAGTTATTTTAAATTATAAAAAAAAAAGTTTAAAATAATAGAAGAAATTGAATATTTGAAGAATAATAGTGAAAAATAGAGTTATCTGTTAGAATAAAATTACTATAACAACGGTATATTTAGAGTTAAGACTGCATTAATGGAGTTGATGGATGGAGTTGATGGATTGGAGATAGATTAATACACATTTTTTTAGTTTTATTAGTCTTGGTACCATTGTACTTTTTTTTTCAAAATAAAAATAATAATAATAATAATACTAATAATAATAATAATAATTTCTAACATGATATAAAAAAAATAAATAAATTCTTGATCACAAGCGTTTTTGTGATTTGTTTTATATATATATAATACTCATTCAGTTTATTTTTTTAAAAAAAATATATTTATTTTGTTATTTTAATATGTCTATTCGTAATATACTTGTATTTTTTTTTTGTAATTATACTTTTCATATAAATATAATATATTATTGTCTCCTTTCAAATAATAAGTATATATTTACTTTTGGTGCTGTAATAATAGTGTAACGATATGTATGCTCTTTTTTTCTTTTACAAAAATAATGATGCGAGGTAAAAGCAAAAGTATTTGTGAAAAAAGATATGATATTTAATAAAATAATTATTTTGTAATTTTGGGGACGGAGTCAGTATTACATTTTACATAAAGTCGTCAAAATGGACTAAGTCCGTCGGGTTGACCCGTCCCGCCTTACTTTTAAGGAGGGTTGAGTTATGATTTCTTAAGCCCATTAAAATGCAAATCTAAATGGGCCAACCTGCGTGGGCCGCGGGTTGAAGATGGGTTATCCCGAGGTGAGGCAGGTTAGCCCGCGGACTAGTAAATATAATAATTAATAACCACCCGTCTAACTAAATGAATTTTTTTTACCATTTTTTATTCTCACATTAAAAAATTATAATAAAATTAATCAAATATTAATATTAAAATATATTTTAATTATATATAAATTACAAATATACCATTATAAATACAATTAGTTTATAAATAAGGTACAAAGAATAAAAAAAAGGTCAAAATATCTTGTACACTTTATTTAATAAATAACATAACATTATTTTTAATCTAATGAAAACAAATATTTTATGTAAAAACGAATAAAATAATATTTATATTATCATTAACTTAAACACGGCTTATTTTCTTCTCTAACTCCGTTATCCATGTCACTGTTATTTGTTTTGATTTTTCATCATTTATTTTGTTCGTTTTCCATTTTTATTATTTTATAATTTTACAAATTAATAAAATTAATTATGATTTATTTTTAAAATGGAGTATTTCTTATTATTAATTATTTTAAATACATCAACTAGAATTGAGAACTTTTATACTTGTTATTTATTTTAAAATATTTATTATTTAAATTTTACAATAAAACTATTTTTAGCTAATTTTAAATATTAATTACAAAAATATTTATAATATTAATATTCTTTTAATATTTTTAAAAAGTCTATGGGCTACTCCCGCTTAACTCGTCATCCGACGGTGAATTGGGTTGGACGGATGAAATTTTGATCCGTCCCGTCGCAAGTTGGCCCACAAATAATTGGCTTATTTGTGGGTTAAAGTGAATTGTGAGTCAATCCGCCCACTACCCTAATTTGAATGGTCTAATTTTACATAATATTATAACTAATGGTATTAAAAAACAAATGAGAGGGAGTGGTGAAAAAAACTGTTAAAAACTCCAAGATAAAACAAATTATACATTCATGCTGAGGGTGTATGGAATTTTATTGGAGATTACTATTTTAATTTACTATACAATCTATTTCATGGTATCACTGTAAGACCGTCTCCAATGCAATGTCAGAATTGACATGGCATCCCTATATTTGCCGTTAACGGTCTCAAATTGGGCGCTATTTCATACACCATTTTTTGTGTTTGCTAAAATGCATTACCATTTTTTATGTTGCACTGTAGCAAATGCTATTTATAGTGTATTTGTTCTTTTTTTTTATTTTTTTTTAATTTTTTAAATTATGAATTTGATTTTTAAATTTAATTTTTATTTTTTTAAATTTTTTAAAATTTTATTTAAAATTATAAAAATAAAAAGTTGTTTAAAATAATAAGAAAAATTGAATATTTGAAGAATAATAGTGAAAATGGAATTATGGTTAGAATAAAATTATAGTAGCAACTGGATAGAGATAAAATTGGACAAACAAAGTTGATAGATTGGAGATGATCTAACTCAAAGAGTTGAACTCCTTGAAATATGTGTGGATTGAAAAAAAAGTAATAATAATAATAATAAGAAAAGAGAAAGACACTCACACCAGTTTCAAATACAGAAATTGGGCCAACAAGCATTGAAGTCCATAAATGTTGGGCCAACAATAAATATAAATTTGTGATATGGAGGCCGGGCCGGCCAGATTTCCCAACCCGATAATGTCTGAAACCCACCACCGCGTCCCCTCTTAAAATCAAAACCTACTTGTCCTGTCCTGCTGGTCCGATCGTAATCTGCACCGTCGAGCTCCACAGCCACTGTGCTGCTCCTTGGAGTCTGTCTGCATCATTTCTTGTAAACCCTACACATTCAAAGCACTGATGGCTTTTTTACATCGAGTAAAAGGAATCTTGAGCCGGAGCTCGATGCAGCATCCGCTGTTATTTGCAGCGCAAGGTGTCCGGCATCGCAAGCTGGAAGTTATCCTCACCACTGTTAGATTCTCATCTCCCCTTTCTTTCCTTTTATATATATATATATATATATATAACCAAGTTTCTTGGAATAATCTGTAGCTTAGTTACTGTTGCCTTTGATGATTTAGACGATTGATAAGCTCGGGAAAGCCGGTGAAACGGTTAAGGTGGCGCCGGGGCATTTCCGGAATCATTTGATGCCAAAATTGCTTGCTGTTCCCAATATCGATAAGTTTGCGCATCTTATTCGCGAGCAGCGCAAGGTATTCTCTTTCCGGCTGGATTACATTTCTAATATTGTATTAGGAGGGTCGAATCTACTTGTTGTGGAAGTAGCAGATCTTACAAGTATAGGAACGAACTGATTATTCAACTCCTATATAAAAATAAAATAAAATCTGATGCTGTTTCGTGATCCTTGTGTTGATCATAGCAACTGTCTTTTGTATAGATCATGTACTAATTTATTGTTTTTAATCTTAATGCACTATTCATACAAGTTGATATTTTTTTGTTAATTATTCAGGCAATGTAAAATATAGTTTTGAAGATGATATCCTAGTCGATGCTTTCTGTGTCTAGTATTGTAGTTGGTGTTAATATAGTGCTGTCTAACCAGTACTTGCTTTGGATCTGCTTGCATATATTTCAATAGAAATATAAAAATCGTTTGCAACACCAAATACATTCCTCTTCCAATTCAACCTCACCATGCTTTGTGTAGCCTATATCCTATCCCTTTCCTTGCTTTTGCATGCATTGGCGGTTCCTAATTAAAATGTAGTAACTGACTTCTCTAAGAAAAAAAACAGAAGAAAACACTCATTTCTAGGGCCTCTGACTTGCCTCTAAGTAATTTGTGTTTGATGCTTCCATACTTGCTGTTGTTTTTGTCAGTGTAACATCTTATCACATGTTTTATGCCTCCACAGTCTTTGATTCTATCACAACATGCAATCATTTATAGCTTTATTTAATATATTGTTGTTGATGATGATGACGTTTACATTATTTTTTGAAATCCAATTTGATTAGATTTATGAGCCTAAGGAAGTTGAAGGGGTTAAAGTAGTTTCGAATACAGAGGAAAACAGCATGAAAGAGTATGAAGCAGCAGCAGATCGCCTTTCTAAAACTAGACTGGTATGTATGCCAAACTTGTATCTTTAACCCGTTTATGGCACCATGAAGGATTTCACATGAATTTCCACACTTGTATCTTGAAGTTTGGAGGCTTTTGATATCCTTGTGATATTATTCTTCTTATTTCATGTATTAAACCATTAATTCATTCTTTCTCCATTGCATTGCCATATATTAAATCCAGCTGTGAGCTATTAATTTAATGTTTGCAATAAAGCTGTTGAAAAGCCAGGCATTGTGCGATTGTTGCAGTATAATGTGTATAACATAATGTTCAAGTTTAGTTTCAGCATCGTGTTAGAGCAATTATGTGTTCATTATGCTTGATATTCCTAGCTCTTAGTTGGCAGGAACTATCAAATTGGGGGAGAATGCCAATGTATTGACTATTGATTGTTCTCATATGGCTTATTGTTTTCAATCCATTTCTGATATCTTGTCTTTGATATAATCTGAAAGGGTGAGCGTAATTTTTCTTTCAGAATATAAGGAAGTTCATTATAGAGGGAAAAGGCAATGAACTGCGTGATCCAGTGACCAAAGAGGAAATCCTGGCGGAGGTATTCTTTTATCCTTATAAAAATTTAACCATATAATCTAGCAAGTTGGGGTTTTGTTCTTTTCTATTATTACTGGCTGACAGCATCATGACATACCCACATACTCTGGTCATTCATAAAGTTGGCGATGAAACTATATGTGAATTGGTGTTTTGAAGCTAAGAACCCTTGTAAAGTTATTGCACCTGTAGCAAGAGCGGTGATAGTCTCCAGAGTCAATTATTTGCAGTATGGCATTGCCATATTGATGGATAGTAATTCCATGTTCTGCTTTTGCATCGCAGTTATTATTGTTGTTGTTTTTGTATGTTAAGTGCCGTGTGGCTGTAATGCTTATAGATGATGTTTCTTTATATTTTTTCCTTGCCGTGTCAGGTGCGTAGGCAGCTTCAGGTGCAAATTGAAGCAGAAAATCTGCACTTGCCAGCTCCTCTATCATCTTTGGGAGAGTTCAAGGTTCCACTCCGCCTGCCAAAGTCTATTTCAAAAGCGGCTGGAAGCGAGTGGATTCTCAATGTCAAAATTAGAAAAAGGTGAGGATCAATTAAGTGGTTAATCAATCAATCAATCATCAGGTGAGTCTTCCTTTTGCCCCATGAAGATTTATGTCAGAGAAAGCTAATCAAATGATTTGGTTTAGCAAGAAATTGTGATAGCAGCTAGAGTTTTTTGTAAATGCATTCATTCATTCACTCAATCAAGAAGTTGTAGGCCCACCCATTTTACTCAATCAAATAACACAACACATACAATACATGACGGATGATGATGATGATGCTGCTGCTGCTTTGTCCAATATGCACTTGTGCTTGCATTATATATAGTTGAATTGTACAATAGCTGATGGGGGCATTGTACTGATGATGCCAAGACCAGACCAGATAGCCAGCCAGTCAACCCAATTCAGTCCCTCAGCAGGCAGATAGATAGATAGATAGATAGATACTTACACGCATACATACATAGTCCACAGGTCAGCTCAGGCAGCTGGATGGCTAGCCGTCCATGCATCTGTACCGGCAGCATATCCACAACCAGATGACAAACAGAACCAGACATGTATATAAACACGTCAAGCGACAGCAGGATTATCCAAACTTGCTTCTTCCGAATTCTGCCCCGGCAGCAGCATTTCTCCCCCTCCCCCTTTCTTATAATTATCTTCATTATTGCTGACCAGTCTATTCTTCTTCATCTTCCTCGAACCCTTCTCCCCATCCCCATGGAGATAGATCGATCCGCACTGCAACTCCTCCGCTTGCCCCACTCCCAGCTCCTCCTGCCCTTTACCTCTCGGCGACCCAAACAAGCAAGCGCTGGAAAATCGGGTTGAATTCCCCCTGAAAGCCGCCGCAATGGGATTTGTTAACGAGGGGGAAATAGACCAAGGGTTGGTCGATGAGGAACGCGTAGGTCTTGGATCGGACGGTGGCATGGAAGGGCGGGGTGTGGTGGAGGCGGCATTTGAGAGCGACCGCCTTGTCGGAGGGGAGAGCATAATCGGCCAGTATCGTCGTCCCCTTGGCTACGCACGCATAATGAAGCAGATCCGGATCTCGAAACATCATCATCATCATCATCATCATCAGATGAGATGAGATGAGATGAGATGATATATTCAGATTCATCACCATCGCATTCAATATTGCTATTATTAGTAAATAGTAACCAGCCAGTACCAGAATGCAGATGAAGGAAGGAAGGAGGCACATCGAAGGGAAGGGAAGGGAAGGGAAGGGAAGGGAAATTATTGGTGGGAAGTTAGGCGGGCGGGGTTCCTAATCGCAGCAGACAGCAGGGTTGGGGGTGAAGCAGCGCCAGACACGTACTGACATACATGCATACGCATATACATACGGAACTGGAACTGGAACTGGAAATGGAAATGGACCTGGAACTAAAAATTTAGATGAAGGAAGAAGGAAGGAACGAACCAACGAACGAAACAAACTCTCTTTGGGTGGGCAAGGGCAAGGGCAACCGCAACCCAGCACCCACGCCAGCTCACCCCTCTTCTCTTCTCTTCTCTTTTCTGCTTTCTTTCGCTGTTACTATTTATTATTATTATTATTGTTATTATCATCATCATCGTAGATTAGATTAGATAGTAAAATTAAATTCAACTTAAACTAATAGTTGAATGATTTCTTGAATGATAGGGGGCTTGGTGGTGATTGTAGTAGATTTAGTGTGGGCACATGATTGCTCGATCAGCACAGCACAGCGTGTCACGTAGTAGGAGTAGGAGCAGCAGCAGCAGCATATGATCACAAGTTGGAATCCTACTCAGTCCAGTCCAGTCCAGTCCAGCCACAGCCACCCTGTCTGCCTTGCTCTTGTTCCTTCCTTCCTTTTCAGTTTGGTTTTGGGCCCGAGATGGAGTGGCTGATGGGCCTCGCCCCTCTTCTTTTACTTTTTGATGATTTTTTACTAAACTATGCTATGCTATGCTATGCTGCTACCAGTACCACGCATCTTTTTTTAAATGCCTAAATACACTTCTTCACATTCACAATCACGACGGAAAATCGAAATTGAAGCAAATATTTATTTATTTTTAATTTTTCACACAATCAGATAAGAACCTAAAAGCATCGTGGAATAAAATATTTATCCCTTTGTTTGTTCAAGTTGAACCGGACCGGAGGGAAAACGAGAGTGCCGGCCGGGTGCCGCACCTACAACTACCCACCCGTCCGTCCCTACCCTACCGTAGGATGAAGAGAATTACTAATGCAATTAGTTAATTGTAAAAACATCTAGGGTCAGGTCATCCACGCACCGCACCGCACCGCACCTCTCTCCCCCCCGTATAATTATCTTGCAGATAGAGTAGAAAAGACGCACCCCTTTCCGGAAATACTACATTTTATTATGAAAACGATCCTCCACTAGGTTTGGTTTTGGTTTTCGTTTCGTTTCGTTTTGTTTGAATCGGTTCGGTTGGTGGTTGGTTTCTCCTTCTCTCTTCCATTTTTCTTTCAGATTCGTTTGATCTCTTCTTCCCTCCTCTGGTCTGGAGAGGAGAAAGAAGCAAGAGAGATTGATTAATCAGCGGAGATAATTTAATAATAGTAATCATATTAAGATAATCAGGAGGAAGAAGAAGAGGAGGAGAACGAAACAGACACACAAAGACATAGAACACGAAGAGAACGGAGCAAGCATTACGTTATTAAATCAGAGTCATATTTTGGATATTACCGCACCGGCCCTCTCCCAGAATCCTGTCCGAGATCGACATTCCCCTCTGTGCTGTGATCAGGTACTTCTCCGATCCGATCGAATCGATTCGAGGGATTTCAAAAGACGGATCTTTTCCCCCTTCTTTGGGAGGCTGTCTCCTTTTTCTCCCAATATTGAAATTTGGGGGAAAAAAGAGGAGCGGATCTCTGGAAATCTACCAGCGAAATTTGTTGAAGCCTAAATTGAATACTACCCTACGTAATGGCCGCGATTGATATGGAGAGTGTGGAATGCGTGTCTTCCTCCGATGGAATTGAAGATGAAGAGATCCAGTCGTCAATTTCTTCAAATCTTCATAATGTTCATCACGTTCTCCCCAATCAGTTTGCTTCAAAGCCTAATGGCTTGGTTCCCTCTGCTATTGGCCCAACGAGCGTCCATGAATTGCTGGAATGCCCTGTGTGCACCAATTCTATGTACCCACCAATCCATCAGGTTTGTTATATAGATTTATTTGCCTCATCCTTTTGCACCAATTATATAGATCTATATAGATGGGTGTAATTGATGCGATGTGAAGAACTCTCTAATACAAGATGTGTTTCTGTTTTCTTTTCTAATGCTAACCAAAGTGTTCCTTTCAATATGTTTGTAGATTAGTAATCTTTGTTTACTTTGCCCACTTTCATTTGGCACTATTTATTTTTACAACATCTTAGAACATCTTATCAAATACTAATTTTTTTTCTTTTCCCAAACGTTCAAAATTCCAAAAATCTCTACCTAAACAAAAAGGTTGAAATTAGAATCTGTTGAATGGAAGTTGAAATCCGATCTTTTATGTAGTCATGCAGTATGAAAAGGATGAGTGTCTGGTTTGTATATAAGAATTTTTAATCTATATATATATATATATCTGAAAAGGATGAGTTTGTGGCACAGTCCCTTGTTAAAGGTTGGTGCTTTATGCTAATTAAGGATTCTCCATAGCTCTTGCAGTTTATTGGAATGAAATTACATTTTTCGATATGCAGTTCTCATAATGTCTATATTTATCAATCTACTCTGCAGTGCCATAATGGGCACACACTCTGCTCTACTTGCAAGACAAGAGTGCACAATCGATGTCCTACCTGCAGACAAGAGCTTGGAGATATAAGGTGTTTAGCGTTAGAAAAGGTTGCAGAATCACTAGAGCTGCCCTGCAAGTACTATTCGCTGGGGTGCCCTGAAATTTTCCCATATTATAGAAAACTCAAGCATGAGGGCGTGTGCAATTTCAGACCATATAATTGCCCTTATGCTGGATCTGAATGCGCAGTTACTGGGGATATTGCTTTTCTTGTCTCCCACCTGAGAGATGACCACAAAGTTGACATGCACACAGGATGCACCTTCAACCATCGCTATGTTAAGTCAAATCCTCGTGAAGTAGAAAATGCAACGTGGATGTTAACAGTGAGTTCGACACCTTGTTTTTCTCTTTCAACATTGTTTGAGTACAAGTACTGAGAGCCCTATTATTTCATAGATTGTGATATTTTGAGTTATACTGTTATATGTCACAACCTTCATCTCTCATCGCCATTGTTTTGTTGTGCCTTTGAACCGATTTGGGTTAACTGGATGGGATAGTAGATGATAGTTGTAGACCACAGTTGTGAATGGCTTGCTCTTATGTCTTTGATCTCAACTTAGTTTACTAGATCTAGAATCTAGAATCTAGATAGCTGGCCATTGTAATAGCTCACTCACGCTGGTAGAGAATTCTGGATTTGCTCTTTTTTTTTTTTGGTGCTGTAAATGATCCATTGCAAGCATATATCTAATGATCTATTTCCGGCACACTGTTCCATCAGGTATTCCATTGTTTTGGGCAATACTTCTGCCTTCACTTTGAAGCATTTCAGCTGGGAATGGCCCCAGTGTACATGGCCTTTCTCCGTTTCATGGGTGATGAAAATGAAGCCCGCAACTACAGCTACAGTCTAGAGGTAGGAGGGAATGGGAGGAAGCTGACGTGGGAGGGTACCCCAAGGAGCATCAGAGATAGCCACCGTAAGGTGAGGGATAGTCATGATGGTCTTATTATACAGCGAAACATGGCCCTTTTCTTCTCTGGGGGCGACAGGAAAGAGCTTAAGCTCAGGGTGACAGGAAGAATTTGGAAGGAGCAACAGAGTCCGGATGCAGGGGCATGCGTGCCAAATGTTTGTAGCTAATTGTTGTTTGGCCTTGATTGCTTGCTTGCAGCTCTGCTTGTTTGGTGTGTATCTGTGAGACGGAAAGGAGAGCCTAAGTCCCTTTTGTTTTTGCATGCTAATGTGTATTGCATAGCTTGTAACTGTAACTGTTACTGCATTTTTCATTAAATTGTGAAGCAGCACTCCTACAGTTGTGTTTATGGATGATGATGCTACTTAACAATTTCCCCCCACAGAAGTAGAACTGACCTTATTCTGTTTGGATTGGATGTTGGTTGTTCATTCTATTGGCAGTACATTCCTCTGAAGGTAAGCCTTCTTAGCCTTAGAGCAGCAGATGCAATGATCAAAAAAAGAAGAGCCCTTGTATATCACATGTTTCTCACACAGCAGCATTCACATCACTCACCTCCCACCTCCCAAAAGGAATTCAATCTTCAAATCCTTTCACAATTCGTACGAGAGCCCGTCTTCTGCCAGGAGGAGGAGGAGGAGGAGGAGGTATGTTTACAGTTTCAATTTTATTGGATGACTTTTAGTTAAGCTGTTTGCATATAAATTTCATCTATTCAATTTCTGTCTGAACTAAAGATTCAATCAACGAATTTAACAAATTTCACTTACATGTATGTTCCTATTTACTCGAATCATGTTTAAACAATTCGGTATTTCTGTGAATTTGGTGTCAGAATTTTGATATTCTTGTAGTGCTGTGCTGTACTCAAATTTTGTTAAAATGGCAGTCACCTACACTGCATGGATGGACATGAACAATTATGGACCAACTATTTATTTGAGACTTTTCGCCTTCCTGATGCATGATTAGAACTTTATATTTTCTTATCTTAGATTACAATATAAAATTAAACGATGGGGGAGCAAGATGTCTGTGGTGGCTGGTGGGTGGTGTTGTATTAGAAAATACTATACTCCCCAACCCTATTGTTTTTCCTTAATTTTTTAATGAAAAATGGAGGTACTGGCTGCGGTGCGGCTGGCAGTATTAATTAAATAAAAAGTGTGTATGTACTGTACTGCAATTGACATTCAACGAGGTCCTTTTCCGCAATTTCCTAAAAAATGACTGACGACTAGTCTTCTTCCTCTTCTACGACGTTCCGCAGTCTTCGCTCGTGATATCTATATATACTAAATACGTTCTACACACTCGCACACCCCGACTGCGGAATTGATAAAACCCTCGAACAATCTCGGATTTTGATAGCTGCCCCCATGGCGATTCTCTCTGAGTACAAAGAAGAAGACCAGAAGAAGCCGACGGCGTCGACCTCATCTACGACGAAAACGTTTTCGGCAGCACTCGATCCGTCGGATCCGCTAGGGTTTTTGGAGAAGGTTTTCGAGTTCGTTGCCAAAGAGACGGATCTGTTCAAGAGCGACAATCTGGTGAAGGATGTGAATGCAGTGGTTAGAGTGGTCAAGGATAAAGTGGAGGCTGAAGAGAAGAGTAAGAAGGATGTGAAAATCGATGGGAATGGTAAGGTGGAAAAGCAGGCTAAAGCGCGGGAGCAGGAGGAAGCGAGGGACGATGCGGTCAAGAAGGAGTCTGCCCACCCCCCGGTTGAAAAGGCAGAAGAGGAGGTGGTGACCGAGGCGAAGGGAAGCGGGAGTAAAGCGGAAGAACAGGAGAAAGGGTCTCGAGGTAATTTGAACGCGGATGTTTGTTTAAATAAATTCCTCTATTTTGGAGTCTTTTCTTTGATTGGGCGTCAGCATTTTATTCATTGTAGTCTTGCTTTACTAGAGATTGTTGCTTGGACAACTGATGCAATGTGATGGAGTAGTAAGTTGACATTCGCATTAGCTTCTCTGGATTGCACCTTTTTGCATTCATGTGTCTTTCTTGAACTTTTAGCAGCCAGCCATTTCTTCAACATGAACAGAAGACTGACAATCTTCATTCTAGCTTCATCCAAAAGTCTAATCAGTATAAGACTAGTGTCTAGGATGTGTATTATAGCAATTCTCTCTGATCCTATAGGCATGGGAAGTATGGAAAATAAGGCTAATTCATCTTTAGCAGTCTCACCTGAAGTCTGAGGTTAAGCAGAGAATAATAATTGTGGGGTTTGAACTGTCTGATGCTGCGCGATTTAATATTATGTGAAAACAAGGAGGTACAAATCATTGTTTAATTGCCTATTTATTCATGTAGACTAGCATTCCTTCACTATAGTTCGAGACCCATGCCAAGCTATCAGAACCTTGGAATGTACATTGTATAAACTCAAGCATTTTGTGCTAATTCATTTGAGATGCTCTCTTTGTGTCAATGTTTGATTTTGTTTATATTGGCTCCTGTTCTATGTTTCTGGTTTTTATTTTAAAAGGCTTGTCTTGATTAGTGATGTCTAAAAGTTTTGTATCCCTTATCAGCTCCTAACAGAGCCAATGGCCTTGACATGGATACATACACTTGGGGCCAAACCTTGCAGGAGGTCAACATTACTGTTCCCGTCCCTCCTGGTACAAAATCAAGATTCATTTCTTGTGAGATAAAGAAGAACCATCTGAAAGTGGGACTCAAGGGTCAGCCAGCAGTTATCGATGTGAGTTTGGCCACTGTGCTGTGGTTATTAATCCATCTTTTCCCTATCATATACTTGTTCTAGTACTCAATTAACATGTTTGCTTTGCTCAATTATTAAGTGTTGCCTTTTATATAATTGCAGGGAGAACTCTTTCAGGCTGTGAAGGTTGATGATTGCTTCTGGAGTTTAGGTAGGACTTACTGATTTTCAGTTAAACTATGCATGTAGTGGCATGCTTATTGTTGTTAACAATATTCTGATGGCATCTTGTTGTGTTGTACTTGTACCGGTTGCATATTTTGAAATAATGTGTTAACTTAGTAGTGTCCAACTAATCTATAATTCAAATTCTTGCAGAGGACCAGAAATCTGTCTCCATTCTTCTGACTAAACAAAACCAGATGGAATGGTGGAAATATCTGGTGAAGGGAGAGCCGGAGATAGACACTCAGAAGGTAGAGCCAGAAAACAGCAAATTGTCTGATCTGGACCCAGAAACGCGGACCACCGTGGAGAAGATGATGGTAAGCTTTGATGGTCCAATTAGAAATCTAATTCATCCACCCTAATGGGGCTGTTGAATCTATTTGACTTTTTGTTTGGATGGAGGAATCAGCTGTGTGCTTTGAGCGTAATTGGGCTTATTTAGCATATACGCTAGGGGTGTGGGGGTAGAGTACTGATTCCTAAGGGGGTGACCCCTCCCCCTTAATAAATGATTAACCAAATGCTAATTTGACCTTCCTGGTAACCTGTGTGTGTTTGGCAATATATTTTTATGGTTATATATTTCTTCCCTCCTTGTGTGGAGTGGAGCCATGCCAGGTTCCATCCATCCATCCATACATCCATAGCTATTGCTTGGTTTGGTTTGCCCCTCTCCTCTGCTCTGCCCTTGTCTTGTTATGCTGTTGATTAATAAAAATGTTTTGGATGTATGACTTTTTTTTTTTTTTTGTTTTTCTATCTGTCTATCAGTTTGACCAAAGACAGAAGCAGATGGGCCTTCCTACCAGCGATGAGATGCAGAAGCAAGAGATATTGAAGAAGTTCATGGCAGAGGTGAATGAAGTTTGATTAGGCGTGGTGTCGTCTTTTCCATGCGTTTGATATTTTCATGTGAACTTTCTTTCTGAAGTTAGTATAAAATGCTGAAGAGACAAGTATGTACGTGATTTTTGGTTGCAGCATCCGGAGATGGACTTCTCGAAGGCGAAGATATCCTAAAGAGGCAGGGGGCTAGAGCTCGCTCTGGAAAACAGAGATAATACATAGAGAGGAGGAGGAGGAGGCAAGGCAGGACAGGACAGGACGGGATGGGACAGGAGGCAACATGAATGAATGAATGAATGAGATTGCGTTGTTGCCTTTTCTTCCTTTGCTTTGTGAAGTTGTTACTTCAGTGAGTGAGTCATGGGACCTTCTTTGCTGGACTAGAGATGGATGATCCTTATGATGGGCTAGCTTGAGATCATCATCATCACCATCATTATATATCAATTTGGGAACGCTTACTCTCTAGTTGTGTGTGTGTGTGTGTGTGTGTGTCTCTATTAAATTTGCTACTGCTGCTGCGTCGTGAATGGACTTGGTTGGTTGGTTGGTTGGTTGGTTGGTGCACCATCACTCATCAACTCACTCACTCCCTCCTGTGCTGTGCTGTGCATCTTTGCATTATTTGTCTGCAGGAGGAGCTAAGCTAAGTTAAGCTGGAAGACGAGTGGTGGAGTGGGGTATACTGCTACTGCTACTAATACTACTGCTACTACTACTAGTGCTATTATTATTATTATTTATTATTCATTATTCCCACAGCACAGCAGTGAACTCTGAAGGGTGAACTCGCTCAACTCTAAACTCTCTTAATAGGACAGGACATGATATAACTAGCTAGTGATCCGCTCATGAACCAACCAGCCAATCAATCAATCAGGTTGTGCCAGCCAATTACCAAGTATTCCTGCCTTGCCCATCGGTCCCAGATACACAGGTGACTGACCTGACCTGCTGCTTGCTTTATCAGGACAGGGATATATATATATATATATGTATCTTGTCGTCTTTTCCTTCGCCTCTCTCTCTCTCTCTCTCTCTCTCTCTCTCTCTCTCTCGTTAGTTTTGTTGTTGTCTCCAGGGCAGGCTCTCAGGCTCAGAATCTAGATTTAGATTTGCTCATGATTAATAATAAGGAATCCCAAACACTGCTGCTGCTGCTGCTAGTAGCTTGTTCCACTTGTAGTTCTAATCCTAATTCTAATTGAAGAATAAAAAAAAGAATGAAAGAAAGCATTATTACAACAACACCGCCGGCCGGGTGGGCAATGGTTGTTGCTGCTGCTGCAATTACACTTGACTTGATTGATATATCGCTCACTATTTTGTCTATTTTAATTTGTCTCCTTCCCAATGCATACATAAGTTAGAGTAGATTCTTATTATATTCGCCAGAAAGAAAACAAGAGATGAGTTTAATTTTGTTATTTAATGTCACCGTCACAATGATGCAACCAACACACATACACTACGCTACAATGCATGCATATTAGAGGGAGGAGGGAAATGGCCAAGTTGGTGGAAATGCACGATGGAATCGTCACCATCACCATCACCATCATCGATCCATCTCTATTTACTTTATTTTGCTTGCCCTACACTATTCGCTACCCTGCTGCTGTGCAAATCCGACTCTTCGAATATCCAAACCAGAATCTAGAGCAAGTGTGCACTGAGATACACATGCATACATACTGAGATTAAATTATAGTGGTAATAATGAAATGGGATTTTACTTCCACTAATAAAAAGTAATAATATATATATATATATATATAGTCAGATACTACCGATATTACATAGGGATCGATATGAATAATTCATTGTCTAGTTGGAGTTGAACCTGATAGCCCAACCCTGCCCAGATGCATTACAGAGTGACATTGAGAGTGACCTCTAACAACAACTTCCTCCATGTAACGACAAAAATAATACTACTCTACTATACTCCCACTACTTTTTAACTTCTTACATGTTGTAGTATGAGTTCCTTTATATGATTTGATTAATTAATTGAATAGTAATGCTCTGTTCCCCCACAAATATGTAACCACAGTTTCCGGTTTACCTTTACACCTGAATATTTCACCTTTTTCACTGCACTGCACTACACACTCCTGTCCCCCTTCCCTCTCATAATCCAGCTAAAACTTTGATTGATTACTTCTAAAGACTCATTCTTCATTGATTGCCGCTGTCCTGGTTCTACTGTGACTTAGTCTGTCTATAAAAGGGCTTTTCCTCCATTAAAGTTGCTTGTCTTCTTCTTCTGTATATGCTTGGAAAAAACAGAATTCGGGAGAGGATCGGAATTTGTACAACACGATTTCATGTATGCAGAAACTGGCTGATGTTTCCCTACTTTCAGAGCTTCTCTCAAGAAATTGAGCCGTTAGATGAGTTTTTCTCATTTGAGAAGCCCAATGCTTCATTGGTAAATTTATTGTCTTCTCATCTTGCTCACCCGGCATTTCTCTATTTCCTCAGAATCACCTCTATTTTCTCTTCTGTCTATCTTTCTTCACACTTTACTGGATCATTTTCATTTCTTGACTTATCATGGTTGTCTGCCCTGCTTTTTGTGGATTAAGTTTTATTTGATCTGATTCTTGGCGGGTTATGCTTTTAGTAGGTGATTTCAAGAATCTTGCTTCAGTTTCTTCTGAGGTTTCAACCTGAAATATGTTGATATCCATAATCCATTCTTCTTCATTGAAAAAAGCAGTGTTTTTTATTAGACTGCTGCTGTAACAATCCATCACCACTGGTGATTCTGTTTGCTTCAAAGATTCGGTTTTTTCCTATGAAGTTCTGCACTGACATGAAATTAAAGATGGCAGAAATGAAAACCCTTCAAGTTCTAAGTATGGTAGAAACAAGGAAGCACAGGAAAATCGTATCACAATCATTAGGACCGTGTTCTTCACGCAATCATCCCTTGCCATTTTCTGGGAATTAGTGTGGAATGAGTTGAATTTCCACTCTCTTCTTTTTTCAGCTTCTAGATATGAAGCTTTTAATTTTAATGTCTCCTCGTTGAGGATTTCACTTAAAAGATGGAAAATTTGGAGAAAAGTCACCTTTAACTTTTGGGTCTGAGTGCTTCAGTTTTCAAAGAAGAGAAGGTTTGCTGCCTGCCTAAATTATATATATATATATATATATATTATAGCCTTCCCTTTCTTGAAGGAAGGGTTTGTGATCTTTCTTCTAGTCGGTCACTTCATGTAGGGGTCAGCTTTGGTTGTGTAATCTGTTTTGATATTATCATCTATGAAATAGGAAAGTGCAGAGGTCTGGTTTCTGCGGGGCGACAATATAATAAAGGGACCATTATAACATATCAGTACAATCATGGGTGGTGGTTCAGTTTTCCTGTACGCGCGCACTGCTCAGTCAATCCTTTCCTTGCAAAGAAATTCTGAAATAGTAGTGTTGATGATTGTACACAGGGCATGCCAAGTAGCCTCATTCAAACATCCTCCCCCATATCTGACTACAACCTTGGTGGGGAAGGGGACCTGTTCAAGGCGCCCGAGCCTGTGATGTCGATCTCCATCTCCATGGGTGTTGATCCATTGGCAGCTGCTGCTGCAATTTCAATGGTTTCTTGTGGAGAAGATGGCCTGTCATCCCAGTTGCCGGCTGTGTCAGACATCATCAAATCATCATCTATTGAGAATGGGCAGCTCCTCCACCACCTCCGCGAGGTGTCGTATGAATGCGGCAGCAGCAGCAGGAAGGACATTCTGATTATGGAAGGGACTGGAATGCCTCTCTCAGTTCAAATACGTACGGATGACGAGGTTGTTATTGTGGATGACGAGGTTGGGGGCGAGAGTCCGTTTCAAAAGAGTGCTAGTTTGAGTTGTCTAAGGTCAATGGACAGCGTGTATAGTAATGACAATAATAAGGCAATCCCGAGGCCACCGCAGCCTGCTGCTGCTAGCAGCTTTCCAGTAGCATTGGAGGACTTTGGGGTGATGAGGCGTGGATTCAGTGAAGGCGACATAAAGGTCCCATTTTGAATATAGAGGATTTGTACTTGTACTTCATCTATCCATGTGTATGATCTGAGTGGGGTTGTGTTTCTTCTGTAAGTGCAGGCTCTTGGCACTGGCAATGGCGACATTAATCTCGTAGAGTCTCCACTGGGACATCGTCATCATCATCATCATCAACAACAACAACCTCAGATAACGAGCAGCCCCCCCGCCTGTGCTTCTGCTGCTGTGCCTGTAAAAGATCGGAGGGAAAAGCTGTCGAGATACCGGAGTAAGAAGTCCAAGAGGAACTTCAGCAGAAAAATTAAGGTGAGACTACTTAATGGAGTGAGTGAGTGACAACCAGCAGCAGGTTGTTTGTCCATTTATTAAACTAATTAATGGTTGTGTTGTGTGTGTGTGTGTGGGGGGGGGGGGGGGGGTGCAGTATGCTTGCAGGAAGGCGTTAGCAGATAGCCAGCCAAGAATTCGTGGAAGATTTGCCAAGACTAATTAACTGAACAACAACAACCGGAAATGCACAATTAAACCAGAAAGAACAGATTCAAGAATCCATTACATTCATTCCTCCTGCTCCACCACCACTTGCAAGCTGCACCTGCACCTGCACCTGCATGTATTATTTATAAGATCTGCTGTGGAAGGATAAGGTACGGTACGGTAAGGTAAGGTAAGCTAAGCTAAGGTAATGAAGGAGAGACAGATGATCCGCCAGTGCCAGTGCCAGTCCCAGCCCCAGCCGATGCGGGGCAAAGAGAGGAGTCATTGTAGTGTAATGTAGTGTAGATTGATTGGTAAATAAAATAGCAATCAAGTGAAGTGAAGTGAAGTGCAGTGCAGTTCAGTGCTATGCTGTCCTGAATTAGATTTAGATGATAATGTGTATATACTGTATGTTTGATTGATACTGCTCTAGCAGCTACGACAACAACAATAATAATACTGTTAGTCAGTCTTGGATCAGATCCATAGATGGCTAGGGTAGGCTTTGGTGTGCTCGTATGTATTGTCTGCAAGTATGTCTGTCTGTCTGTCTGTCTGTCTGTCTATCTATCTGTGGGCTTTGGTGGTCGCGATGCAGTTTTAAATAAAAACTTAGTTGGCCTATGGGCCGTCGGTCCATTAGGCTCCGTGGGTTGGCCCCTTTTTAGGTTTTGGCTATACGGCGACGTTTTATTCACCGCCTCTCCCCCTTTTCCCCTCTCCCTTTCCCTTCTGCCTGCCTGCCTGCCGGTCTTGCAGTTGGTTACAATTTTTCTTTCGCATTTGTTAGCGTTTGTTTGCTGGGAGAAGAACAGAATAGACCATTTTATTATTGTACCCGGGGAAGGGGAAGAGCTGCCGATCAAGAAAGAGAATGGCCAGCAATCTATGCCGCGCATCCTCCTCCTCCTCCTCACTGATTGCTAGATCCGGATTCTCCACCTCCACCGCTCGCCGATTCATTAGCACCACGGCTCAGCTCCTTCAGAATCAGCAGCAGGAGTCGGCGCTTTCCAAGGACCACAAAGAGACGAAGATCCGCGAACAGGTGCCGAATGAGGAACAAATGAATTCCAATATTATCGAAGATGGCGGTAGCGAGGATGAGGGCGTGGACGACGTTAACAAGGAGACGGGCGAGGTAGGAGGCCCTCGGGGGCCGGAGCCGACCAGGTACGGGGATTGGGAGAAGAACGGGCGCTGCTACGATTTCTGAGCGAACAATCAAATATTGGATGGGTTAGATGGCATGGTGTAGGCTTTGATTCGAGAATAATAATAATCTTGTCTTGGCTTGACTGGACTTGTATTGGATAGGTAGATATATATATATATATAGAGAGAGAGAGAGAGAGAGAGAGAGAGAGAGAGAGAGAGAGTGTGTGATATTGTAAAACCATCTATAATCTATCTACTTTGACTTGGAGTTGCCTTTGCCTTTGTGATGAATACAAGTCCCTCTCCCCTCCTAATTCCCTTCCATTCCCAAACACACACATACCCTGGCCTTCCTTGCTTCCTTCCAGCCAGCCAGCCAGCCAGACTGCCAATTCCAAACAAGGCTGGCATGATTCGGCAAGGCCGATTATTCCCTTGAGATCATAACAGAGCAGAGCATAACATAAAAGACCCCAACCCCAATCAAGTCCACCGCATCTCAGTTCTTCAACCCACCACCACCATCACCAATTCATGTCCACGCTCGCGCCCGCGCCCTTCTTTCCTAGTATTTCAACAACGGTAGTAGTTGTTGTTGCAGCAGTACTACTTCTCCTGATTCTCTATGCACCTGGTTCCAGAGGGCAGGGCATCATCAACAATAATACTCAATGCCCTTCTTCGTCCTCTTCTTGTGGCAGCATCCGAGACATTCGGTTCCCTTTCAGATTGAGGACCGACCCCAGCTCTTGCGGATACAACAGCCCTTATTTCCAGCTCGACTGCCTCAACGATCGGCCTCTTCTCACCCTCAATTCCAGGCGCTACTATTACGTGCAAGAGATCAATTATGATGACTACTCCGTCAGGCTATCCGATCCCGGCGTGTTCATGGGGCCGGGCAGAACAAACCTCTCTTCCTGCCCCCTTTACTCCAACACCTACGATGATTGGCCCGCCACCATCTTTGCCAACTTCCTTGATTTCAATGTGCCGGTAGCCTTTATCCACTGCTTGTCTCCTCCTCCGGTCAACTCTAAACAATATGTGAAGGCCCCTTTCTGCGGCAGCACGACCCGAATCTTTGCAAATTCTTCCGAGTTTCATAGTTATGCCTTGGTTGGAAGGTTTGTGGTGTCGGATCTGGAGGAGCTGTGTACGGTGGACATGGTGACTCAGGCCTCCATCCGTGGGCCTATGACCATGAGTGGTGACAACTCTTCTTCATTGGCGAGGATTTATGATGGGCTGGCGTATGGGTTCGAGCTTTCGTGGTTTCGAGTCCTTTGTGACGACTGTGAGAGGAGCAATGGGTTTTGCAGCTTGGAAGGGAACGCCATTACTTGCCGGAAGTACTGCAGTGAGGACATCCCACTTTCTAAGTTGAGCTTTAAATGTGAGTGATCTGATTGTGTTGGGATTGAATTGAATTGTTCCTTCTTTATAGCCGTGCTGCCTTTTGCCCGTAATGATTGGAATTGGAATGGACAATGGCGGTATTTGCTGCATTTTGATCCAAAATGTTATGGTTTAGCGGTTTAAAGTTTTGCACTTCGGCATTTTATTCATGGAAGCTGCATACATACATTCATTCATTCGTGTTCAATCTCCTGGTTCACACACACTCCACAATCCTTATGTTTCAGCTACTTAGAAATGATTATTAGTACTGTGATAAGTGTTTGTGTTGCCTAGTTGTAGTATTTTGCTGATGCTGGCTACATCATTGGTTTGATTGATTGCAGGTCAATTCGAGTATTGGGGAGGTGAGCTCTTCTCTTCTTAAATACACATTCATACAATTTATGTTGTCTTTGGGAGCTTTTTGCCTTGTAACTTAATACAACATTGTTGTCCTCCTTTTGTACGTGTATTCACAGTGATAATTGGAGCTTACGGTTTTTTGTCAATTGGTGAGTTCCAAAACCTTCTATTTATATCGTTTATGAACACATGCTTAATAAAAACTTTGCCACAGTTGTGTTTATGAATGAACTTGTTGCTGTGTGATCTAGATTCTAAATGACAAATCTTTTGCCTGGGGAATTGTGAAATATGCAGCTGGCCTTATTGGTCTGAGATTTGTAATTGGATTCCCTCTTCTCATGTGGCTCGTGGTGTACAAGTGGAGGAGACGGCATTTGTCCATGGATGAATCCATCGAAGAGTTTCTGAGGAGCCACAACACTCTCACGCCCGTAAAGTACAGTTACTCAGAGATCAAGAAGATGACCGAAAATTTCAACCAAAAATTGGGTGAAGGAGGGTATGGAACGGTGTACAAAGGAAAACTTCGCAGTGGGCCTGAGGTGGCAGTGAAGCTGATGGACCAATCTACGGCGAGCGAGGAGGAATTCATAAGTGAAGTTGGCACAATCGGGCAGATTCACCATGTCAATGTGGTGCAGCTCATTGGTTTCTGTGTGGAAGGCTCCAAGTATGCTTTGGTGTACGAGTACATGTCCAACGGCTCCCTTGATAGGTATATCTTCAACCAGCAAAGCCTAGACATCCTTGCTTTGAATTACGAGACCATGTTTGAAATTGCGCTGGGAGTGGCCCGCGGGATTGGGTACCTGCACCACGGCTGCAACATGCAAATCCTGCACTTTGACATCAAGCCGCACAATATATTACTTGACGAGAAGTTCAACCCCAAGATATCTGATTTTGGGCTTGCCCAACTGTACCCGGCGGGTGGCAGTACGATAAACCTACCGGCTGCAAGGGGGACGATAGGGTACATGGCACCGGAGATGTTCTACAGAAACATTGGGAGCATCTCGTACAAGGCTGATGTGTACAGTTTCGGAATGTTGCTGATGGAAATGGCGGGTAGAAGGAAGAGCAGGAACCCCCCTGCGGAAGATGCAAAGCAAGTGTACTTCCCGTGGTGGGCGTACGAGCAGCTCCGTGCGGGGAAGGACATAGAAATTGCGGACGGGATTGGGGAGGAGGAAAGAAGGATGGCGAGAAGGATTGTGATGGTGGGGCTGTGGTGCATTCAAATGGCGCCGTCGGATCGGCCAGCAATGAACAGAGTGGTTGGCATGCTTGAAGGTGATTCGGATATAGAGATGCCTCCAAAGCCATTCGTTGCTCCGCGGGGCATGGGAGGAGGAGGTGGTGCTGCTGCTGCTGCTGAGGATGATGGTGGTGGAACATCAACATCGAGAACCTACGCCGTAGATTATATCAATTGGGATTTATGAATGGATGATGATTATTGATTCTTGTACCATGTATGCTGCTATGGAACAGCCATTAGCTTGTAAATGCAAATGCAATTGAGGGGAAGGGAAAGGGAAAGGTAGCTTGGACAGAAGAAGAAGAGTGTATGAAAGAAGAATTGAAGATGTACGGATAGATAGATTGATAGAAACCCCTTTCTTTGAGGTTGAAAAGCTAATAAGCAACTAAAAGCATACATTTGGATTTCCTGAGTCTATGTTCCGGACAGGACAGGACAGGACAGCCCAGCCGTGGGAGATGAGTGAGATGAGCTACCTACAGGCTACAGCCTACAACAACATTAGCAAAGCCTCATTTTGACGGATAATGGGCCCAGCCCAGCCCAATACGATATCCGCGTATGCACGAGGCTTCTCATTCCTAATAATCTATAATCCACCTGTAACAACAACAATAACAATTCATAATAATAATTATTATGGGTTGGCTTGATTTTCAGGGATTGAGCTACAACCTAAATCCATTTTTTATACACGCTGCATTATTCTATTTTTTCAAGTTGTATATTTTTATAATTTTGCTATATATATATATATCGTGTAATCTTTTTTTTTTTTAAAGAGAGTGATAAATAATTTTATTTTTTGGAAATAGATAAATAAAGTAATAAAAAGTTATGACAGAATGTAATTTATAAATATAAAAATTTGTATAAAATAATATAAGAGAAGATATACTTTTTACAATAAAAATTGAAGTTTATAGTTGAAATAATACGATGAATTGCTGCATTGTCGAATCTGCTACTATGTTACATAACTTGAATCGTTTTTAAATATTCTTTCTATTAGATTACATATTTTCACCATATTATAATATTAATTCAATAATCTTATATTATAAAAAATTAGAGATATTTTAAATATATATCTATAATGTACATCATTCAGCTATATTATATTACACTATGTATGGATACAAGTAATATAAAGATTATTGAGATATTTGTGTGTTCATTGAGTATATTACGGGGATTCAACAATATATCATACTACTATTATGTATGATTTATTTATGCAATCTTTTTTTTTTAAAAAAAAATAAAAGTAAAAATTGCTTTTTCAATAACTTGCAAATTAATACTTATTATATTTACCAATGATAAATCTTGCAATGACATCTTTTTTTATAAAAACGTTATAAATATTGTTAACTATATATCATTAAATAGTAAAGTTTGCTATTCACATGAACATCAACATTCAATTATATCAAACATGCATTTCTATTTATGAAATTCTAACTAGCAAAGTTTTTCATACAGAACAATATCTGTAGTTTATATATATAATTAATTCTTTAAATTCAAACCACCATATGATAAATATAAATAGGTTAAAAAAAGTAAAAAATTTGCTTCATTTTGAATTTCAAATCCCAATTCATTTATGCATTTTAAAATTAAACCATTAAATATAATTTAGTTTTGATTTGAAATTGAATTTTTAATTTAAATTTGATTTAAATAATATTTTAATATTGAGTTACCTTAGAAGAAATCCAATATTTTTATAGTAACTAGATGTGAGGCTAAATAATGTTATAAATTTGTATCTGAAACACAAAACAAACATCCTATTCCTATATATTATTTTCATAAACAGAATAGTAACAATTTATTAAATTTCACTTTTCATTTTTTAAATTATATGGAACCAAATTTAAGATCCCATTAAATTTTAAAACATCTCCAAATATTTGTCATATATCTTTCCACTGCTATCTAAATCAAATTCAATCGGAGAGGACTCAAATCTAGTATATTTCAAAATAATCAAAGCATTTGATAACACAGAATTTATTCTTTAATTTTGCATAACATATATAACAATATAAATATATATATATATATATATATTAAAGTTGTAGAAGAAAGATATTGAAAATCTAAAGTGATACATTATATGATATATACATAAATATTTATAAATGAAATGAAATGAATAATATATACGAGTGTGGGTTTGGCGGACAAAAAGTAGTTTGAAAATAGTCAATCATATTTGAATAAAGAAGAATGTGTTGTCTGTATAGAGGTAATTATCTATCTATCTGACGTAATAATTAAGGAGAGGAGAAGGAATTAACAGTGAATCAAGCAGAAATAGAGTGTAATAAATGCACCGAATTATTTCACAATGATAATAATAATCCATAGCAGTCAGTCAGTCAGTTACTATGTAATAAATGGGAAATCGAAAATCAAACCCTGCAGCAGCAGCAGCAGCAATGCGATATAAACGAGCGCCGCCGCCGCCGCATAAGGTATTGTTTTAAAAAGTATGTTTATTTTGTGTATATAAGTATGAATGAAGGCGGCATCTTTTAGAGGGAGGGAGTCTATGTTTCTAACTGCGCCTCTTCCCATCCTCCTCGTCATCGTCATCGTCATCGTCGTCGTCGCCCTCTACCTACACACATATATAACGCACGCACGCACGCACGCACACTCTCACCACCACTCGTCCGCCATTATTCTTGAGCGAGCTTCTGCTGTCCTCGCCCAAGGAAGTTTTACAGAAGAAGCAATCAATCAGCTAAAACTTCTACATCTACATCTACATCTACATGTGAGCTCCTCCAATCTAATCCAATCCAATCCAATCCAACTTCAGATCCTATTACTTTTCTTGTTCTTAATTAATCTGAATGTTGGATTTTATCTTCTTTTTTTCTTCTACGTGGATTTCGCCATCTGGTTTTGGTTCATCTGGGATCTGATTGTTGTTCTCTCATGCAGATCCAGTCTTAATCTTCATCCCTCGACTCTCCAGATTTCGAGGCTGTCGCCATCTCGGCAGATCTTCACTAGATTCAAAGGGTTTTACATAGTTCAATTTGTGACAACGCTGCTGAGGTGAGGTGAATTTCATGCCTTCATCACCTTTTAATTATTTCTGCAAAACCCCCCTTTTTTGTTTTTTTTTGGTTACTTACAATGTTTGGCAGTAGCATACATTGAGTTTGATGTGTTGAGAGAAATGAGAAGCAACAAGAGGTTGTTTATATATACGTGCATCATCCGGTGTGCTTAGATTCCTTGTTAGTTTGGTCGATTTTGTGCTTTCTATTTTACACTTGTGCATTTATGAATATATATATATATATATATATTTGGTTGAGCCGCGGATTTTTTAAAATATCTTTTTGGATTGACCGTTGCCGCCGCCACGTGTTGGCTCGATCTTTTTGTCCACGTGTGCAAATCCTATGTTCTTTAGGGTTTAGGGTTCTTTGTAAAACCAAGTTAACTAACATTTATTTGTGCATAGATGATGGGAGAGCCTATTGATTATGATGTTTTTAATTGTTTGACTCAAAATCACATGTTCAAAATGTTATGATAGTTAGAAAGTTTGAGTGAAGCATAACCATGTTCAAATCCATTTGTAAGAAGTATGCATGAGCCTTGGAAGTTTGATTTTTGTGCTGAGTAGCTATGAAACTAGTTAGTAATTTGATGAATACCAATATATATATATATAATGTAGGATGGAACACCAAAAGGATGAAGCTGTCAAGGCCAAAACTGGGGCCGAGCAACTCATCAGTCAAGAAAACTACGTGGAAGCAAAGAAGTTGGCCTTGCAAGCAAAGGCTCTACATCCGGAGTTGGAGGGCATTGGGCAGCTTTTGAGCACAATAGATGTCTACCTGTGCGCACAGAAGAAGGCCGGCGAGAAAGAGGTGGACTGGTACAGCGTTCTCGGCGTGAACCCGTCTGACGCCGAGGACGTAATCAAGAAGCAGTACAGGAGGCTGGCTCTTGTGCTGCACCCCGATAAAAATGATTCTGCTGGTGCCAAAGGCGCTTTTCAATTAATTCAAGCGGCTTGGGATTTGATCTCCGACAAGGAGAAGAGGTTGGAGTATGACATCAACCGGGGCATCGTCCGTCCTGGTCATCCACCACAGCATAGTGCCGGAGCTACAACCTTTTATGATTTCATGCGGGCATCAGCATCAACAGCTGATAGAGATAGAGATAGAGATAGTGCCCGTGCCCGTGCGCCACCACCGTCGTCTACAGCAAGTCATGTACCTCCAGCTCCACCACGTCCTCCCTTTTGGAGAAATGTACCTCCGTCGGCTTCCACTACAGCAGCTCCGCCTCCCTTTTGGAGTAACGTGCCTCCATCCGCGGCTTCACCTTCCACTGCAGCTTCATCTTCATCTTCGGCTGCTGCTTCAGCCCCAACACCAAGTAGCAGTCGCGGTCGCAGTCGGGGTCGGGGTCGGGCTCCTACTTCTGCTCCTGCTCCTGCTCCCAGTCCTCCTGCTGCCACTGCCAGTGCTGCTGATGCCGCTCAACCTGTGGAAGCAGAGATCGTCATATTCTGGTCGCGTTGCCCACGCTGCAACATCTGTCATGTGCAGCCGATAAAACATCTGAACCAGATGGCCACGTGTACTACATGTGACGCTTCGTATCTGCTAGAATATATTGATACTCCAGGCCCACTCCCAACTGGATTTGCTGTTGCACCTTTGAGCCGATCTACTTGGTCCGGCGAAAGGAGATGCGACGAACAAGCAACAAGGAGGCAACGATCTCGGACAAGGTCGCGCTCTGGCTCTGGTGCTGCTTCTACTTCTGCTTCTGAGGCTCCTCCTTCCCAATCCCAAACAAATGGTGCTGCCCCTTCCGGGTCAAATCCAGGGGCTGAGCAGCAGCAATTTCCAGGGTTCGGGATTGGCAGCCGACCCTCTTATCACCATCAGCAGCAGCATACACATGCTGCAGGAGCAGGAAAAGGTCCAGCCGTGCAGCCCGGCCCCATCCCCAGCCCCAGCCCCTTCATGTTTGGAAGCAGCTATCCACAGCCTCCGCTCGCCGCCAACTTTGGGGGAATGTTCCATCCAACGTCGGCCTCCTCCCCCTCCCCCTTCGTGCACGCTGCCCAATGTCCTCCTGCAGCAGGATCCAGCAGCAAGAGACCTGCCACTGCCAGCAGCGGCCCTGAGATGGAAGGGGCTAAGAAAAGCAGAGACACAGAAGAGCCTGCTCGATTTGATTTCGACCTAAATGCCCCTCCTCCCAATGAAATGGGACCGAGCAGCCATGAAGCTGCTTCTGCGCCGCCAGGGCCATCGGAAAACTCCCAATAGCTTCCGCCTAGGGATGCTATTTTTGTAGCTAGTGAAACATTTGCGCATCCGTATGAATGCATGCGGGGTTGGAGAAATTGTATTATAAGTACATGTAAAGCCTTCCATTTTTATACACCATACCATACATATTGCAGTTATATTATTAACATGTTCATACTCCATTGATTGTTCTCTCGTGCAAATGCAGGTCCAACCCTAATCTCCATCCATCGCCTTCCAGATTTCAAGGCTGTCGCAATCTTCGCAGATCTTCCCCCCGTTTCCAAGGGTTTTAGCTCATTTCGAGACACTGCTCCTCAGGTGAAATTCATACCTTCGTCACGTTTACAGGTTGTTTGGAAAACAGAGCTTCTAGCTTATTGAACAACTTTTAACTATAAATATATTTTGATAGCAGTATTTATTAATTATTTTTAATATATTTAATTTATTAAATTATATTTTTATTTTTGTAAATTTAAAATAATTACTATTATTAATTATTATATATAAATTATTTTATTTATAAAATATATAAATTTTTAAAACTAAATCAAATAGAAAAAACAAAGGTTATTAATTTATTTATATATATTAAAACAATAATTAACGTAACAAAAATATATATACGAAAGATTTATTATTTTATATTTTATATAATTTCAATAAAAGATTATTATTTTGTAGTAAAATAATTTTTTCAGATCTAAATAATAAAAATAAAAATAAATATTTTATAATATTTTTATGATTTTCAATAATTAATAACAAAAATTCTCCTAATTTCAAACCAAAATGAACAAAATTAAATATTTTAAAACATAACATATCAATGTCCTTGTCTATGTATAAACAACTAATGTCAAATATTATTTTACCAAATACTTTAATACAAATCGCTAATTGAATCAGCTAGTCAAACCAGTTAATTGAATCAGCTAACGGTTAAAAAGCTATCAGCTAATTGCCAGAAGTACCTTCAATTTATGCAAACCTTTGTTTTTTCATTACCATATATTGAGTTAAGTTTGATGTGTAGCAAGAGTCTGTTTTTTACATTTGTGCATCCGGTGTGCTTAGATTCATTGCTAATTTGGTCGAGTTTGTGCATTTTTATCTTGCAGTTGTGTGTATATGTTAATATTTGGTTGAGTCGCGGGCTTTTTCAAAACTTTGGATTGATCGTTGCCACCACGTGTTTAGTCAAACAATATTTTAACTAACCACTGTGTGTCTGGAGTAGCACATGATCTTTTAATTGATTGGCTCGATCTTTGTGTACACGTGTTCGAATCCTACGCTCGATCTTAAATGTAAGTAAATGTCAAAGCCTATTAATTATTGCATTTTAATTTTTTGGCTCGATCTTTATATCTATGTATTCAATTCTATAATCTCTAAGTTGTTTGAATTGGGGATAATTTATCAATGGTGAAATCACATAACTTTTTATCATTTATTCTTCTATCTCTATATGCTTAGAACAAAATATAAGCTTTCAATTGTTGGAGTGGAGTCAATCTTATTTCCATTTATCCGAAACCTAATACTATTAAGTAGTTTAAGTTAATAATTAATGTGTTTGGATGGATATTAAATTATATGCTTGTAAATATTAATAGCTATGTATAATTATGTTTGGAGGAGCATGCACATGACCTTTTAATTGGTTAACTCGACCTTTGTGTCCATATATATGTTCAAATCGTACCTTCAGTCAATCCTACAATCTTTAAGCTATTAAAAGAACAAGGATGGAGCTGAGATCACTTTCACACCCTTCCTTCATACAGTTTCTGAACCAGAGAATCCGTTGGCAGAAACTATTGATACTCCTAATGGATTTGCATCTTCCGGATCAAATCCAGGGGCTTTTGTGTTTGGGAGTTTTGAGCAGCATCAATTTCCCCATTACCGTAAATATCTTCGAACGCTATAAGGAGGTGTGTTAAGAAGGTTCCGGGCATCAACCTAAAAGCAATTGCGCTAGGAGAATTCCCGCATTTAGTAACGTGGGACAAGATTCAACAAGAACCAAAACCAATACGGGTACCATGTTAAGAAGGGATCCGGGCATCCAATCTAAAACCAATTGGTGATAGGTGGAGGAGCCCCTTCACCCTTATATATTAGGGGAGTTTTCACACATTTAGCAATGTGGGACATGCCATATTAAAAAGGGATCCGGACATTCAACCTAAAATCAATTGGTTTTGGATCCTAAAATCAATTAGTTTTGGATCCTGTATAGAGGAGTGTTGAATATTGTTTCACATTGCTAAATGTGTGAGAACTCCCCTAATATATAAGGGTAAAGGGCTACTCCACCTATCACCAATTGATTTTAGATTAGATGTCCGGATCCCTTCTTAACAAGGTGTTAAGCTTTTTATCATCCTTGCCTCCAGCCATTTTTCCACAGGGCCGTATATGAAGAATGCTTTTTGGCCCCTTACGTCCAGATCATTTTCTCAAGCAAAGCCAGACGTAACAGAGGAGAAGCCGGTGACCGTGAATGAAGATCGGGCAGACAGAATAGAGAAGAAGGCTCAAGAGCGATGGTCAACGACCAACAGGAACTTATTCTCATTTTTTCGCACTCTCGGATGGCACTTGCGCTACGATCACGCCACAATCCCCATAACCTATTGTTTTCTTTGGCAGACAAGCTTAATTCAATTCAAACACCTTCCATCATTTTTTGACCCGAAAATTTAATGAGTGTGAATCACTCTATTCCCTTCGCCAATCAATATATCCTTAACAAAATGAATAGAGGAGATCTATCCAAAATATTGATTATAATTTATAATTTTATCTATAAAAATATATGATTTATCATCTATAATAAACTTTTGTAAGCATTTCCTAAAGAAAGATAAAACAATATATTCATCCATCCTAGGCCAACCGATTGAAGAGCTCAGTTCAACAACACAATAGAGTGAATCCTCCCTCGGCAAGAGAGACGGGGAGGGCAGGCATAAGCATATTTATTCAGTCTCACAAGGCAGGCAGCTCAGCTCTGGATTCATTACAAGATTCCTGCATCTTCGAACCTTTTTTTTCTTTTTTTTTTTCCGGATAAAGAAAACATAGTAGGGAAGTGGATAAAGAGCATCGTAATAGCAAATAAAGCGGTACGCCATCTAGTCAAAAGAATGATTCACATCCTTCTAACAACGCATAGTTGTGCTGGCTGCACATTCAGCTGCTTGTGCTATTGATGATGAAATGGGCGCACCGGGGAAGAGTGCGACGGCCCGTTCTGCCCAGGAGATGCTGCAGCACCATGGCTCGTTGTAGCCCCATAAGGGTAATTATGCATCTGCATCTGCATCGGCATGGATTGAGGCAATTCTGAGACAGCTGAATTCCAAGCAGCTGAAGGAGAATTAGCAGCTGCGGCATACTGTGCTCCACCGTACGTGTCAAATCCTGAACTTCCCCCAGGAAAGTGTTGCTGCCCAAACACAACAGGTTGAGGGGTCAAACTTGCTGTAGTGGGGATTGTATAGTCTCTGCTTCTGTCATTATTGGCCTGAAAATAGAAGCATTAATACATTGCCAACACAACTATACCCTATGAAGTTTCTAAATGCCATATGGGTTGTCAATTAAAGCATGCAATCAATAGTATTAATAGGTACCTTTATGCTGAGATCAGTGTGTCGAGAATATGATATATGAAGCTTGCAGTATCCTCCATCATAGATGCAGTGGCCTTCCAAAGCTTCTTTTGCAACAACAGCCGTCTGCACATCTACAACTCAACTGAATTATTATGATTATCACAACCAGGATCATTAATAAATTCCATAACTTACATAATTCCAAGGGATATTTGCCTCTTAATGTTTTTTAGTTAAGTATCCATTCCTTTCAAAAGAAAATTTTGCTAAGGAATGGTTGAAATTATAATTTTTACTTACTAGGATACTGAATCAAAGCTTGAAGACCACCATTTTTATCAAACATAGCAATTTTCAGGACAGATCCAAAGGCAGAGAAAACCTAGGCAACAAAAACTGATTAGAATAGGAATGAACCAATCAGATGTGTCAAGGGTCACAGTTTAAGTAATTTACCATATGCAAAACATCTAAGGTGACAGCGTATTGCATGTTCTCAATGGAAGCCAGAAGAACATTACTCTCTGGCTCCACCTTTTTCCCATCAACTCCAAAACTGACCTGCATGAAGAAAATAAAGTTAGATGTGAGAGAGCATCAATTGGCAATGGGAAATTACAACAATTGCAAGAAATCAATGTTGCAATATACTAGTTGAACAAGTGATAATTTCTCCACACGCTAGAGTGATCTAGGAAAAAGAATATATCATCTTAGGAAAAACTACGTGAAAATCAATGGGCCATATAGGTAAAATCTCAGCAGTTAACACAACATAATCATAATAAATAAACAGTTCATTTTGTTGTTACCTGGCCGCTAGCATCCATAGCTGAAGGAGCAACAGGAAGGAGCGGGTTGGTATAATCCCTGAATTAATGCATAGAATAAGATATTTGAATATTTCTAAATACTAATACACATAAGAAGTTCTAGATGATAGGGTTCTACAATTATTAAGAACAAAATTACTATATTGTCATGTTTATCAGCTCTGTTTCATTATAATGGAATTGGCTAAAATCAGGCTCAATTACCTACTACGATGACTTTGGAATTTAACACTCAAGTCCGTATGTGCAGAATATGTGATCCTAAGCGAGCATGGCCCCAGCTCTTGAATTAAATACCTGGATCAAACACAAGCATCAACAGAAAAACAGCAAATTTAGGAAATGCAGTGAATAAATGGAGATCTCAAACAATTGTTTGCAGCACAGCCTCAAAATTGAGGAACTTGGAAATCAGGAGAAACCAGCTGAGATCTTTTATCGATGTTTTTGAAGTGGGGAAGAACATGCTAATCATCCAGTAGATGGGGAATAACTTCACTTAAATCCTTTTGAACATGAACAGTGTGGCCAATCAGAACTTGAACAATTTTCACAACTTAAAAACCATTTCATCTAGTATCAGTCATTTTAATCACTAAAAACCTCATGCATTTGAAGATAGGGCTCTATCCTACCCAAAATCTATTTGAAGTAGCAATCTAGGTCCACCCCAACATTGAAGATAACATTATTTACAGTGGTCCAAGGTATGAAAGGTAAAGGTTATCAGAAATAACTAATCGGGGAGAGGTGAAGTGGGCTAGGGATCATGCATGTACCCCTTCAGCAGATTCTTAGAATAGCTTCTGAAAGATGCCGAACCCCAATGTATTGATAACAGTTGGGGTACATCCAAAGCCAAATATTAAAATCCAGATCACCTTGGAATGCTTCTTCCATCAAGAGCATCCTTCGCAGAAGAGGCAGTCTCTGAATCAGGAAATTGCACCAGAGCCTGAGTGAAGAAAAAGGAGACAGTGAACAACAGAGATCACTAATTACCCAAAAAACAATACCATTCTAAAACAAATCAGTCTACAAGATACCCACTTGGAAACCAGCTGTCTTCTCAAAAGTGGTTATTTTTTGAACAAATCCAAAAGCAGAAAAAACCTGCAAGTTGGAAGAGATTAATCAACAGTATCAATTAGATTTATATAGTAGTAATAGACAATGGCATAGGTAATTCAAAACATAAATGCTATAACTGAGCAAAGAGCTGAAAATCACAAACAGTACGCATGTAGATACCTATGTGTACATGCATTTTGAATATTATATCAAAACAAAATGCAAAAAATCTTGAGCTGAGATTTCATCCGATGCAGATTCTAGAAGCAACAACCAGTTATTTTTTTCAATATTAAAGATCAAATACAAGCTAAAGATATTGCATCATTCTATTAGAAATAGAAACAAAATTCTGGCTGTTGAAATAAATTAGAAAAACAAAGTTAGGAAAATCAGAGAGAAGAAAAGAGAACAAAGTATACCAATATAAAGAGGTTTATCCAAAAAAGATTGTACAACATCTTATTGCTTAGCAACTCTGCTTTAAAATTGCTAAAATTTCAGTTGTGGACAGTAAAAGGGGAATTTCAAGATAATGTAAAAGGAGAAGAAAAGGTTATTGTGTACTTAGATATATATATATATTTATATAGAAAAATGCAAGAGCAATCATGCTACTCGAACAAATCAAGGACTATTAAGTAAAAATAGTGAGTATGGAAACCCAAAAAATAGAAAAAGAAAGAAAACCATTTGAGGCTTCTTAAAAGATTATGGGTGGATTCAAGCAGAAATGGGAAGAAAGAGTCAGTGTTAAGCAAAGGAGAAAGAAGACAAACACACATCTGTTCTTTCTCTCGATGCAATAAGCTGCCATTGAAGATAATTCCTTGACATGTGCCTGCTGATGCATTTAGACTCTCGTCAAACAAAAGATTAACAGAGCATGTCATACTACAAACTAGACACAAACAATTCATATGCTACATCCTTCTATGCAAATAACTTCCCATTGAGTTCAGTTAGCATGAGCTTGGCTATTTGCTTACCAAGTGAAGGACATCAATACTGACAAGACGTGCATCATTCCCCTCTATTGTTACCAAGAGTACATTTCCAGGAACGTCTGCAGTAGTTTTGTTGTTCACTATTTCATGCCTGTTGGAATATTGAAGGTAAACGGTTTTCCCCCGTACCTGAGCAGGCTCAGGCGATGACGCATAGTAGGATATCATAGCAATAGCTTGATTAAGCTCTGCCTGTAGAATATAAAGAGATGAAAGCAACAAAATAAAATCACAGATATCATCTATGGTCTTCCAATTACAACAAATCAAGAAACACGGGGGCTCACAAATTCAATAAAAGCTTGGTTTCGGTTGGCTCCAACATTACACTTGGTATTAACAACTCTCCCAAATGGCTTCCCCAGTTCGATCAGTTCCTCTTCAGTACACTCCCATGGTAAGTTCCTCAAGTGAAGAACCTTAGAAGGCGGTTGGGTGTAGCGGAACTGCGGCTGGCTGGAAACAGACATCTTATCCTACAACCCAAGCAGCAAACATTATATAAAACTCCACATCCTAGTAATATCTATCATGTTATACAAATACACAAAGCATAGCTGCAAATATATATTTAAAAACTTATTAATATACGTATAGAAATTATACAGATGTCCTACGACACCTACAAAATAGAAGTTGATGCAACTCCTCCTATGATTTAGCATCAAGCAAACGGTTCAACCCAATATTGCACAAACAATCACAAACCTCGATGCATAAGCACGAACGAAGAAAAAATTTTAGCGCATGAAATTAGAACACCGACCAAGTAGAGAGAAACAGCGAAGCGTACAGATTAACGAAGCTAGGGTTCACCGTGTGCGTAGCCGAGCAGCGAAAACCAAGATTGGTCTGTACACAATTCTACAGACTACAGGTCTGTTTAGTTATCCGTATATACCAATCTGCGGTTCTGGCAGATATACGTACGAATACATTATAATGGCCATTAAAATCTTGTTGGGCCATAAATTAAATATTGATTTTCATATCATGGGCCTGGCCCAATTATTCTATACACAATTGCAGCTAAATGTAGTACTAATTTCGAAATGTTCATTCCAAAAACGACGACGTATTATATTATGTTGACTTCAAGCTCAACTCTTGGCCTCCATCAATGTCGAGGAGCCTGCTGCGTCCAGAATACTTCGATTACCTCAGAAGATCGCTTAAAGTGGCGTCAAATTCACCTTCCTTTATTGTCGCATGGAAGCACCAACACTGGAATGATAACCTCTTAAATCCTTCCAAGGCTTTCGACGTCGTCACCACTAACAAAGCCATAACATTCCGCTGCCAAACCGGAGAGATAGATGTCGCCCGCCACCTGTTCGACACAATGCCTGAACGAACAACCGTCTCTTGGAACACCATGATTACAGGATATTCAAACTGGAAAATGGTCCCCGAAGCACTAGGCTTAATCTCCCTGATGCATCATTCCGACGTGAAGCTCAACGAGACTACATTCTCGATGTCGCTGAGCCTGTGCGGGCGCGCGCAGCTGCTGGCCGGCGGAAAGCAGATTCATGGACTGGTCATAAAATCGGAGCACCGAAGGTTCAAGTTTGTGGGGAGTGCGTTGCTGTTCATGTACGCCAATTGCCTCGAAATAGCGGATGGACACAAGGTGTTCGACGAATTGCGGCAAGAGAATGAACTGTTGTGGAGCTTGATGCTGGCCGGATACGTGGAATGCAATCTGATGAGCGAAGCAGTGAGTGTTTTCGAGAGAATGCCGAGGCAGGGCGTGGTGGAGTGGACGACATTGATTGCAGGGTATGTGAAGAGTGAAGGTGGGTGTAAGAAGGCCTTGGAGATGTTCAAGATGATGAGGAGTGATTGTCAGGCTGTTCCGAATGAGTTTACATTGGACTGTGTGGTGAGGGCTTGTGCTATCTTGGAGGATATGCCCGGCGGCAGGGCGATTCATGGGCTTGTGGTGAAGGTTGGGGTTGAAAGCGAGTGTTCGATAGGTACTTCGTTGATTTTCTTGTATTGGAATTGTAAATCGAGGGATGATGCGAAGAAAGTTTACGGTGGCATGTTTAGCCCCAGTTTGAATGCATCAAATGAGCTAATTCGAGGGCTGATAAAGTTGGGTCAGGTAGATGAAGCTGAGTTGATTTTCAGCAAAATGGCTGAGAGGAATCCGGTTTCTTACCATCAGATGATTAAAGGGTATGCGATGTGCGGTCAGGTTGTGGATGCGGAGAGGCTGTTTTCGCAAATGCCGGTTAGGTTGTTGACCTCTCTGAACACCATGATCTCTGTGTACACAAGAAATGGTGATATGGACAGAGCTTTGGATCTTTTTGAGAAGGTGAAAGGAGAAGGTAACCCTGTGACTTGGAACTCAATGATTACGGGATATGTTCATAACGATCAGCACGAAAAGGCCCTTCAATTGTATCTGACCATGCACGGACTGTCTATAAGTCGAACTAGATCAACATTTTCTGTGTTGTTTCAAGCGTGTGCGTGCTTGGGATCTCTTCGACAGGCGGAAGTATTCCATGCACATCTGGAGAAAACACCATTCTCATCCAATGTCTATGTTGGCACAGCTCTCATCAACATGTACTCAAAATGCGGAAGCATTGCCAGCACGAGGGCAGCTTTTAGATGCATAACTTCTCCTAATGTGGCAGCGTGGACGGCACTGATCAACGGGCACGCAGACCATGGACTTGGCTCGGGCGCAATCTCATTATTCAAGCTGATGCTAGAGAGGGACGTAGTTCCAAATGCTGCGACTTTTGTGGCTGTCTTATCTGCTTGTGCCCGAGCAGGATTTTTGAAGGAGGGACTGAGGTATTTCCATCAAATGGAAGAGCAGTATGGTATAAGTCCATCCTTGGAGCACTTCACTTGTGTTGTGGACCTCCTTGGTCGAACAGGTCTCGTCCATGAAGCTGAGGAATTCATTGAAGGAATGCCGATGGAAGCAGACAAAGTTCTGCTGAATGCATTGCTCCACGCTTGCTGGTTTTGGATGGACATGAGGACTGGGGAGCGAGTGGCTAGAAAGATGTTTGCATTGGATCCGAACCCGTCTCCTGCCTGTGTGATGATGTCTAACATGTACTCAAGCTCAGGGAAATGGGGGCAGCACCTGAAGATGAGAGACATTTTAAAAGAATGGAGAGTTAATAAGGATCCTGGTTGTAGCTGGATAGATGTAAACAACAGAACACATGTTTTTTCTGTAGATTATCGAAGCCATCCGAAAACAGACATGATCTATTCAATTTTGAAGTCCCTAAAAGTGAATACCCTATCAACTCAAGTAACAGGAAGTTGTATTCCTGAATAGCCTATTGTTATGACCAAACATGCTGTGCATCTACCTGACCATGAGATTTACAGTCATCCTTAAATTACCTGGAAAATATTGTTCGGAGCTCTCAGAGTTCTCTCTGAGATTGCTTGGCACACTCCATTTGTAATGGCTGTGATGAGACTCTCCATGGATTCGAAATGGCTGCACACGTAACTGCATTAGAGGGAGAAATGAGATGCGAAATTATACAAGATACACATGCCTGAAGTCTGTGGCTCTTATTCCACAGAAAAATGGATTGATCGTGTTAACGGGTATGGTCTTGTCTTGTCTGTATGTGTGTCTAATGTTAAGCTATGATACAGATGATTGCTATACAGTATACATAATAAGTATTCAGTGAACGCAGTGTTGGTTCACTTGAAAATGTTGCAGCGAAGGTAGTCGACTCGAGCAGGATGCTTCAGCTTCATGAGGGCTTTCACTTCATGCTTCCTCACCATTTCTCGTGAAATATTTAAGTTACCTGCAATTTCTCCAAGTGTTCTATCTCCTTTACCATCGAGTCCGTATCTTTGTCTAATCACTAAACTCTCCTTAGGCTTCAGTGAATCGAGCTGTCAAAGGGTATTAATAAAACTCAGTCGGTTTTAACAATTTTACTTAACAGAAGAAGCTCATACAGCTACTTCTTTTGGCTCAATCAATGGCTGTAGAACAAAGATTAGAAATCAATTACCACATCATCTAAAGCAAGTCTGAGAAGTGCGTGCGGTCTTCTTTTATCTCCTTCAACACCATCCACATTAGTAATCCCATTGATGAATTCTTCTTGGGTTACTGCATGCCGTGCATGAAGGGAAGAGACGGGCTTTGACACCCTCATCACTTCGCGGTATCTTTCGGCGGAGAGCCCCAGTCGATCTATAATTTCTTCATCGGTTGGCAATCTTTGAAGTTCAAATGACAACTCTAGCCTTGCCCTTTGGATATCCACCCGGACCTATATTATATATACACATACATCATGAAATAATGATTCTTTTGCCGAATGCATCATTGGAAAAATATATAGCCAACATGGCTCAGTGATAGAACTACTTCAACTCATTTAAAATATTTGAGTTTTGGGAAACAGGTATCTGGTGAGGCTCACCGAATCAAGGCCAAAGGAGACTTTTGTGAAGCTGGACAACGTCAAGGACCGAATAATGGCGTGCCTAATCCAAAAGAGGCCGTATGTTGAGAGACGTAGCTTTCTTTTTGGCTCAAAACGGTCAATAGCTGTCATGAGACCCTTCACACCAGCTTGGCACATGTCTTGGAACCTAGGGCCATTACCATAGTCCGGAAAATATTTGTTCATCACAAACAAAACCAACCGGAGGTTGTGCTGTAACCAATTAAACATAGTGCATGGCATAAGTCCAAGCCCTTTTCATCGGCAACTTGTTGAAAAGAACTTGTGAAAATATAAGTATAATCACCTTAATTAACTTGTTTCTGGCAGCTCTACCAACTTCCAATTGTTTCCTCAGCTCAACAGGTCCCAGTTGCGTTGCCTCTGATAACTCTTCACGTGTAACTTCTCTTCCTAAATCATTTTGCAAACTGTCCTTGACTTGGAGGATTTCCTAAATGAACACGCATGCATGCGTAATCACGACAAGAATAAAATGACTATTGGCGAATGAAGATTTGCTTTTACTTTTGCATAACCTCTTCAGGGAAAGTAAGTCTGTCTTACCTTGACTTGTTGCATAAGCTTAAACAGCCGAGTATGCTCAGATGAAGGAAGAACGGGAGGGATCTTCATTTTCTTCCAGTCTAAGCTGACCAAGCCAGTAGAAGATGAATAGTCCCTTACAAGCCTATCAGTGTTGTCATTGCAAGCTTTCGACTGACTCCCTTGAAGGGATGATGACACTGGAACTTTGCCTTCTTTCTTCATTTTGAGAGCAATTCTCTTCTCTAGACTCAACCTTTTCTCTTTAGTTGTTCGACTCCTTACCACGTTGTCTGCCGTTTTCTTCTCTGCTTCTCCACACCATTTCCTTCCTTCTTGCGCTCTCTTTACCTTCTGGCTTTTGACATCCTGAACAGAGATAGTTGCTTCAGGACTTCTTTCATATATATATTCCAGTTTTGCAGCTGCTTCATTCAAATTCAAATCCATATCCATAGCACTGGCAAAGATTTCGTCAGTGGAGACAGCATTGACTCTTTTGGCTCGATTTTTCAGCTTCCTTCTACTCCCTTTATTTTCTTTGTTTGCCTCCGCGTGTGTACTTGCAGATTCTCCTGTTGCTATTAGAGCTACATTCTTGCTTGTATCGTTTTTGAGTGACAACACAGTTGGCCTTTTCGATGAAGAGGCGCGAATCAGATATCCTGCAGTCAGTCCCCATGGAGTCCGCGCAGCAGAACTAGAAGCAGTAACAACTCCCATAAATACCGTGCGGCTCCAACAAACGGACTGCCAAACAGAAAACCAATCGCCTCATCAGCTCAAAATGCATCATGGTTTAAGGACGGGCTATCAATGACATTCCAGACAAAAATGAGATTACTGCTACTAGACAATCGCTTGAAATTAAACAAACACAAGAAAATTCAACAATCCACTTAAACCAGAAGTTTAATTTCCAACATAAACACAAACAGCTAACAAAATGAATGAGGCTACTTGATCGCCTCCTCGTCAGCTCTGAAAAATTAATACTGTCACTATTAACGACAGGAAAATCTCCCGAACAAATCGCAGACATGAAATAAACACAAGTTCCATTGTAACAGCTCTCGACATAAATGGACCTAAAAGTACCTGAGCAAGGGCAATTAAATAACTAAAAATTCCGAGATAACCAAGTGGAGGCGAAGATCCTTCTCCGACGGCGGAATATTCCGGCGACGTGCGAAAAGGAAGATCCCCTACTGGAGACTATTTCGGTCACAGAAAAAATATATATATACATATTCAAAAAAATAAATAAGGGGCTCGAATTTCGGTGGCCACACGCTCTTTAGGCTAAATCTCTAGCGTTGAAAAATGTCACGTAGATTGACAAAAACAAATAAAAACTTATGACGTGGCTCATGGTGCAGCTCAGAATGATACATACATGTAGGGTTGTTACGTGGCAAGACGAGAGTGGACGGAGAGATATTCAGGCGGCAGTTGATGGATATTGGATTCTCGTTCTCATTATTAATATTAATATTAATATTATTATTTCCTCCTCAATATTGCCTTTTACTAGTTTGTAAATAAATTATTATTTCCTTTTACTACTTTGAATTATTTTGACATGTATTATTATAGAGAAGAGAATTAGATATGTAATGCTCAGTCTTAGATTTCCAAAAACAGGTGTGGGCAGATTCCCTTATATTCAAGTCAAGGCAAGTAATGAATATATTAATTAGTGGTGTAGATCATATCAATACATATAAAAATAATATCATATGAGAATTGAGATAGGTCTCGGTCTCGGTCTCGTAGTGATTAAAAGGCCTACAAATTGAATGAGAATGCTTTTATGAGGAGCATAACGCTCACGTGACCTATTCACCCCATTTACTGTTATTGCTATTACTACTTTGGTTCAAATTTCAATCATTCAAGACATCAAATTGATCGATTTTGCTTATTTAATTGTGTGTGTGTGTGTGTGTGTGAGAGAGAGAGAGAGAGAGAGAGAGAGAGAGAGCGAAAGAGAGTTGAAGGAGATGGATGGGTGGTCCTTCAACCTTACATATATAAGGAATTATTAGTTAGGAAGCTAGCTAGAATTGTCCTCATTCAGCTTTATATCTGGACATTATATTTTAACGCACTTAATTGAAACAAACTACTAGAATATTTCTAATAATTAAAGTAAATCTGCAGGCAGGCAGGCAATCATCAAAGTTTGCGATGATTCCTGTTGCATGCATGTTGGTCTGAATAATAATATCATTCATTAATCGATATATATATATATATATATTTGCGTGCATGACTGCGTCAATAATGGTAATCATATATATATATCACAACGAATCATCATAATTAGTTAAATCATGATTAAAAGTAAAAGTAATTAGCAATTAAAGCTGCTGCGCTGCAGATCAACATTAATCGGAATGGAATGCTTAGTGAATAATTAAGCTAGCTAGGTAGCAACTCTCCTATATATCTCTGTCTGTCCGCCTGTATGCATACAACTTATGTGTGTGTGTGTGTTGCGCCCTTCCCTTCCCTTCCCTTATTGATCCATATACATACACATACATACATACCTGCAAATCGTCATCATCTCAATTCCTGCTAGCAAAATGTGTGCTGGATTTTCTGAGCCAGTTCCTCTGCACTCAGCTGGCATTCGATCCCAACCTACCCACCAACAAAAACACACATTTTATATATATATATATATATAAAACACTAAATTATGATTGCAATGCACTGGCAGAAGAGTATGAAGATGAAGATGAAGATGAAGATGAAGATGGCTGCTGCAGCTACGAATGAATATTTATATTTATATAAAATATAGATTGAAGGGGTTTCAGAGATATATGTAAATTATTCAGCGAAATGAAATGATTGCCCAAGTCAGGCCAGGCCACCCTAGTTTTGGGTGAAAATTAAATAGGTGCTTTTGGGGATTCTCAAGATTCTATGCATGAACCTACCTACCTACCTACCTACCTACTTACAGAAGCAGTGCGTAATATATGCTCATGACAACAGCTTCCCTCTGCTCTCTATATATTTATATGTACATACACTGCATGCATTTCATCTCATCTGGGAGTATCAGCTAGCTCTCTGCAATGATTACCAACACCTACCTGTCTCTCTCACTCTTTGTGTAGAGTGTTCTTTTTACTGGGGATTTCCACAAACTTCCTTTCCTACTAGCACTATTTCTGACTACCCCTGTCTCTGTCTCTATTTCCTTCGCATAAATTACATGGGAATAATAATACAAAATTTAGGAACAAATATATAGCTAGCGGGTGCTGGAGCTTAAGTAGTAATGATTAATGAAAAGCTAATAGCCATGGATTATTTAATTGTATGTATATATACGATGATTATAGCATTAATGGAAGACAATTAATTAAAATGCAAAAGATCTCTATGTATATATGTAGTAGTAGTTTCGAGAGCGGACGGGGTTAATCAATTAATTAATCAATTACCTTAATTGTGAAGAGGTTGAGCATGGTTTGATGATCGAGGATGGTGATTTTGAGATGGAGGATTTCGAGGGCCAGTTGTTCCAGCGCCGAAACGATCCTCGCCGCCTGCCCGGGCATCCTCCGATGCGACACCGTTTTCACCACCAAATTCGGCCCTGCGAACTTCACCTCCACTTCAGCCACCGCTGACTTCGAGGTCGCCACCAGCTCATTAACCACCGCCGCCGCCGCCGCATCGTAGTGCTCGTTTGTGGACGAGTGGCCCGGTGAAGGCTGCACCTCCATCTCCATCATCGGGCGCGGAATTTTTAGTGTGGTCGGCGAATTAAGGTGGTAGCCGCCGCCTGCAGCCGGTGGCGGCCGGTAGGGGCTGGTGGGCTGAGGAGTCCTGGGGCTTATGGGGAGACTCATCAATCTGGGGCTCAATGGTGGCATCATCCCCCGAGGACTAAGCGGGCTCGGTACGGGCCTCGGGCTTATAACCACTGCTTCCGAATAAACAACTTTGCGCTGCTTCTTGGCCTCTAGAGAATGCAGGATTTGCTGCAGTTCCTGGATGTAATCCACCACGCCGCCGATTATGGACGCCTGGTCGCCCTAATATACATATATATATATATACTCAATCCCCAAATTAATTAAACCTCGCTAAACCCTAAATGAATTAATTGAATGATTACTCGCTTGACGTAGAAGCAAGGCATGAGGGAACGAAGGACGGCGAGATGTTCGTTCATTTGCTTCCGGCGGTTTCTCTCCACTGTGATGTGAGACATCCTGTGCGGTGCTCCTCCTAATTCTTCCATGGAAGTAGCAGTTTCAGTTGCAGATGGCTTCCTGCAGCATTTGGGGGGCTCAGACGAGGACGAATTAGACTTGTGGAATTCAAATTCATGATCTAGCTGTGTTGAAGTGCAGGGTTTGACAGCTGGTGCGATATTAGATTCCCAGGCTTGGAGAACACTGAAGAGGTCGTCCTGAGGGGAAGCAGCAGTGGAGAAGTTAGCAGCGTCGAACGGCTCGGGTTCTTGGAAAATTTGGGATAAATTAGTCTCACCATCCATAATTTTCAAAGCCAATCCCAAGAGTAGTGTATATATATAGTAGAGAGTTAATTACCAAAAGCCCTCTAAAATTTGATTATTGGGAGAAATGGAACGAAAAGAAGCAAGCGGCGATGGAGAGAGGTAATTAACTTGGTTGCAGTGCACGCACTAAATTAAAGCTGGTTTCCAAAAACCATGAGTGATGATGATGGATGGATGGTAGTAGTAGTAGTATATATATATATATATATTGGGTGTGTATGTAATGTTAGCAGAGGGAAAGGGAAGAAAAAGGAAAGAGAGCGACCAGAAGAGCAGCTAGCGCTTGGAAGTGGTTGAGGGTTTTGGGTTTAAGGATGGAGATATAGATAGATAGAAACAAATGCAATTTGATTGAGATTAGGTAGCTGATGAGGCTGGTGCAAGAAGAAAAGGGATCTAGTCGTGTCATGAGGAAAGGGTAGGGCAGACATGGATGGATGGATGATTACATTCGTTGCTGTAGCCGTTAGAGAGAGAGAGAGAGAGAGAGAGAGAAACTGCACTGCACTGCACATCCACACATACATACATACATTATACATACAGCAACAAGTTGCATATCCTATATACATATATGTAGAGAACTAATCAGTGTGCAGGCAGGCAGGCAGGCAGGCAGGCAGAGGTGAATGATGGTGAATAGAATTGAGAGTGGAGAGATTTCCATCAGGAAATTAATATTACTAATTAATACTGCCCTTACTCTTATAACTCTACTTGGCAATCAAACATGTTTTTACTTCTCCAATAACCCAACCCAATTCTATATATACAAACAATCCACAAGAACATCCCATCATTCTCATCCATCTTCAAGGAAGAATATAAGATACATACACCCCTATTCTATTTCTATTTCTATATCTAACGTATTTGGTTGCTCTCAGAGTCAGACAGACGTAAGGGTTAATTTCATCACCATCACTATTCCTCATTTTTGAGCTAGATTCACTAATTAGCTGCTGCAATAACACATCTATGCACACAGACAATCAAACAAGCAAACAAACAAAAAAGGGATCGATTTAATGTAGGTGGAGACTGGAGAGAGAGAGAGAGGCAGTAATAAATGAGGAAGAAATTAAAAATCAGAGAAAGGAGTGATAAGCGGCAGGAAGGATCATGAACAATGATATATGTATGTATGTATGTATGTATGTATGTATGTATAATATATATATATATATATAGAGAGAGAGAGAGAGAGAGAGAGAGAGAGGGAGAGGGAGGGAGAGCTACAAAATGAAAATTTTATATATCTGCAACTTGCATTGCATATGTCGGGCTATAATATTCATATCCACCTTGGATTCAAATTTACTCAATTACTCTTAATCAATGTGCAATCGAACACACGGCATCTCCTTGATTAACTGTGGTGTTGTGTGCGTGAATGTCAACCCTTTGCATACATACATTTTCTCCAACTTGGATGGAAATCATGGTAATAAATAAGTAGTAGAGAGCAATGAATCTAACCAATTAATTAAAGCCCCATACGGACATCGCCTCAATCCCCGATCGACCTTACTTTGCAGGCCACAGTAAACTACAATAGAACAAATAAATGAATGAATGCTTGCTGGATGGAAAATTAAATTCTACTAACAAAAAAAACATAAGCATAAACCTACATATATAAAACAAACATAGACAACAATAGTGGAGTAGTAGTAAATACGGATCGAAGCCTGTCCAAAGTCCAGGCTTGACTCATTAAATTCTCCCTGGGTACCATTAAAGGCACACCCACGAAACATATGATGATATTCATCCATAGCTACCCTAGCATTACTTCTACTACCACACTGCACTCTACTTAGCCATTTTCACCACTTACCTCAGCCAGCCGGTAAGAAATCCCATTGCTGGATTTGCGGGCGATCATCTATCGAGATATCCCATCTCATGTCCGATGAGATGAGACGAGCCCGGAGGAGAGGCTACAATTATATGGTCCCCCACCAATATATACATATATAACTCCTTGATTGCTGGCTAATACCTACATACATTTTTCATGCCCCACCCATTTCGATCTCTCTTGTCCATCGACTCCCTCCTTCTCGTAGCAGCTATAATTGCAGTGCACTCAACCCGATCCCCACTCACTGCATAAGACTGATTCCAATTGCAATGCGCATATAAGCAGCTATTACTCTTAACTCTAAGAATCTAATAAGCAAGCAATTATCTTATCATAACTGTAGACAACAAATTATGTTATTTCTAATAGACACAAAAATTTGTACAAATTATATTTCATTTGAATTTAAAGTGGCTTTTTGATTCTTCTTCCGGATCGATTTATTTTTCTAACTTAATTTTCTATGGCTTCTTTGATCCGAAGAGATTTGGTCTTCGGTTTGATTATGCTGGACTTTGGAGGGCTTTGGTCTCCACGCGGGCAACTTGATCGTTGGCTTTGTATTTGATGTCCTCTTTGGACGATCCGAGGCTTTGATGTTTGATTTAGCTTTTCCGCCTTTTGGAGAACTTTGGTCTCCGTGTAGGCCATTTGATCATCGGCTTTGGATTTGATGTCTATTTTAGAGGATCCGCGGCTTTAATCTTTGGTCTGTCTTTTCCGTCTTTTGGAGAGCTTTGGTCTCCGTGTGGGCGATTTGATCATCAGTTTACAATCCGCGGCTTTGATCTTTGGTTTAGCTATGCCGCCTTTTGGAGAGCTTTGGTTTTCGTGTTGGAGATTTGACCATCAGCTTTGGATTTGATGTCTTCTTTGATCCGCAACTTTGATCTTTGGTTTGGCTTTGCCGCCGTTCGGAGGGCTTTGGTATCCGTGTGGGCAGTTTGATAATTGGCTTTGGATTTGATGTCTTGTTTGGACGATCCGAAGCTTTGATCTTTGAGAATGTGGATTTGGTGTTCCATAACGCTTTTGGTGGCGTGTCCCTTTGACTTTTAGATCGAAGAGGACCGAGTTGTTGCTTTGGCGAAGAACGCGATAAATACCTCGAAGCTTTGGAATGAACTTCTCTTTCTTTCTTGGCTTTGATGGACTCTTCAATGGCTTTTGGAACTTTGATCCTTGAAGAGGTGGATTTGGTGCTCCATAACACTTTTGACAGCGTGTCCCTTTGACTTTTGGATCGAAGAGGGCCTAGTTGATGCTTTGTTGAAGAACGCGACGAACATCTTAAAGCTTTGAGAGGAACTTTGAAGACCTTCCCTTGATTTTGACGAATTCCTCAACGGCTTTGAGAGCTTCGATTCTTCCTTCAACCAATATTGGATTGTTTGTCCAAATCAGTGACTTTCGACGAAGGACACGAAGAACATGTAAAACAATGTAGAGAGAGTCTAGAAACTTACCCCTTTGTTTGAATCTTTAATGCAACATGGCTCCTATTTACAGGGGATATGTGGCTTGAGCTTCCTTTTTGAATGGTGCCACGTGGTGCGTTTTGCTCTTCCATTTTTTACGGATTTGATTGTGCACTTTTCTTTCTCATGAAATTTTTTCGGAAGATATTAATTTATATACTTCATTTATTGATAAGATTAATTTTTTGCTGCTAAATTTATTATAACTCTATTTATACACGTAATATTTATACGATATCTTTCATTTCAAACAAATTTTTGCATCAATGGTCTTTCAAAAATCCATGCCAGTAAATGACGATGCAATAATTACTACCAGCAGGCGGGGAGAGAGAGAGAGAGAGAGAGAGAGAATAAATGCAAGATCGATTACACCAAATGAATGAAAAGAACACATCATCAGAAGCTAGCATAAAATACAAGTTGGTAATTAACACTGCGAAAGGATGACCATACCAACACCAAATACTGCAAGTAGCCCTCCATATTTGGTTTTTCTAGTGTAAACTTAATTGCACACTGTCATCACCTATTTCTCCTTTCTATATATATATATATTCTGGAGATTTGACAAATCAGTGAGAGAAACATGCTATGACAAATTCATTTGTAAAATAACTGCTACAATTGAAGGCATGGGACCACGCATGGTTGAGCCAGCCAGCCATTAATATATATAAGTAATTTTTCCCTCTTGGTCACATGAATGTCTTAAACAAAACTATATATGCTCTACAAGATTCCATCCATCCAACGCCCTGCAGGTCTTACAACATATATAAATAAATCAAGCAACCTCTGCTCCCTTACTAACAAATATATACATGCATGCAGACCAACTGGGTTCAGTTCATTTGATGTGCTAAATAAAAAATAAAGCCTCGGCTAATTATATCTTGGGCGCTAATTAGATCACATGCCAAACTTTGCCTGTTAAAGCTAAATGTTATCACAGGATATTCATTTCATAAGCCATTTGATGTGTTACATACTTACATTACAGGACTAGGCAACTAGAATTTATTTTGTCATGCACATAGGACAAAAATAAATAGCAACTTCTGCTGCCCTTATTGAATAAAGGCATCTTGGAAGTAGACATGAAATGTAGTTTCTGCTGCCCTTATTGAATAACCCGAGCGAACTCCCGAGGACCACATGATCTTTAGAGGTAATTGACAGTTGATGAGACAATATATATTATACAGTTTGCTTCTGCATGTTCGGCATGGTGGAATGAGAAAAAGCAAACCTTGTCTCATGAGTAAAATTGCTTTCATTTGAATATGCAGACAGCAAGGAAGATGTTTGCGCGCAAGTTCCAAGATACTGAAACTGCGCAAATGTTGTGGATAAAGATTAGTACAAGTGGCAGATTCCCAGTCTATATATGTAAAAAAGATGATGAACTTAGTAATACCAATTTCCTCTTTTTCTTTCCATCATTATCTCTAGCAGCATCCATCCTCGACATTTTTTTTTCTTTCTTTAATGCAAATATGCCTGAAAGCAAGTTAATTCCCTGAGAAAATCCAAAAACAATAACTGGAAAATCCAAACTTGAAAAACTAATTCAAATGGTCATGTAAAGGAGTATGTGTAAAACATATCTGTATGTATCCACCTGTGTATTATTACGTAAGCTACTCAAATATGATATTGATGCCGAGCAGGACAATGATAAAGCCATACCAAACAACCATTAGCAATGGCAAAGATCAGAATGGATAAGAGTAGACTCCAGGCAGCAGTAGCAGTACAACAAGTGGCCCCACATGTTGGAGCATCTATAAATTTGGTTACCCAACCAACCTGTACAGCAAACAACAAAGATGAAAATCCATAAGAAATGCATTGCACTGAAACTTTTGCCAAGTTCAGAATGTAATGCCAGACAAGCAGGGATCACTAGCATCCCCCATTTAATGAATGAGCTACGAATGACACGTTCAATCATTTCTGTTGTAGTCGGATACCAACAACGGTCAGTCCTATCAGCATTTTACAGTAAATAATCATTCATGAAAAAGTCAGAAAGGGGCCCGATTATCAGAGCTACAGAAATGCTACAAGTAATTTTACTTGAAATTAATCTGGGGAAGGTATTCATGCCTTAACTTCGTTTCAGTGGAACAAGAAGCCTGCATGACACGTGACATGAAACAGAATTTTCCATTGTAATATAAATCCTTTACAGCTTCAGCTTGAGTGTTCAACCTCAAGGTTACATCAGCATGACTAATTAACTGATTTAAAATTCATACATCTAATGAACAGAGAAAAAAAAAAACCTATCCATTGATGGAGACTATAATTAGAGACCGAGCCGTTAGTGAACTCGGCTCGGTTAAAACTCGTTTACGAACATTAAAGAGCCGAGCCGAGCTGAACAACATAAACAGGCTCGTTTGGTTAACAAACGAGTCCAAGCTTTGTTCGCGAACGCTTCGTTTAAATAATATATTTATTATAAATATTATATATACATATAAAATTATAATTATAAATAAATAAAATATTAATTTAAAATATATAAATAAAATAATTTTAATTTTTCTTTATTATCTATATATAAATTTTAAAAAATAAGACAAACGAACATGAACGAACTCGAACGAATTTAATCGAGCCTAAACGAGTCGAATACGAATACGAACACGAGCTTAAACAACAAAAATTCTTAACGAGCTCGAAAGCTTAACGAACGAATCCGAGCCTTGTTCACGAACGTTAATGAACACTTAAAATTTGGCTCGGCTCGAATCGTTAACAGCTCTAACTATAATGACCGGAAACTATAGGTAAAGATCCAGTGAAAACTAGTATCCCCTATTTGTCTCCATGTTTTGCACGAAGGATTTTGTTTCCAAATCTCATAGAAGCCATTAAAGATCCCTCCATAGATAAAAATGGAGTGATTTCCCGTTCCGATCCTCGGTCAAGCTATATTAATTTTCCGCTTTGTAGTCAAGAAATTCCACACATTTGGAGGCCAAAGTCCTGTGACTGAAACCGCATAACATGAGTCTTTGTTTTTTTCTCTTCAATCATCTATATATCACATAGGCAAGGGAAGTTATCCTTGACAAAGAGGTGGGGTTAACTTCAGATACCTCATATATTAAGGAAATTATGGCTATAGGATATAAGATAAAGACGAGTATATGAAAAAGTATTTTAACACTGCTCATTCCTAAAAATTCAATTCATTGTAGAGTAATAACGAAAAGATAAGTAAATATATGGTTAGCCTGAGAAATGATCTTTGTCAATCGCCATGGAAACCACAAGAACCAATCTTGCATTAGGAAATGACATTGTAATCATGTTCACTTAAATTTGGGCAGATTCCTTGGTATGGGCCGCAATGTAAAATCATTCAGCTTGCTATAGTCTAGCAACAATTAGCATAGAAGAGGAATTGCATAACCCAAACCATGAAAACCCTAAGCGAGAAGCATAAATACATGCATCTATCTTATATAAAAATTTTAAAAGGCAAGCAAATAAGCACACTCTAGACAAGTATAACTAGATGCAGCTGATCCTTTCATCCAGACTGATATATTTAGAGGATAAAGGAATAAGATCAAGATAAGAAAATGGGCTAAATGCACAAAACAGTTTAAGTGGTTAGAGATAAATATATGATTAAATAATCAAATCAAGCTGCAATTTGAAGCAATATGATGCAACTGTTAGCATTGAGAGTTGAGGAAAATGGTGTGAGAATGATACGTCGTGCTGTGCTAGTGTGCTTATAATGTCAGAATCTAATACAAGAAGATCTTCAATCAATCATAAAAGATGCATCATATTGGGGTGAGAGAGTAGGCAACGCTTTAAACAATTGGCTGGACAGGACCCTAATCTGACAGCCTGTTTATGATTGTAACCATATATATTCCATGCTCCATCACTTCATTCATTGTAATCAACATACTCACTAACAGGCATAAAATCCAGTTTGAAGCTTAAAGGGAGCAATCACTCCAAAGTCAACCTTTTTCCTCAGGAACTAAGCTGAAGTGAAAATGGTTTTGAAAAGACAGCCATAAAACCTCAATGAAGACCATTACCACCAATAGATTCATTATTCACATGTAAATGTAACACTCAAAAACTGACTGAGATGTCCCTTTTCAAGTTCCACGATACTCCTTTATTTTGTAGACATGAGAATTCAAAGCCGCTGCTGACAGTTGTTCCCGGAGAACTACGCTCTCTGCTCGTTCGTATATGTGTACTAGGGGTAAAAGTTTAATGTAAAAAAAAAAAGATAACGGGCATAGTTGCATATCCAATACCTGGAATAGCAACCGACAGAATAAACTTCAAAGCGCAATGTGTAGTGTACCGCCTAAAAGCAATCATGCTCCGCTTAAAAATTCTAATAAATTCCAGCAGATGGGAACATTGAAAATTCCAGGAGAGAAAAATCCCACCTTGAATTTGTAGTGAGGATTGCCCAGGTTGTATAGCAACCTTCTCATCCTATCTAAATCGAACCCATCGTCTGAATCGGTGCCGGCGCCGTTGGTCCATTTATTCGGTGAACTCCGCCATTTTCAGTGAAATGCAGAGGAGAAGAGACGAAGCGGAACTCTAACTGGCGGTCCTAAATTGGCATTTCCCCAATCGAGCAGAGGAGTAGGTAGGTAGGTAGGTATCCAACGACGCATAACTCCGGTAATTTTATTCATCGGCGGGTCAGTGTCAGCGAGAAGCGAATGAGGAGTATGACTGAAATTTGAGAATAGCGGCAGCATCGGAGAGTTGTACCGCAGACAACGCAAGTACAAGTAGTGCGACGCGTCATTGTTTTCTTTCTGTTAATTCGTAGAAACATTATTCTTATTTATCTCGATCCCGATCCCAATCCCAATCCCAATCCCAATCCAAACAACACCACCACCACCAGATATAAGAAATGAATGAGTAAAAGTTTAGATTTAATCCGACTGCTTGGCATCTCTATTTTAACAAAATCACTCTTTTATTTATGAGCCACTACGCAATGCAATAGTAAATAGTATTGGGAAAAGTGGATGAGACCAAGAGGGAAGCAGAAGACCCCCAAGTTTCACGGAAATTTAACAAATATACCAACAAAATGCAATAAATAAATACTTTGTGATCGCAAATACGTATAAAAACAGCCTAGTGGTAAAAATCCGACAGCTACAAACGTTTCGAGCAACAATAATCTTTAATCACGTATTTGTTGGCGTCCCCTTGTTTTCCACTATGCAAATGGATATTCTGAAGCACATTATATCCAATTCTTGTTTCCAACTTCGATCTCACCGATTTACATCAATCAGATGCATATGGTTATCTTCCTTCTCCTTTCAGTCCACCATTTCAAGACAACCGCTGTCTATAAATGTTACACCAGAGGAGAGGAACAATCAATAGTAGTATATAGCTAGCGAGCAGCCCTGCCATGGCCTCCCACAGCATCTCGGTGCTCAACGCCCTCGACAACGCCCGCACACAGTGGTACCACGTCACCGCCATCGTCATTGCCGGAATGGGATTCTTCACCGACGCCTACGACCTCTTCTGCATCTCCACAGTCTCCAAGCTCTTGGGCCGCATCTACTACTTCAACCCCACCTCCAACAAGCCCGGGAAGCTCCCGCACAGCGTCAACAACTGGGTCATCGGCGTCGCCCTCGTCGGGACCCTTACCGGCCAGCTCGTGTTCGGCTACCTCGGCGACAAGCTAGGCCGCAAGAAGGTCTACGGGATCACCCTGGTTCTCATGGCCATCTGCGCCACCTGCTCCGGCCTCTCCTTCGGACACACTGCCAAGTCTGTAATAAGGACTCTCTGCTTCTTCAGATTCTGGCTCGGCTTCGGCATTGGCGGAGACTACCCTCTCTCCGCCACCATCATGTCCGAATACGCCAACAAGAAGACCCGCGGAGCGTTCATTGCCGCTGTCTTCGCGATGCAGGGAGTTGGGATTGTCTTCGCAGGCCTCGTGTCGATGATCCTTTCTAAAATCTACCTCAGCAACTACGGGGGGCTGCCGTACAAGAAGGAGCGCGTGTTCTCGACAGAGCCGGAGGCCGACCAGGTGTGGCGAATCGTGCTGATGCTCGGCGCCCTGCCGGCGATCCTCACGTTCTACTGGCGGATGAAGATGCCGGAGACCGGGCGGTACACGGCCCTGATCGAGGGCAATGCAAAGCAGGCGGCGTCAGACATGGGGAGGGTGCTGGACATCGACATCCAGGCGGACCAGGAGAGGGTGGCGCAGTTCCACGCGGCCAACGAGTACAGGCTGATGTCGAGCGAGTTCTTCCGGCGGCACGGGCGGCACCTGATCGGCACGATGACGACGTGGTTCCTGCTGGACATCGCGTTCTACAGCCAGAACCTGACGCAGAAGGACATCTTCCCGACGATGGGGCTGACCAGCAAGGCGGAGGACGTGAGCGCGCTGAGGGAGATGTTCGAGACGTCACGTGCCATGTTCGTGATCGCGCTGCTGGGGACGTTCCCGGGCTACTGGTTCACCGTGGCCTTCATCGAGAAGATCGGGCGTTACTACATACAGCTGGTGGGCTTCTTCATGATGTCGGTCTTCATGCTCATCATCGGAGTTAAGTACGACTACCTCAAGAACCAGGACCACAAATGGACCTTCGCCGCCCTCTACGGGCTCACCTTCTTCTTCGCCAACTTCGGGCCCAACAGCACCACCTTCGTGCTGCCCGCTGAGCTCTTCCCGACCAGGGTTCGGTCGACGTGCCACGCCTGGAGCGCCGCCTCGGGGAAGGCCGGGGCGATGGTCGGAGCTTTCGGGATACAGAACTACACCCAGGACGGAAACGTGCATAAGATCAAGCAGGCCATGATCTTCCTCTCCTTCACCAACATGGTCGGATTCCTCTGCACATTTCTGCTCACCGAAACCAAGGGCCGGTCGCTGGAGGAGATTTCCGGCGAGGACGGCGGCGGCTACCCCGAGACACAGATGACCGGGAAGAATCCAGATCATAGCCGGGCCGAGCACAATTGGGAAGACGACGATTCCAGGGCTTATGGGTAAAATTAATTATTATATATATATATATATTAGAAATGAAATAAAAGGGGGTAGCTGATTGATTGAATAAGAACTGATCTGGGTAATGGATTAAATCATTTTCTTGATCCTCCCCACCAGCTATGTAGTTGTCTTCTTAACCTTGTATCCTGTAAAATGTTAATGGAACTGTAATTGATTAATCAAATGCTCCAATCCCTCCCTCATTTTGTAACCATAATAGTAAGATAATTAAAAGATTAGTTTTTTATTTATTATTTTGAAAAAGAAATGTGCAAAAGTGGCCCACCTGAATCCTCCCCTGCCAACTAAACATGCGTTGGTTATTGAAGAAGCAAGCAAGCACGACAGGGTGGGCTCACCAAATCATTACGGTCGTTCTCTCCGTTGCCAAATCCTCCAATTCTTTCCAGTTTCAAATGAAGGCGTGGTTCTCAAGTAGCGCTTCTTTACCATTATAGGAATACGTGCAACTGTAGTGGGAGGGTGTGAAATTGTTCGAACCCTAAATGAATCGAATCGACCTCCCTTTGTCTTTTTCCCTCTCCTCTTTCCCTCCACAGCCTCAGATGAGCAGTACTGCCCGCACACACTTTTCCTTCCTCCCATAGCCTTGTTCCTGCATCCGTTGGTTTTTCTGTTTCCCAAATGAGATGGGAAATGGAGGTAGACCAAATTGAAGCCGTTCTGGAAAAAATCTGTGATTTGCACGACAAATTAAGCGACGCAATCCACTCCATTTCTCGAGCTCACTTCCTCAATTCCATCAAGAATACGAGCCGCAAATCGGATGAATTTTATTACCATCGGAAGAAGAAATCGGGGGATGATGACGCGGAGAACAAAAGTGGGCAGGGGTTTGTGTTCGTGAAGGAATTCCGGGTCGATGATGACGAGCCGGCGGTTCAGGAGGCTAAGAGCTTGTACGCTATCCGAACAGCTCTCGAAAATCTAGAAGACCAACTTGAGTTCTTCCATGTGAGCGTTTGTTTGATTTGCTATGTTTTTTTGCTATCCGATTCGTAGGCTATTTCGATTCTTGACTTTTTCTAATGCTCCAGTTCTAATTTATGGTTTAGCAATACATTATCAAGTGTTTTGATCTAATGGGGATTCCAGATAGCTGAATTTTATGAAAATTGGTTTTCTGATATGTAGAATTGAAAGAAGATAGGGGGAAAAAGCTGTTTGTTTGATTGTCGATCCCATTTGTATTTTACTTTTCAATATTTCCCCTTTAACAATAGAGTTGAAGTTTCTTCCCTCTCAAGCAATCCCTGAATTTCCTGCTTTTAGTACTTCGATTGTGGACTTTTGTCGGTTTGGTTACATGATACAGAATAACAGTTTATGACTAAGAATTTCATTATATGGTTTTCTACTTATGGATTTGTATCGACGTTTTTAATGAATCAGTCCTGTTCTAATCTCAACAACTATGCCTTCCTCTTGACGGAAAGAATGTGGTTTGCTCACCAAAATACTTGGGCTTAAAGTAAAGTTGTTCTCTTTAGGCTCATTATGTCTTTACTGTTGGGGTGCATTGAGCACTGGTAATTCGGCACAATTGAACATATAAACATATCATGGCTCTACTTTTCTGAAAATGTATTTGAGTTATCCCATATGACATTTATAATACAGTAACCAGCCCGGAATGAGACTGGAAAGCACAGGTTGTTGCTGTCTTTAATCATCATTTTGTATTTCAGCAAGTTTGTTGTGCATCTTGACTGAGATATTTTTGGCATTTGTCTATTGTGTGAAGCAATAATTGAACTGCCTTTTGATGTTCGTTTTGCAGACTGTACAAACCCAACAGCGTGCAGAGAAAGATGCCGCAGTGGCTCGCCTGGAGCAGAGTCGCATGCTTCTTGCAATGAGACTGGCTGAACATCAAGGTAAGAAATACAAGGTCATTGAAGAAGCACAGGCATTGATAGGAGATGTCCGAGATGCTAGTCGATTTGTTGAACCAGAGGGTCTATATGTGTCGTCAACACATGATCCCTCAGGCAAGAGTTTTGTGGCACAGAAAGGGGGGAGGATGAATCCCCTCATCAACTTCTTTCTTTCTGGCTTTAATTTAGTTTCCAAGTCCCTTAAATTGGACAATACTGTTGGGATTCTTGGGAATGCCGCACTGGTTGCAATAAGCATGATTGCATTCGCACATGTGAATCAAGTAGGGCGTAAAGAAAAGTACCCATTCGATGTTGGTGGGATGCAAGAGTCTTCCAGGAAGGTCGGCGCTGGCAAAGACGGGCACAGTTTGGACGTGATGCTGGCTCGGGGGTGAGAGGTAAGCAAGTGTTAGTAGGGCTTGATTGTTTTGTTTCCGAGAATAATGAAATTGTGGGGGGTGGAGCGGTGATGATGGCTTGTACCCGAAAGAGGTAAGATGGAGTGAGTATGTTTTTTTGGTAGTTAGGGATATGGATGAATGTGAGTTGGTAATGTGGTTGTTTTGATTATTATTATTACTGTTATTATTATCATAATCATAGTATTATATACTTACGAGGTCAGGTCTAATCTAAGATTGTGTGGATTCTTATAGGATCTCACATTGTGCGTGCGCTGACCTGACCGGTCCGGTCACTGTGTAGGCGTACATCTCTCTCTCTCTCTCTCTATCTCTTTCACAATTATAAATCCAATGCTATGTATGCCAAATTATTATTATTATTATTATTATTATTAGTTATAATGCCATGTTATTAGGATAACACGCACGGTATCCGTATACGAATAAATAAACATACATCTGAAATGTTTTTTTTTTTAATGGTTTTAAATACAAATTTCTCTAATTCATATGATTATTTATTATTATAAAATATCATATCAATATAATAAATTTAAATCAACATACAAGTAAAATCTCCATCTGCTGCATAGATGATACACTAAAGACAGTTAGTTCGGTGGAAGAAGTAGTCGGCCCGGCCCAGGTGAGTTATGAAACCCGCTATTTAGAGGAAAATTAACTCATGAATTTATGAAAACATGCACTAAACTGTTACCTTGAATGTTTTGCCTTTACTCACAATACAAACGAAGTAAAATAATGATCGTAATAAATTTTATTTATTTTTAATAATAATAATAATATAAGTTTTGATGCAAAAAGCCTATCTTTGTTGTCACACTAGGGTAGGTTTAGCATACATACTAGTTGACATCTTATTATAATCAATTATCAAGGCTAATGTAAACGGTAAAGCAATGACTATAGGATCGAGAGCAACATGTAGGTATAAAAAAACACTTGCACAAGATATAATATAGCTACACATTCGAGAGTTCAACAGCAACACAGGCATGCAATGTGACATATTTTCAATCTTGTTCGAATCCAGACACAAAATGTAAACAGAGCACGATAATTGAAGGCATCCCATCCCTCCCCTCCCTTCCCGCAGACAATCACCTCCCGAAGCCTTCCATGGCTAGCCCATCGCATATTTCTGAGTCCAGCTCCTTGCAGTCGTCTCATACTTGGCCCTGTCTGTTTTGTACATATGAGCAATCTCTGGCACCAAAGGGTCGTCGGGATTGGGGTCCGTCAGCAAAGAACATATAGAGAGCAGCACCTGTGAACCAGTGATTGAGTGAATGAGTGAATTTGCACAAAAGCAGGAACAGAAAGCATAAGACATCGAAGAAAGAAGAGACCTTAGAGATGGTCAGCGCGGGGCTCCACTGTTCCTTCAATATGTCGAGGCATATGCTCCCATTACTGTTAATATTCGGGTGGAAAACTTTTGTCCTAAAAGCAACCTACAAGGGTTTTGGTTAGCAATGGGATAAGATAAGGATAGTTTGTCTGCAGTGAGAAAGAGAGACCGGGGTGCTGCTGGAAAACAAGGTAAGACATACCTTAGGAGGCTTGAAAGGATAGTCCGGAGGAAAATGAATGGTGACTAGGAACACGCCGCCTGCATATGGGCTATCCGGAGGACCCATAATTGTAGCTTGCCAATGAAACATGTCTTCAGCAACAGGACCTGAAATGCATGCACAAATTACTGGTAAATATCGATTGTAACTTTTCCACCCAGGCAACAAGCTAAACCTCAACAAACAAGCAAAGCAAAGCATGCCCGTGACAACTGATTACTCTTAATCATGTAGTTTAGGAATGCAAATTCTGCATACATGGCAACAATAATAGATTACTGATAAAGAGTCAAATGCAGGGTAGACATAAATTCTAAAGGGGGTGGCTGGTTTACTAGGGTTTTTCATGATCGAAAAAAAAGAAAAACATTTAGTGGCGTTACAACTTGTTTCTAAGATTAGCCACAACATGCAAATGCTCGACCACACAGGCTGAAAATAGTTGTATATTTCAAATAGATTGTTTGCAGAAATCATTTTCAATATGCATATCATATTTGCTGTTTTCTTTCCCAACATTCCAAAAATTTCATAAATACCAACATAGGATACAGCAGTTATGAAGTATCCCAGTGAAAATGCTTCATGTGTATGAACCAGGTACGGAAACCCCACCATCAAAAACAAAATACATTAGATAATGAAGCCAATGAGTGCTGAAGTACAAATGCAATGCCACACAGAAGATGATATAAGTAAACTGCATAATGTTCACAACTCCCAAATCTTATTTTGTATAAAAACACATCAGAAAATCCCTCTCCTACTACAAACACAAACCAATTCAATTTCAGAAACAAACAAGATTTAACAATGGAAACTCAACAGCAAAAATCCAAGCTTTCACTTACACATAACGAAGTACATAAGCCAGGAGAAAATGAGCTCTAAAATCAACTGTCACCAGCAAAAACTCTCCAATCAATGGTATATAATTAGAAATACATAGAATCCAAAACTGTTCTGCCAAGATCTAACCCAATCCAATAAAATAATAACAGCCACAAGTGAAATCATCATCCTTGGAAAGGATTCGAGAGTAAAATAAAGTAGAAAAAAATCAAACCAAAGTTCAGCCTGGTTAACAAAGCAAACGAGGATTAGCTGTTAAGTTTTGAGGGTTATCAATATAAAAAAATATTGTTGAAAATTGATTGATATACCAGCGCTGCAGGAGGTGGGTGGGTCCTTTTGAAGATCCTTGAGCTCCTTCAAGATCCGCTTCGACGCCATGATCGATTTCTGTATTCCAAACAAGATAAAAACCACAGATCCGCTTTAGTTACCGGAAACAAGAGACGAGAAGATTACACAAACATAAACAGAAAGAACGTTTCATTTCATTTTGCTCAACGGGAATCGAAGCTGTTCAAAACCGCACCGGAGATGAGAATCGGGATTGTATGGAGGCGGAATCCCTACGGTTGCCAAGTGAAAAACGATAACTGCAGAGGAAATTTCGGGGTATCGAGCAAAGCAGTTTTATAGGGCGTAGGGCACGGCACGAGTCGATGGAAGAATCTCTTCGTCTTCCCTATGGATGGATATTCATTGTGTCGACATCCAGCTGCTGATTGGCTGGCTCTCGATTTTGACCGCGTGGGCTCCACACAGTAAGTCCAATCGGATGGTTGAGGTTGACTGCAGAATTTACCCTTTCCGTATTCACTTTTCACAGCGCGCGCCAATTTTCACCAGAACTTATTTTACAGCGCTGTCTTTTCATTTATAACCAAATCAACTAACCAGAGCCGGTCGCTATGTAGGGTCAGTGTCAGCCATTGGCGGGGCAGTTCAGTAGAACCTTTGCTGCCTACTCTCTCCCCGCATTGTGCATATGTCGCGGTCGAACCGTCGAGTGCAAATAGCTGCCGATGGAGTTCCGCCGCCTCGGAACGATGACGAAACCCTAGGTGATGGAAGCGGCGGGTTAAGGCTGCTACCGTCTTCAAGCATCGTGACGGAGGATCTTGAACCTTATATGGGAGTTAAGATGCGGAGGAAAGCTTCGCGACATCGGGATTATATGGGTGATTACATCGATGTGCAATCCAGACCTTGTATCATGAAAATTCTTGAGAAGCAAGGTTTTTTGTTACTTATCCTTTTCGTTTTCCCTTTCCTTTTGAACTGCTGTTGTTTGATATTCAGTGCTGGGGAGAATTCAACTTGATTCAATTTCGTTTCTTCGAGTTCATATTTATTGCACATCGATCTTTGCAATGGCAGTATTTTCAAGAATAGCTGATTTTTTTTTTATCTTTGGCCTCCTGTATTCCAAGAGGCTGGAAACCTAGATATTATGAATTCTTAGAATTAGGAATGACTTGGAGATTATATGGATAGTACTGATCGGCTGAGATTGGAGGCATCTAGCTTTTATGATTCTTGATCGCAGCAATGCACGTTAATGAAGAAAAGGAACGTTGAAGAGCATCATTTACTTTTTAAGTTTTGTTGCTAGTTTCAAGCTAAACTCCTCAATTGATTTCAGCTAATGCGGCAGCCCACATTATTGAACAATCAGTTGGCTGTTCATACAATTCCATCAAACTATTTTTCTTCCTATCATGAGCAATTGAAGGGTTGTTGCCATTAGTAGATTAGTAGAAATGGCATCTGGATAAACACTTCACAACTGAATGGAAAGAATGTTTTAATTTCTGAATGTGAACATGTGGTGCCTGCAAATTGTTATTGTTGTAATTGCTGAATGTATGCTGTAATCTATATAATTGTATTATCTTTACAATTGTGGGATGATAACCTGTATAATGTCCACGGTCCACATTGATGTTTCTCAACATGCAATGGAGTTTATGTTCTTAGTGGAATTCCTGTTTTTTTCATTTCAACAGGTGACAAGAAGGTTCTCTTTGCTGATAAAGTTCTGAAGTTTACTGGCTCGGGGAAGATGAAAAAGCGCATACTACTAATTACAGATTTTGCAATCTACATTTTGGATCCAGATACTGATACGCTCAAAAGAAGGATTGCCCTAGCAGCTGTTGAAAAACTCTGTTTAAGTGAATTAAGTGATAATTTCTTTGCAATTATTATTCCCACAGAGTATGATTTACTCATGGCCAGTACTAGAAAGACAGAAATTGTCACTGTCCTGGTGGACGCTACGAAAAGTTCATCTGATTGTGAGCTTGAGGTTTCCCTAACCAACAGGTAATGGTTGCACGCTATCTGGTGAGATGGGAAATTTCAATTTGCTTTATAGTGAAAATTTGAGTTCCTCTGGTTTGCGTGTGCTGCACCGTGCCAAAGATTGTCTATGACCTTTAAGGGCGGTATATACGAACAAGTTGAACAAATGAATAGAACCTAGTAATTGGATAGTAATGTGTATCTGTCTTTTGAGTCCTGATGGTCTAATTGCAGTGAATTTTAATATGTGCAGGTTTCAGTACAATGCAGCTGCTGATGTTGTAAAAGAAATTCAATTTGCAGAAATAGAAGGTTTGTTCATATTTGAGAACATACTGTGCTTCATCTTTTGTTATACTCCCTAATCCTTTGTATATTACTTGTTTCTTGTTGGCCTTACCAATTGTTTGTGGTCATATTACCCTCTATTGCTTCCTTAGGTGGTGTTAGAACAAGAATTGCGCGAAAATGAGTTGCTTTTCCAGTTCAAGCATCGATGCTATTCTCATTGCACCAAAGTTTGTTATGAACCCGGAAGTTGACACTGGTCATGACTTGAAGATCCTCCCCTAGTCTTGTTAGTTGGAACTTTCTGGGACAACGGGAATGCAGAGCATATATGTTGGTACAGATAAGGTCGATCCAAGAGGAATCACTTTGATACTATTGTACCTGCTAAAAGAAACACAAATGATTGTAGAGATAGTATCACAACTTTTCTTGGCTTTTTGGTGAATTTTTGTAATCGAATCTTTCTTCCACCCCAAATTACCCCATGTCACTTGAAAGTTTACCCAGACAAGCAATTTCAGCTGTGAAATGAAACTAGTTAGTTCTATATGCATTTCAACATCACTGAATCCAATCCGAATCATGTTCAAATTTCACACTAGCGAGTGTGGTGGTAGCTTGTTGCTTTTGATTTTGATTTTGTACAATACACTATTCCTTTGAATCAGCACAGAATAATCTCTCATATTTTCTAGGTAGCTTCAAATTAATTTCTCATATTGTTAGCTTTTTGTGATCTCCTTTGAAATCAATAGCACGGAGGAGTTTGTTTACATGGTTTTATTTGATAAAGGTTTGTTAAATTATTATTATTATTTTGAATTAAGATGAATGAGATAGTGTTTGCATGACTTGTAACCTATATATATACATTTACATCACAATATTTTTAAATTAAATGTTTATAAAAATATACTATACAAAATAAAGAAAGAAACGTTATTATTATAAATCAATTTAATAAAAGAAATTTACTGCTGTTTTCATAAAATATTTTATTAAACGTTGATCTAGTTTAATTTTAATTGATAGGCTGTGGAAGACCGGGGTGAATACAGATAGGGGCGACTGGACTGTGCGGCGATGAGCGGTGGTAAGAGGTGGTTGTCAAATTGGAATAAATTCTTTCTCTTTTTGGTAAAAATAAAAAAAATTTAAACAAGATCCCCAACAGAAAAATATCAAACTAAAAAATTTTAAAAATCAATACACTTTTTGTGTTGGGAAGAATCAAGAACAGGATGATGGGAGGAAATTAAAATTAAGGGTTGAATTAAACTAAAAAGAAAGACTGGCGACGCTAGCCTAGGACGTGGGTGGCCGGCGGTTGTCGACGGCAGCGCTACTGTGGTGTGGTGTCTGGTCGTGTGCAGCAGCCTGGCTGGTCAAGGTGATTAGGGATCGGATTTTTGGAAAAGGAAATAAATTAATTTGAGAATTTAAAGTTTTTTTTTTAGAAAAAAAAAAATGTCGGAGGAAAAATAGAGAAGAAAAGAAAAGTAGTTGGGCAAGGAGAAGAGAGTGCAGGAACAAAACACCTATGATGACGGTTGAAAAGTTGAAAAAGGTGATTGTGGTGGCTAAAATCATGATGGTGCGTGGAGAGCGCTTAGGTACATGGTCGAAGAGGCTGGACGATGGTTGAGCACCGGCGGTGGTGGAGTAGGAGGGGAAGAAAAGATAGGCGTTGAAGGAGAAGGGTAGGGGAGGGAGAGAAAAAAAGTGATAGATCACGTAGAAACAGAATTTAGACGGGATATAACGGTCACTATGTGAACAAATTTAATACCGTTAATGCAATTTAGAAAGGGACTTCGAATTCCAGGTGCGATTACTCCGGCGGCTACATTCCGTTCGCGCTGGCGTGGTTTGAGTGGACTTCAAATTCCAAGGAGATGTTCTTGGGGTTCTGCGGCGGCGTTCCGGCGGAGACGTTGGTGGAGCAGATCCTGCCGATGGCGAGGCTGACGGGCTAGGGGGAGTGATGCCTTGGAATAGGAACTTGGATAAGGATTACAGCGAAGCCATTAAAGGCGCAGTCTCGATAATGTCCAAGCACAACCACAGTCCATACGAAACAACCTTAGTTAAATCGTGGTAATGTAATGTGCTGATAAATATATCCATCTCTCTAGCTTACTTGTTTTGAGCCTCAGTTGCAGACTGTATTTTTAAAATAATATTTTTGACATATCACGTTTTGTTTTGTACACCACAGAAATTAATTTTCAGCCAAATCCAAGTCAATGCATTGTACACTATAAGTTGGAGCTCTTCCATCATCCTCATCGGTTCCACGACGGGCTGCAAAGGGCCTTGGAGGCATCCGTAATTCAGAGTCACCTTCGAGCATCTTCATCACTTTGTCCATCGAAGGCCGATCTGACGGCCTTTGTTGTATGCACCACAATGCCACTATGATGATCTTCTTCACCATCAACTTTTCTTCTTCGCTTCCGTCACTTACATGTATATTTTTTCCACCTGATAATTGATCGTACACCCATGATGGGAAGTATATTTGGCTTGTGTCTTCAGCAAACAAGTTCATATTTTTCCTTCTACTCGCCATTTCCATCAGCATCATTCCAAAGCTATAGACGTCAGCCTTGTAGGAAATGCCTCCCATATTATTATAGTACATCTCGGGCGCCATATACCCAATTGTTCCTCTTACTCTTCCGGCCGTCACACTGGTAAAACGTTCATTAGTAGGGTGAATCTGTGCAAGCCCAAAATCAGATATTTTCGGATTGAACTTGTCATCGAGTAGTATGTTGTGAGGCTTGATGTCAAAGTGTAGGATTCGGAAGTTACATCCATAGTGCAGATAGCTAATTCCACGCGCAACTCCAAGTGCAATCTCAAACATTTTGTCCAATGTCACAACAAGGACATCAGGACTTTGTTGATTAAAAAGGTATCTATCAAGGGAGCCATTAGGAAGAAATTCATAAACCAAAGCATACTTTGAGTATTCCACACAGAATCCAATGAGTCGCACTACATTGACATGGTGGATCCGTCCGATTGAGCCGACTTCGTTCATAAAATCTTCTTCACTAGCCATGGATGCTTCCATCATTTTTATTGCAACATAAGGACCGCTTCGAAGTTTTCCTTTGTATACAATTCCAAAGCCTCCTTCACCCAATTTCACTGAGAAATTGTGGGTCATTTTCTTAATCTCCTTGTAAGTATACTCTATGGGAGCAAGGCTTTGATGGCTTTGTAGAAATTCTTCGATGTTTTTATCCATGGATAAATGCCTTCTTTTCCATTTGCGCACCACCAGCCAAGTCAAGAAAGAGAATCCAATTACAAACATTAGGAACCTCGAAGCTAAGAACACAACTGCATCATCACAAGCCAAAGAAAAAAAAAGAAGGTTGTCTAGAAGATCACATTAAGTACTGAACCAAAAACTTAGAAATAATACATTACTAATTAGGATTTGATTCTTACCAACTACCGTTACTCCTAAAGCTACCCCTGAATCTGTGATCAGAAGAAAGTAACATAAGAAGTAAGAAGTAAGAAGTTAGAGGTTTAAAGAAAAATGTTTAGGATAACGCAAAACCAATGTGGATTTGAGGAAATTTAGCACCTACATGCCAGCACATTCCGGACAACTGCAATTATTCAAAAGGAATGTAGTGTCAGCAAGTTAGAAAAGAAAATTCATTAGGTTAAACACTTGAATTTCTACACAATACCATTTTTAAAAATCACCAACTAACTGGACAACGCGCATCATACTTGCAGGTAACGTATTAAAATTGATTATTCTGCTGCTTACAACTTCTTTACAGAGCAATTAACAAGCTCTGCAGCTTGCTAGGAGTCACCGCGGTTGTTGACATTTAACACCAGTAGATCAGAGCTCATTAATTCGATATGCTTGTATAATGAAGTTTAAAATACAGTAGAAAGTTTGAAGCTTAAAATTGATTTAATTTTATGTTGATTCTATAAGAAAGTTTCTATGCAAATACCAAGAATACCAATAAAATAACAAGCAAATGAGATACTAACGTTTGCAATCTGTGAAGTAGCAGTCGTAAAACTGAAGCTCAAAACCATAGGCCAAACTATCATAAATCCTCGGCAAAGAAAGATTATGGCTAGTGCTTAAAGGCCCCCAAACCACTGCATCGACAGTACAAGACTCTTCCAAATCCGATACCTGTAGATCTTTTCCAACCACAACATAGCTATATAGATCAGGCTGTGAAGAATTGGCAAAGATGTTTCTTCTTTTGCCACAAAATGGAGCTTTCACATAAGTCACAGAATTCACAGGAGACAGGCAGTGAATAAATGCCACAGCTGCATTGAATTCTGATAATCCATGTAATGGACTAAAATAATTCGCACTGTGCCAGTCAGCAGAAACACTGGAATAAAGTGGGCAGGAGGAAAGGTTTTTCCTGTTTATACCGGGCTCAATTAGCCTTATTGAGAACTTTGTGTAATTTATGTCCTGCACATAATACCAGCTTCCTGAACTTGGATGAATCGAAGTCTGATTGTTGTGGCAATCTAGCTCAATATAATTGATCTTGGAGTGTACGCAGGACTCGGTCTTCAATCTAAAAGGGAACATTATGAAACTGATGTTGCCACAAGATGAAACAGGGCATAAAGAAGAGAAACTTGTGCAATAGCCAGCGGAATTATTTAAGGAAAGAAAAAGCAGGAGAATAAAGGTTCTTGAAATTGGAAAGAGCAAACTGTTTGCTGCAGGCATGCTTTCGCGTATGTTTGGTTCAGCAAAGGATGTTTGTTGCATGCACCAGTTGTTTGTTTGAGGTGTTTATAGGTAGATATGGAGAAACTGGAGTCAACTAATGGATCCAAGTCAACTTGGAGTTTATACTGGAGTCAACTTGGAGTTTTGTTAGGGTTAGACAATTATTGTCCCAATACAAACAAGTGTATGTGGCTGGCTACCCATTGGCCAGTCCACATTATAAATTCAGCCATGGGATAAAAAATCCTCCAAGGATGAAATTTCCATGCAATGAAGATATTTTACTGATTGAAAGGTACTGTTGAACACAAAGAGGATAAATCCAATTCTTTTGAATATTTAAACGGAGGATGCAAGGCCACGTATAATACCGTCCAAATAGCCTGCTTGCATGAGACATGATCAAGAATGTAACGGCCTCATTACTAAGTTTTAGATGCAATGTTGCAAGGAATTGAAATTATTAATACAAGTATTGTCTGATGTTCACTTGTTGGTTGACTTGGATGTATTATAAGTTTCTTAGTTGATCATTTCCCTCTACTTGGTTTTCAAATGAAGTTTCTGGGCAGCTCATTTTCCCTATCCCAATTGCTGAAGATGCTCAAACATTACTACATAATTAATTTTCATATTGCATCCCCATATTTACATTGCATCCATTTTTTGTTTCTTAATTTCAATTAACTATGCACATCCATTTATTTATACACTCTGTGAATTTCGACGACTCAGCAAGGAACGGTTTGATAGAAATTATACAAATGAGATTTTTCAGTGAAACCGTTGAAGATTTGCCTGATGTTGACTTTGCAATTGTGATTACTTTGATAAATTACAGAGGCTGTATGGGAACCTAGTTGATCATTATTTCCTCTGTGCTACTCAATTATGGGATATCCCCAACTGCTTTGAAAACAGAAAATGCTACAACATTCGTTACTACATGCTTTGTTTTGTTTCATTCAACATTCTATATTGTGTACTCAAGTTCAAGTTTACACTAAACCATACATAATCTGGCTAGAGTTTAGACACAACTCTACAGATATAAAATTCCTTAGTGAAGCACAGTGTTGAGGAGAATAGCAACAAATGTTCAGTACAGAGCATTGATTAAATTCATATAATTAGGTATACATAGTCCTCAACAGTTTAATTAATATAAGAGACTTAGCTTCAGGGAGCAATTATCTATGGCTACGGCTACGGCTATGGTTACCATGCCAAAAAGAGCTAAGAAAGACGAGTATTTTTTCGGCTCGCTGGAGTCTGGATGCCGTGAAAACCCCAAGGAATTGTTTTTCATCTGCTAGTTTGGCAAGAACTAAAAGCTCTGCACTTATCAATAGCAAGGACAATCTTTTTCATTTGTGCTATAGAAAAGAGAGAAAACATAGCCATTAATTTCAAGTCTTCATCTTATTATGAAACTCCCTTGTTACACATTTCTAAACCACATCACACACACCACAATGCTCAATTTTCAACTAGGTACAAGGTCACATACATAAGTTGTAGCTATGCCACTGTCATGGCTATGGCTAGCAACCTCAAGTGGAGCTACGAATGGTTTTGGAGGCATTTTTGGTCCATTCTCACTTTCAAGCATCTCTACTACTTTGTTCATGGGAGGCCGATCCGATGGCCTCATCTGTATGCACCACAATGCCACTATAACAATCTTCTTCACTATTCTCTTTTCATCCTCCGTTGCATCTTTTACATCTATATCTCTTCCAGCACGCAGCTCCTCATATACCCACGATGGAAAATGTATTTGCCCCATGTTTTCAACAAAAGGATTCACGTTTCTCCTTCCACTTACAATTTCCATCAACATCATTCCAAAGCTATAGATATCGGCTTTGTAGGAGATGCGGCCCATGTTTCCATAGAACATTTCAGGTGCCATATACCCCATTGTTCCTCTTGCGCCTGTCAGATTTATGAAACTCTCGTCAATAGGATGTAGTAGTGCAAGTCCAAAATCAGATATCTTGGCATGGAAGTTGTCATCAAGGAGTATATTATGAGGCTTGATGTCGAAATGGAGAATTTGCATATTGCAGCCATGGTGTAAGTAGTTGATCCCGCGCGCCACTCCAAGTGCAATTTCAAGCATTTTCTCGAATGTTAAGCCAACGCTACCTAAGTTTTTTTCAAGGGAACCGTTGGGGAGAAATTCGTACACCAATGCATACTTTTTATGTTCCACACAAAAACCAATGAGTTGCACTATATTCACATGGTGAATGCGCCCGATAGTGCCTACTTCATTGATGAACTCTTCCTCACTAGCAATCGATTGGTCCATCACCTTTATTGCAACGTGAGGACCACTACGAAGTTTTCCTTTATATACAGTTCCACAGCCTCCTTCCCCCAATTTTTGGGTAAAGCTGTTGGTCATTTTCTTTATCTCGGAGTAAGTATACTTTATCGGGGCTAAGTTATGTTGTCCATGTAGAAAGTCTTCAATGCTTTTATCCATGGATAAATGGCGTCTCCGCCATGTATGCACCACAAGCCAAATCAAGAGAGGGAACCCAATTATAAATTTCAAAGCTATGAGTGCGGCTGCATCGTTAGCAAAAAAATATATATAAATAACAATAAAAGTGGTTAGCTGAAAAAAAAGATCAAAGAAGGCGAAATCAACTTCTGAGTAAAAAGTATGAAGGCTCAATTAAGCATTGGTTCATAAAATGTACATATCTAGCAGAAGGGCTTGGTTCTTACCTATCAACCATGAAGCATAATAAAGTATGCCTACTGCTGTGAAGAAAATGGAAACAAGTAAAAGGTTAGAGAAGATTGGAGTATGCTAAGATTTTAAAACAATATATGTATATATCTCTTTTACAAAGATCAAACACTCACGTATCCACCACAACCACTCCGGTGTATCTGTTCAATCAAACATAGCATCAGTGAGTTAAGAATAATAGATCAAAAAGGGAAAGCACTAACCTAAAATACAGAGAAAGAAGCAAACAATTAATTACAGTGCTGAAATTCATCAGAGACATTAGAACTGAAGGATTGAAGACATATGCATATATATATACGTGTGTGTGTATGTGCTCACCAACCTTTATACAACGGAAGCTCTGCGCCGTAAGCCAAAGCTTCATAAATGGTGGCCAGCGAGTAGTTATCCCTCATAATATATTCTGGTCTCAAAAACCAAACCACTCTGTCCACTGTACAAGACTCTTCTAAATCTGAAACCTGCAGATCATCTCCATATTCTCCAACCATTACATAACTGTGTACTTTTGAAGAATTGGTAAATGTATTGCTTGTGTTGCCACAGAATGGAGCTTTCACATATTTCACAGAGCTCACAGCCGACAAACAATGAATGAATGCTACTAGAGCGTTGCTTGAATCAAGGACTGCGTTGTGATATTTCCTGTTGCTTGAATCAAGGACTGGGTTGTAATATTTCCTGCATGGATCATAAGTATTGAAATTAAGTGGGCAAGAGGAAAGGTTTCCCCTGTGTATGCCAGGGTCAGCTACCCTTATTGTTTGATCTTTGTCGTTGAGTTGTTGGACAAGATACAATTCTGACCCTATAACTAAAACAGCCCCATTGTTCTGACAATCTAGCAGGACCCGACTGTGGCAGTGAGTTGAATAACCTATCGTCACATCGATGGGGTACATACTGACACCTTCCATACCGCAAGATGAGGAAGGTAGCGCTGAAGTGGGAGTAGTGCTGGCACGGCCACTGAGATTATTGGAGGTAAAAAGTAGAAGAAGAGGAAGCAAGATTGAGGAGGGAAAGGGTGAGAAGAATCTGCTTCCAACGGACATGCTTCAAACTCTCTGCCTCTGGTACAACGGAAATGGTTTTACTTATCTTACTCTACCCCATATTACACGGCTAGGGTCAACGAATTAATTAATGCAAGTCAACGTGAAGTTTCTTAAAAGACACGAACTTTTATTGCTCTGTGGAAAAATAGGTGCCGGAGACCCACCCCTTGACCTGAAGAAACCTTTGTTCTTCCTCTGCAAATTACCAAAAACATTTTTATTTGTTGAAGTAAAATCTAATTGGTGCTGTAATTTCCATGAAGAGAAGTAACAGGAAATTCTTGGTAGCAAGCTGGTTAGTAATATGAAAAAGATTAAGGTGAACCTCACCTGTACATTTTAAAAAGGGAGTATACACCACCCTATACAAAATCTTTTACAAAAAGAGCAAAGAAGAAAAAAAATACATGCCAATAGAGAAGGCCAAACAAAAGGGATACAATGCAGAGCAAGAATGCACAAAATATACTAGGAAGGTTTGACCATGGAGATTTTACTAGCAAATAATATTAGCCAGGAAAAGAGTACTCCCAATAGAAAAAAGACCACCCTTTCTTCAACAGACCAGAAAGGTCAAATTGGAACAGAATGTGTTGGCCTGAAATGTAGGAACTTTGTTGATCGGAAGAGGCCATACAGATCTACAAAATGAAGAGATTGTCAAGTGCAGAAGAAACAGCCAAATCTTGTTGTCTGGAGAAACATTTTAGTGTCTTGAAATAAATAATTCATCCATAAAAGAAATGTTCAATAACTCTATAAGAAATCATCAAACCAACAAAATTAATATAAAAAAGGAAGAAATAGAAGAAAGAAAAAGTTAACATGGCTCTGAATAGCAGCAATTCAGCAACTGAAAGCTGCCAGCGAGCACTCTTCTTACATTTGTGCTACAGAAAACAGAGGGTACAATACATAGCCACTAGTTTCAAATTATCATAAAAACCAGTTGCTACAAATTTCTAAAACACATCACCTACACCACAATGCTCAACTTTCAACTATGTACAAGGTCACATATGTAAGTTGTTGCTATGCCATTGTTATTGCTAGATACCTCAAGCGGAGCTACAAATGGCTTTGGAGGCATTTGTGGTCCATTCTCACTTTCAAGCATATCTACTACTTTGTTCATGGGAGGCCGATCTGATGGCCTCATCTGTATGCACCATAATGCCACTATAATGATCTTTTTCACTATTCTCTTCTCGTCTTCTGTTGCATCCTTTACATCTATATCTCTTCCGGCATGCAGCTCATCGTATACCCATGATGGAAAGTGTATTTGCCCCATGTTTTCAGCGAAAGGATTAATGTTTCTCCTTCTACTTAGAATTTCCATCAACATCATTCCGAAACTATAGATATCAGCCTTGTAGGAGATGCGGCTCATGTTTCCATAGAACATCTCAGGTGCCATATATCCCATTGTTCCTCTTGCGGCCGGTAGATTTATGCAACTCTCATTAGTGGGATGCAGCAGCGCAAGTCCAAAATCAGATATCTTGGCATCAAAGTTGTCGTCGAGCAGTATATTATGAGGCTTGATGTCGAAATGGAGAATTTGCATGTTGCATCCATGGTGTAAGTAGTTGATCCCACGCGCCACTCCAAGTGAAATTTCGAGCATTTTCTCAATTGTGAAGACAAGGCTGTCTAAGTTTTTTTCAAGGGAACCGTTGGGAAGAAATTCATACACCAAGGCATTCTTTTTACGTTCCACACAAAAACCAATGAGTTGCACTATATTTACATGATGGATGCGCCCGATAGTGCTTACTTCATTAATGAATTCTTCCTCACTAGCGATCGATTCGTCCATCACCTTTATTGCAACATGAGGACCACTGCGAAGTTTTCCTTTATATACCGTTCCATAACCTCCTTCCCCCAATTTTTGGGTAAAGTTGTTGGTCATTTTCTTTATCTCAGAGTAAGTATACTTTATTGGGGCTAAGTTATGCTGTCCATGTAGAAAGTCTTCAATGCTTTTATCCATGGATAAATGACGTCTCCGCCATGTATGCACCACAAGCCAAATCAAGAGAGGGAACCCAATTATAAACTTTAAAGGTACGAGGGCAGCTGCATCATTAGCACACACACACAAAAAAAAAATGGTTTCAACGTTACATTAAAAACTAGCATCTTGATGAAGGTTCAATAACATTGGTTCTTACCTATCAACCATGAAGCATAATAAAGTACGGTTACTGTTGTCAAGAAAATGGAAACACGTAAAGATTAGAGAATATTGGAGTATGCTAAGATTATCAAAACCAAAGTTCATGAAGACACAAATTTTATCTCTTTTGAGAAGATCGAAAACTCACCTGGCCACATCCACCACCAAGAAGTTGAATGATGATCTGTTGAAGCAAAATTAGCATCAGTAACTTAAGAATAATAGATCAAAAAGAGAAATTAAAGCACAAATCTAAAATGTGGAGAAGGAAGCAAACCATTAATTTAAGTGCTGAAATTCACCAGAGACATTAGAATTGAAAGGTTGAAGATATATGTTCACCAACCTTTAGACCACCGAAGTTCTACTCCGTAAGCCAAAGCTTCATAAATGCTGGCCAGTGAAGAATTATCCTTCATAGTAGATCCACGTCTCGAAACTAAAACCACTCTGTCCACTGTACAAGACTCTTCTAAATCCGAAACCTGCAGGACTTTTCCATATTCTCCAACCATGACATAACTGTATACTTTCGAAGAATTGATATATGTATTTCTTGTGTTGCCACAGAATGGAGCTTTAACATATTTCACAGAACTCATAGCCGACAAACAATGGATGAATGCTACATATGCATTCCAAACAAGGATTTTCCTGTCATAACTATAGTGGTTCCAACATACATCATTGTTGATGGAATTTACTGGACAAGAGGAAAGATTTCTCGTCTGTATGCTGCTGTCAACGATCCTTATTCTCTTTTTCTTGCGACTGATTTCTTGAACAAAATACCTTTCTGAATCTCTAACAAGAACAGTCTGATTGTTCTGGCAATCTAACAGGAACCGATCGCTGCAGGAAATGTATCCTACCGTCACATTGACAGGGTAATTGTTGACTCTGTCCTTACCACAAGACAAGGAATTGGTGGGATTACTTGAATCATTAAAAGTAAAGAAAAGTAGAAGAATGAACATTGTGGGAATTGGAAAGAAGGTGTTCGCAGGAGACATGATCAAGACAATGGGCTTGCTCACTTTTACATTCAAATGGTAGGGAGAAGGAAATGCATAGGGTCAATGCAATACTGCAAGTCAACATGTGAAGGGATTGAAATTATTGTTATAGTTATTCGTCAGGATCAAAGCTAATCTGGTGGTTGACTTCGATATATTATAGGTAATATGTGAAATTGTTCAATCGTGTTTATTTATAGAATAATTTCCAAAGGAAGTGAAGTTGATCCATTCCTGTCTCCTCATTTCCCCAGCATTATTGATGTAATAACAAAATTACTTTTTCCTATGTTTATGGTTTACTTGCAAAGTTATGGTGAAGTTGTAAAAACTCTTGAATTGTTGTGCGAGGAATCTTTTTCCACCATGTCTTTTATTCATATATTTTACATTGCATGTTTAAAAGCTCGCACTGGACTATAGCTATAGCATCATAACATCTCATTCCAATTTTTCGTTACACAGAATGATCAAATAAGCCATGAAATATCTGCAGCTGCAAAATTTCATAAAGCTCATTCTCATCTCAATCAACATCAAACTTCCATTGTTTGCTTCAAGCACCTTTGACGGAACTCGCTTGGTTACACTGTGTCGGAGGACTAACGCCAGCCTCAATGTCATTTTCATCCGAGCACGCATACTTGAGGTACTGTTCGATGTTGCTGTCTGTGCTGCCTGACCTCCTGTGGTACCATCTCCAAGTTGTTTTAGGTCTACGATCACTTATGGCAATGGCATCGTCGTTAGGGAATAAGTCCCGGAGCACAAAGGCGTAGATTATGGTTGTAACGAGTAATGCTGCCACCGTAAGTGTGGCGACAAGGCAGAGGATGACGGTTAATGTTTTGGTCACTGTGTTGGACACTGCCTCTGTGTATCTGATGGTTGCGATGGCTGCTCCGGTCATCGGAAATGTGTATGCCCACCATGCCAACGAAAACCTATACATAGTATACCATATTCAGTGTTTAACTTTGGTAGAGATTAATAAAGAAGTTCTAATTGACAGTAAATGGCAACCTTACCTAATGCCCCGGAAGAAGTTAACGCGGACAGCCTGTAAAAGAGAATCATAAATCGAGTTAGTAAGTTACTTGCCAGTGTATAGCATACAGATGACAAGGTTTAGAGGTTTGTAAACTAACCAGTGAGAAATAAAGGAACATGGCGATGAAATAAGCAATACGGGAACCATAGTCGAAGGACCCTTGAATCCGAGCCCAAGCCATGGAGGCGACGCTAGGTGCAGCCACAAAAAGGAAGAAAACCGGGTGGAGCTCCTTTGGGAGAGTTTCGTTCGTGGGAAGTCTCTGGTATAATGTGACGAACAAGACAGTGTAATGAGCAAGCCCCACAGCAAAGAAGAAGATAGGCCCTTCTTTGAGTCCCATTGAAGCACCGAGCAAAGCGCCGACAAAGTTACCAACTACAGAGAGATGATTTACAGGGGTAGCCACTTTGGATAGCCTCCTCTGTCCTCCAGACATCCACTGTCCATAGATTTTAAGCTCGAGGCAGAGAAAGGGAACCATGAGAACATACCAAAGGGATGCGTGCAGTGTTTTAGTAATTGCTGGGGGGACACCAAGAGCCAAGAAGAGAAGAGCGATCCAAGGAGCAAAGAAGAAGTTGATACGTATTGGATGGTAATACTCGCGACGAACAGCTTCAAAGTAGAAAATCACTTTCAGACCATAAATGATTGAGATGATCACGACAAGCGCCACAGATATGAGCCAGAGAATAAGATTCACATCTATGTTCACGTGTAGGAACTTTGTGGAATCAACAGAGGCCAAGGTTTTCCACATGATGGCTTGGCTGCTAACTCCAAGACAGATACCAAATGAAGAGACGGGAAATCGTAGAAGGAATGGCCATGTCTTGTCGTCTGGAAGAGCTGATGTTTCTGTGGCCTGTAGAAAAAATTCCCTTGGTTAAGATCACGGCAACAAAACATTGAAGGAAGAAAAATTCAGCAAAGAAAGCCGTTAAGAAGACATACCCGTAGTGTATCCAATTCTGGACCTTCCAATGCATCAAAATATCGATCCACGGGTAAAGTATCTACTTCTGAATGCTGCTGAGCAGGAGGATTTTGCTCAGGTTCTCTACGTTTACCTCGGAGAATTGATATTTGTCTCTCGAGTCTTCCAGACCATGTCTTGAAAGAGTCAAATCTGTGATCTCTCAGCTTATTTGGAGGATTCGATCGTGGAAGGTTGGAATTGTATCCATTCATGGCAGCCTCATTCAGCACAGAACCTTTCGGCATTGGCTGGGAGTAAAACTTGGCCTTCTTCTTCGGATTGCCGAAATTTTCATACATAGCAGTAGGGTTAGGAATTTCATGGCTGATAGTTCTAACATCATCTCTGAAGACAACTTTCTTTGTGTTAGGCATGCAATTTTCAATAGGGGAGGAGGGCATGCTAATGGATAGAGAATGCGTCCTTTCTGGCATATATCGAACACTGTCATCTCCTCTTGCAGCTGCTTCAATACCCTGAGATCATCAAAACGATAGAGGATTATCATCCATCCATGTCCGAAGTATGTCAGATGAAAACACACTAATCATATGAAAAACAGCATTTCTGATTGAATATATAGTAACTTACAAAAGTCGAGGCGTTCAAATGATGAAAGGTTTTTGCATCTTGAGTACTATCAAAACCAGCCACCTCATGATCACCAATGGCCTTGATCAACGATGGAAGTGATTCAGCCTGATCGCCCTGAGAGGATTGGTCCTTCTTGCTATTCTCCATTAAAGTTCTACCAACTCTGCAAGAAAGAATTATTCAGTATTACTGAAGTTTGACATGAATGTGACTAAAGATGAAATACTTGAAGCAAAGAAGTAAATCATGAAGGAAAAAATGGACACACAGCAGAAATTGAGTAAGAGATGATCACTTCTTAGCTAACCTCAAGCTCTGCAATCTCCACTAAATCTTGATTATGAAAAAGCTTAAAAATATAACACCTCGAAATTTAAAACTGCAGAGAGATATTGTGATGGTGTTCTTCTATGCAGTCTTTACCAGATAGTCCGGGCAGTTCAAGCACAGAAACCTATAGAAACAAACATACATACATATATGTATATGTACAGACAAAACATGAATATTCAGCACACCAGTCCAGTAAACAATGAAAAAAAACAGCTGCCCACAACGACAACGACACACGCTCAACACACAGACAACATCAGATTAGAAAAGACGAAACGTATGACTGAAATTAAGTTTAGGTATACAAATCAGCAAGAGAGTTGACATACTTGCTTTAAAATTAATATTAGGTTTGAACCTTTGTAATATACAACTAATAAACAAGATAAAGACAATATCTTATCACCGTATTAGGTAAGATTCAAGCAAAAATAATCTCAAGCTGTAATGTTTAAAACAGCCATGGTTTCCTATGTTCCTGTGCCTGTTCTGGTCAATCCAAATAATTGATCCAACAACGAATAAAATGACTCAATGATTTATATGCCTAAAACTATCATTTCCTACAGTAGTTGAGACTTGCCTTGCCGAACCCATTTTTATTTTGTACTTTTCCTGAACTATAACAATTCAACAAATACTTTTACAGGTTATTAACTTTATATGGACAGCTCAATCCAGCTACACATATATAGCTACATGTATATGAACACACACACACACACTCAATGATTTAAAGAATGGACAGCGCATATTAAAAGCAATAAATAAGTCCCCAGATCTTTCCAAACAATTTCTGTGCTTAACCAGAGGTTTCCAGGTCAAACAAAATGATTAAATCCTAACCATTCAGCTAACAAGGATAAACACAGGTGAAATGACACAAATATATAAATTTTTCACAAGATGCCAATAAAAGTCATGGTGAAATGACCAAAGCATATTCCCAGATATTATTTTCAACCTCAATAAAGAAAGCAAAAAATATATACGAATAGATCTGTACTACAACTCAACTGCAATATATAAAAGATTATCATCCACTCATTTGTCAAACACATTGACAACTACCTCACAAGACAAGCAGTCCTCCAAAGAACATCAAATTCAACACAATATAAAAATGAAAGTGATATTTTTCCAGAGGAGGAATTGGAAATGATATTGGCAGCTTCATCACCATTCATTCCCGGGACAGCCTAAAATATCCCCACCATCATTGAGCCAAAGTATGGCATACGAATACAGGCAAAAATGTGTACACAAAACATATCAGTGTATCCTATTCATGCATTTAAAGTAGAAAGACAATGAAAACTGTCCCCACGCAGAAAAATGTTGTAACTGAGGCAGACATTAAAGTAAAGGAATTAAATAATTTCATTTAAATACCCATCGATGACGGTGAGACAGTCCACGTACGGCGCCATTCCCATTTTTGTTTTTTCCTCCTGAATTGAAAATTAATATTTGAAATTTGAGGGACCCCAAATTCGGTGTAGGCGCCGTCTTGGTAACTTCCAACAGTCTTCCCTAATTTGGCCATCTGAATTCAGAAACCCTGAAAATCTGTCAAATAGATTGGTATAACTATAACAATGATTAAAAACTGGATCAAGCCTGTAATCAAGGAGGTTTTTGTAGCAAAAGATCTGAACGAAATGTGAAGAAAAAGCAAGTCAGCCAAACATACCCCACGCCCAACTGGATCGAACTGTTAACTTGAGCAAATAAACCCTCCTGAAATAAATAAAGAAACTACAAAGAGAAGCATCTAAGAAACTGCATTAAAAAATTCTTAATGACGTCCCGTGAAAAATAAACAAGGAGAAAAATCAACGTCTACTGAGATTACACATTAGATGCGGATTCCATCTTTGATGTAATAGCTTTTTGTAAGAGAATACCAACCAACATCAGAACTGGTTAAGCAAGCATATTTAGCGTTGCAAGCCAAACCTGTCAGTGCGAAGAAACTAGTTCGACTCTGAGTAAGAAACTACGCACTAATACATAATTTTGGGCCTCATTAATGGGCCTAATAAATCATATAAAATGGACCTTAACAAGCCCAGTTAAGATTTAGCCTTATTCATTCAAGAGGGTTATTTTGTGGATGAGCTCCAGAGCCTAACAAGCCCAGACCCCTACCTCGCATAAAATATTAGTGTCGTCATATTCATGTAACTTTTGTATGTTCTTTTTTTTTTTTTTTGTTCATAAAACATGCTCTCTTTTTTTTTTTATTTAAAATAAAAAAATTATCACGTCTTTTTTAATATTACACTTGATATAAATATTTTATAACCTTTTACATATTATTTTCTCTGGCTTCATTATATACTTGGTGGACGGGGGAGTGTTTATATAAAACATTTGTATAAACTATTAAAAAAAAATTATATAGCGTTATGAAAGAATGAAAAGTGTATAAATAAAAGAATGACGTAAATGATTTAGAATGTCTCAAATTTTAAAGAAATATACATACGTAGATAGATGTAACTGTTGGCTTTGGGTTTCTCTTATGTGTTGGAAGTCCAACAATTCAAGTTAACCCAAGAAGAATTAAAAACTTACTTTTGTCACTTGTTGCCCTAGCCGCTTTTGTTGGGAGAAGAGTCAATTGGATGTAGAGATTGGTAGAGATTGAGAGAGACAATTTTTATCCACGCACACGAGAGAATCGACAAGTAAGAGATAATTTCAACCCGGTTCCGATCAACGGTCTCGTCATCTTCGGATGTTCCTTTTGGTATCGTTGATTTCTCCTTATTTGTTTGTATTCGATTTTGAATCTTATTGGTTGGGGATTGGAATGGGTTGTTTGTAGTTGGGAGATCTCTTGTGATTGGGGTTCGATTCTTGTATTTGGGTGTGGAGGTTGATAGCCCTTTTGATTGTGGTTATCTTTTGATTGTACGAACCTTTTGAGATAGTGGATTTTGCCTTGGGTCGGGTGATAGGCCTCGTGGTTTTTATCCTTCACTTTGAAGGAGTTTTCCACGTTAAAAGTTTCGGTGTCTCGTATTGTTATTTCCGTTTTTATTGGTGGTTGTCATTCATCTTTTTTGGTAGAAAAAATAATTGATTGAAGGCAAATGTTTTGGTGGAACAGTTTGAACACACTACTTGAGCGTGACCACGCTTAAGGAGTACGTCGAATCTAATTTTGGTTTGCATTTTGGCCTTATTCCGGTATTCTTCCAACATAAAGTGGTATCAGAGCAAGGTTGTTTGGGAGTGTTATTTACCATTGAAAGATGGATGTGAACTTGGGAAGAATGATTTGCTTAGATGGAACAAATTATCATGTTTGGAAAGGAAAGATAACTGATCTTCTATACGTGAAATCTTCTATATGTGAAGAAGTTACACTGGCCAGTGTTTTCTGCGGCAAAGCCTGAAGTTGAAACTAGTGATGCGGATTGGGAATTGAAGCATCGACAAGTATGTGGTTTCATAAGGCAATGGGTAGAAGACAATGTTTTGAATCACATTGTGAATGAGACCAATGCCAAAACATTGTGGGACAAGCTGGAAAGCTTATATGCTTCGAAGACTGGCAACAATAAGTTGTTTATACTCAAGCAGGCTATGCGTTTGAGTTATCATGAGAGCAAGTCTATTTCCAATCACATAAATGAGTTTCAAGGATGTTTCGATCAGCTGTCAGGCATGGGAGTGAAGTTTGATGATGAGGTACTTGGTTTGTGGCTACTTAATACTCTTCCAGATTCATGGGAAGGTTTCAGAGTCTCTTTGCCTAATTCTGCGCCCGATGGGATAGTCACTTTGGAGTTTATCAATAGTGCTATTTTGAATGAAGAGGTGAGGAGGAAGACTCTTGGCACTTCATCTTCTCATTCGGAGATCCTTGTTACGAATAATATGGGAAGAAGTTGGAACATAGGCCGAGATCATGGGAATTGAGAAAAGAGTCGAGGAAGAAGTAAGTCAAAGCCAAAATACAAAGACCTTGAGTGTCATTATTGTGGCAAACAGGGACACATCAAAAGATATTGTTTCAAGTTGAAAAATGAGCAGAAAGGCAAAGACAACAAGTATGAGCATAAAGATGATAATATGAGCAATGATCGTGTGAATATGGCAATGCCGGAGGATCTCGTCATTGTGTATGAGGAAGAGGGAGTTCATCTTACCCAAAATGAGACTAGTTGGGTTGTGGATAGTGGAGCTGCATTCCATGTGACTGCTAATAGGGATTTCTTCACATCATATACTCTGGGAGACTTTGGAGTCTTGAAGATGGGAAATGATGGCTTGGCAAAAGTAGTAGGCATAGGAACAGTGTGTTTGGATACCAGTAGTGGATACACACTAGTGCTGAAGGATGTGAGGCATGCTCCCGATGTTCGACTGAATCTAGTCTCCACTGGCAGGTTGGATGATGATGGATATTCTTGCTATTTTGGTGATGGAAAATGGAAGATTACCAAAGGTTCTATGGTAATTGCTCAGGGTAAGAAAAAGTCCAGTTTATATTGGTTTCATGCTATTATTTATGCGAATGGTGTTAATGCAGTTCAGAATGGGAGTTCTTCGAGCTTATGGCATAGGAGATTGAGTCACATTAGTGAAAAAGGACTCGATACTTTGGCCAAAAAGAATCTACTCCCTGGTATTACACGTGTTCAACTTGATAAGTGTTCACATTGCCTTGTGGGAAAGCAAAGACGGGTTTCTTTTGTTCATCACCCTCCTACGAGAAAAATAGATATTCTTGAATTGATCCATTCGAATATGTGCGGTCCTTTGAAGGTAAAGGCTTTTGGAGGTGCAGTTTATTTTGTTACCTTTATTGATGATCACTCAAGAAACTTATGGGTTCGAGTGTTGAAATCGAAATATCAGGTTCTTGATGTTTTTGTTGAGTGTCATGTTTCTGTTAAGAGAGAAACATATAAGAAATTGAAGTGCATAAGGACTGATAATGGAGGTGAATATCATGGACCGTTTTATGTTTATTGTCGAAAGCATGGTATTCGACATCAGAAGACGCCTCCTAAAACTCCGCAACTAAATGGCTTGGCAGAAAGGATGAATAGAACGTTGATGGAGAGAGTCAGATGCGTGCTTTCGGATGCTAAATTGCCTCAACATTTCTGGGGTAAGGCTTTATATGCAGTTGCTCGCATTATCAACCTCACTCCTACAGTGGCTTTGCAGACAGATGTTCCTGACAGAGTTTGGCACGGAAAAAAAGTATATTATGATCACCTCAAAGTTTTCGGATGCAAGTGTTTTGTTCATGTGCCTAAGGATGAACGATCCAAGTTGGATGCTAAGACTCGACAGTGCATCTTTATTGGCTATGGTGATGATGAATTTGGCTATAGGTGTTACGATCCTATTGAGAAAAAGCTTGTCAGAAGCCGTGATGTTGTATTCATGGAGGATCAAACGATTGAGGACATTGAGACGAATCATAAGTCAAATGTTCAAAATAAAGACTTGATTTATTTGGATCAAGTTTTTACACCAAAATTGGGTGGTGATGAAAATCAGTCTGTCGGCGATAATGTTGTTGATGATGTTGATGTTGGTCCGGATTCAGTAGATATGGCAAAATCTTCATTGAGAAGGTCTACCCGGGATAGACAACCCTCCACTAGGTATTCATCTACGGAGTATGTGCTTTTGACCGAGAATGGAGAGCCTGAAGAATATGAAGAAGCAGTCCAAAGTCCTGAAAAAGAAAAGTGGATTGTTGCTATGAAAGATGAAATGCAATCCCTACATGCTAATGACACGTATGAGTTAGTTGAGCTTCCAAGTGATAGAAGAGCATTGAAAAATAGGTGGATCTATAAGGTGAAACATGAAGAACACTCATCATCTCCTCGATACAAAGCCAGACTTGTTGTGAAAGGCTTTAGTCAAAAACATGGTGTTGATTTTGAGGAGATTTTTTCACCGGTTGTCAAGATGACTTCTATTCGAG